CGACCAATTGATTTCGTCGCCTTTAATTAATCAGTTGGTCGCCTATAAAGATGGGTTCCCACGAAAATACCAAAATTTGCCGTGAACTGAGGATGGATTGGGCGACCAAATGGATTGGTTTGTCGCTGATAGGTTTGGGTGACTATCTGATTTGGTCGCTAAAGCTTAATTAGTTGGTCGTTAAAATTGTATATTTTGGGTGTTTTTAATTATTTGATTTATATTCTGTTTTGTGGTAATATTAACCTTTTGCATTAATATATTGTAATTTTGAATAAATTTAGGTAAATAGATCAATAGAAAATGACATGAATAAAAGTTTCTCTCATTAAAAATTACACGAGCATACTAGTTATTGAAGTACACATAACATATCCAAAAATAGTACATATAAACAAGTGAAGAACTCCACTCAAAGATTGGAGGCCAAGCTCCATATATACTTGCCCTCGGTAAACCCAAGTTCCGTAGTAATTATTTCCCCACTCTAAGACTAGGTTTCTACTGAAAAAAAATGCATGTAGTTGCCTTCTTTAATTCCAAGTTATGTAGTCATGATCTTTAACACCTGTGGGATAGGGACTGTAGTCTAATATCATGGAATTCCCAAACACTCTGCTAATTGTTGCTTGATCTTCTCAAACTCATCAATCATATTCCTTTACAAAAGAAACAAAACAAGGAAATGCCAATGGTCAAGAAGATGCCAAAACCAAGAAAAGTTATAAATAAATAAATAAATATATATATATATAGAGACCAAAAACAAACAATTTTCGACAACACAATTACAAGAAATCTTGCCCAAAAGCTGAAATTAACAATCTTAACTAAATAAGCCATTAAAAAGAGTTTGGATCTACATAAGAAAAATGATCACTAGTCATCAATATTTAAGAATGTTTGAGAATGGTATTTGAACAAACTTAATAAAATTTGAATTCATTTTTCATACCTCTCAATATCAACTGTCTAAAGCATACCTTTGTGATAATAACAAATACCACAAATGAAGGAAAACAATTCCGAGAAACCAATGTAAAGACTAATATCATGCATAGCACAAACCCATTAGAAAACATAAATCATAAAATCCAAAGTATAATCCACACCTTAACCAACAAGGGTTGCATAACTTCTCAACACAATACAAAACACGTATGTCATTTTAGTACCTTTAAACAAACAACACCACAATGACATTGACAACTACCATAGCTATTAATAAGAAAACAAATAGAACTGAGTGTAATTTGAAGAAGAGGTTCTTACCTCAAATGGTCCTCTGTCCAAAACCACAAACCAAATCCTTCCACCTCCTCAAATAATCTGACATGCAAAAACAGGATATTACCTCAGTAAAATTAGACTCCTAAATGACATTGTTCTAAACACATTATAAGATAAAGAGAACCACAAACCCAAATAAGGCAATCACTCATTGGTTTTAATGTTTTGAATGCAAATAGAAACACTAAACGACAACTTTTTCAATTTCCACTAGAATACAATGAAGAATTGAAATAAAAAGATATCTAAATGTAGAAAAAGAGGATTGAATTGAGATAAAATAACATGAAAAATTCTTTAAAAGTGAAAACACAAGCTAACCGAGGATGATCCTAGTGAAAAACTAGAAGTCTTGAATATATTTCTTTAACATATTTTCAAGCCCAAGACACAGAGTTTGCTTAAGCACATAGCCCAACATTCCCCATTTTCTAGGCACTTCAATTTGGTCTTCAAACATTGATAAGAAAAAAGCCAATTCAACAAAAAGGGTATGAAGTAGTTTGCAGTAAATCATAGATGACCAAATACATATTTTGTTAAACAATTTGGGCAGGAACACTTCAATTTGGGAAATTCACTAAAAAATCAGTTTGAGTTGAAATAGTGTGAAACTTTCTAGATCAAAACTAGACACATAAAACTTCATCACATCAAAATTTCATGGCATTCGAAGTTAAGGAAGCATGTCAAAAACAAAATCTAAACCAGACTAGGCTGCAGAGTTTTCTGCTTCCTGCAACATAACAACTACTTTAAAAATTTTCCAAAAATCCAATTTAACTCCAATTTGTATGAAACCAGTTTTGAAATGCTCATTGAAATGTCTAATTATAAAAAATATAGATCAAAATATAAATTCGAACTAGGTCTTCTGGTCCAGAACATAACACAAGATCACAAATTTCTGCATAACCTCAAATTTCATCAACCAACCCAAATCTTTCAAAATACACCACTTATCAGCTTTAAACATCAAAACACTAAATCATACAAATGTTGCTATTTACTATTGAAAAAGTATTAATCTGAATTGACCAACTACAATTAAAAAAAATAAAAGCAGAGCTTAAATTGAATAACCAACTATGAAATTTTTACAACAAAAACCACAATGGCAGCTTCAACAATTACGCAGCTTCTCCTGCACTAAACAACAAAACTCTAAAAGAAATACAAAGTGTATAAAAAAATGGACAATTTGATATATCATTGACAAAACGTACAAGACCACAGTGCAATATTGAATTACAAAGCACAACCAATTAAAAATCAATAATAATAACCACACACACACAAAAATAAATAAATAAATAAATAAAAGAAGCTCACAGACAAAGGCAAAGGAACATTGAAACGAATACACACCCACATGACCAACTTCCAACTTCTAACTTTTTACTTCAATTATATAAATGAATTGTTATATTCTTTCTTGCAACAGACAGTAAAGAAATTCAGATTTAATCCAGAAGTATCAAGCAAACATTCAGGACTTGGAAAATAATCAATCAGACTCAAAGCATTAAAACATAAAAAAATGAATTAACTACTGGATACATGTGCAAGTGAAACATCTCAAATTTGACACAGAACCCACATCAAATGCAAAACAGGGCATTCATATCAGACACAAAACCCTACTCAAATTTGACATAGAACCCACAATAACCACTTGAAAAATATAAGTCATTGTATTCAGAAAACTTGGACTGTTGAATGTTCAAGCATTTAAGATATCAAAAAGGAAAAAACAAGCACTGAAATTCAGTTTCGATTTAAATTCCTGGGCATCTATTTCTGATTTTCCTTGATTATTTTCTCAGCAACCAAATGGAATCTAGAATTGAAAATCAGCGCTCAAAAGAAAATGAAGGTAAGCTAGACAAGGTAGACTCACCAGAAGCTTTCTTTGAAACACGCAGTGAGGAGGACTTCGGAGATGGAGTTTTCATATGGCCGTCGATTCCTGACCGTGGTAGGGAAAGGCGGAGGAGATGGAGGATCGCTTTCTGACGTCGGTGGAGGATTGCTTTGCCGATGTGAGAGCAGCGGAGAGTGGGTCTGAGAGGAAATAACGAGTTAGGAACTTTTTATTTTTGTATTTATACTCTCTAGATTAGCCCCAAAAACTGTTTGGTCGCCCATATGCTAACATACATAAAACAACGTCGTTTTATGGTTCAAGCACAATGATCTGCGACGAAAAATAAAATGGTCGCCGACCCCCGAAATTTTTAAGCGCCAATTCTAACTTAGCGACAACACATTAAAACTTAGCGACCTAATATTTTCGTCGCCAAAAGTTTTAGAGTTTCGCGCCGACCCAATACAGTAAATCGCGACCAAATATATGTTTGGTCGCCAAGTCCTAGCCTAACCACCAAAAACTTTCGTCGCCCTTAGTTGATAAATTAGTCGCTATTTTGTTGACTCAAGTCATGACGGGTGTCTAAAAATCACGAACTTTTTGGCGAGTAACTTGAAAAATTTCGTCGCTGATGCCCTTTTTGGCAACTAAAATATAGTGCGTTGCTAACAATTTCGTCGCAAAAGAGGTTTTTCCTTGTAGTGCACTATTCACATGAATAGTAACTGCCATACCCCCCCTTATCATGGCAAAGAGCAAATGGCTGGAGTTGCTCTTAATTATGATTTAAGTGAGCCACTTAAATAAAGATAAATTTCTTAGTGCTTTTCTTTTCCTTGAATGCATATGAAAAAAGTTCAGAATATATCATTTCAGTATTGCACAAGCAGAGTCTTGATGATGATGGTGTTTGCCAATAGCATCTTGTTTCAAATCAAAACCAAGCAATCGATCATGCACAGATTAAAACTGAGGCTCATAACAATCACTTTTTATATTTAGAAAACGAAAGATAAGCTTCAATTAGATTTTTTTTATTTAAAAAAATTTACAAAATAACAATTGAAACATCAATAAGTATCCTTTACATAAATTGAAACTTCATAAAATAAAATAAAATAAAATAAAAAAGTCCACTCTCTGGCCCTGGTGGTGGTGCATTTGTGCCAGAACTGAATTCTCTGTGGCCTACTGATGTCTTAGAGCACTTCCACTTATTTGCCTGGGAAAGAGTAAGGGCTACTATAACGTGAATAGTGGCAGCCCTTGCAAAAGACAATGTGTGTTTCCATCCATTGCTATAGCAAAGGGCAAATAGTATTCATTTTTTTAAATAAATATTTTTACCTAAATAATTAATTTGGAGAAGATTTCTGATAAGATTTTCGGTTCTCAAGTGTCAATATTTATTATAAAATATTGCCACGTGTCAGTTTTCGAAGAAGATTGTCGAATACAATTTTCGGATAAGATTCTCAGTTGCCACATGTCGATATTTATTATAAAATCCAAATGTCAAATTTCAAATAAGATTTTAGGATAAATTTTTCAGGTGCCATGTGTCAATATTTATTATAAAATACAAATCTCAGATTTTAGATAAGATTTTCACCATCTATAATCGCGCCACGTGTCATGTCCATATGCTAAATCTCTCTATAAAATCAGAGGCTCAACTCATACCTCTCACACCATATCTTCCCTATCTTTTCATTTCTCATATTTTAAATTCATATTCCACTATCAATGTCGGACATGAGAAGATGTTTGGAGAGGAAAGAATGAGAAATTAAAGAAAAAAGGCGTAGAAGAGCAGAAGAAAAAAGGGAGGAGCAAGAAAATGATGAACAAGTTGCCATGGCAATGGGTATGCTCAATCTATCAAGCCAAGGCCACCACGGTGGTTCATAAGTCAACTGTGGCCCGAACGTGGACAAACATAGGCATTCTCAGGGTAAGAATCTTTTTGAAGATTACTTTATCCCAAATTTTGTGTACTATAATGTTGATTTTCGAGGGCGATATAGAATGCAACCCTATTTGTTCAATAAATTCATGCATGAAGTTTGCAATTACGATGCATACTTCGTTCAGAAGTGTGATGCTGCTGGGGTTTTAGGGCTTCTTCTGGAGCAAAAGCTTACAGCTGCTTTACGAATTCTGGTGTTTGGTGCATCCACTACTCTAGAGAGCTTGGTCAGATTCTGTGATGCAATCTGATCAATTCATAATTGCATATTATTTTGTACTCTTCTAGCTTATGATTTAATTATGTTTTTTAGTTAAACTTGTGCTTTTAATCTCTTTTGTGTTTATCATTCAGTTCATCGAGCCTTAGGTAGCAATGGTGGCTTTGGATAGGAAAAGATGCAAAATTGTGCAAAAACATGTAAAAACTGGAGATTGAGTTAGAAATTCATTTTGGACTTATCTTTCTCATCCAAGCTGGGATTGGGCTAACTCACATGTGGTTGGAAAGAAGACATTCTGAGCTTCAAGATGGATAGCTCAAAGTCATCAGTTGATTAAGGCAAGCCTAATTCGCGAGCCCATGAAGTTGTTCGTCATTTTGACCTAAGCATGAGATAATTGATGCTTGGTCATGATGACTTATGCATGAGGTATTGCTTCTGGTGGGATTTGTTGGTGAAGTGCAGCAGCCAAGAAACTAATTTTCAATTGCAAGTGATGTTGGTGGAGGCATAAATAAATTCATAATTCTCCTTTCACTCTCCCTATAAATACCACATCCATCCCACACCAAATTGTACACATCCTGGGATTCACAATCCCACAATTCACTTCATCCATCCTCCACACCCCCATCATTCCCCAAAGACATTCAGAAATCATCCTCAAACACTCTCACAAGCCCAAACACTCCAGCAATCAACAAACACTCTAAACAGCCCAAAATCACCAAAATAATTCCAAAAAGCCTTCCTTCCATTTCCCTACGAATTTCCTTTTTCTCTACCATCACAACTCACCCAAACTCATCCCAAATCACCTCCTTAGTTGTCATACATCCTTCTAGACATGGAGAAGCTCTTGGAGCAGCATTAGACGTGAAAAAGCACTTGGAGAAGCCTTGGACACCACAAGAACTTCAGAAAAAAGAGTTTTTCTACTCTTATTGCATTCATTATGTTTTCTCATTTCTGTCTAAGTTTCTTTCTCAATATGAGTAGCTAAATTCATAACTAGGCCTTCGATGTAACCTAACATGAATATTCTGGGTTTATAAATTTCAAGTTTTAAGTTTGATTCGTGATTCATGTTCTTATTCATTAGGCCTACTTGCTTATATGCTAATCGGAATGTCTAGCTACCATTCAGATTTATGTATCTTGGTTTGAACTAAGAGTAGACACCATGCTTTAATTCGAATTGAACTATAAATAGGAAGAGTATGTATGAGAATTTGACAACCTGGATTAGATCCATACTTGGTTGTTTAAAATGTTCTTCTATGCTTAATGGATTCCTAATGCTTAATTTTAGGTTAGACAACAGATGATCAAATTAGGGAATTATGAATACAAGGTTAGGACCAGACACCATGGCTTAATCATACTTTAGCTAGAATCAATCTTTGAATCTGAATTAGACTTGTCATTTGAATCCTTATAACCCTGAATTGAATTGTTATGGTGAATCGAATGCCTTAGCCTCCAAATCTATTTCTCAACTTTTAAAAAACTCTCTTTGTTGCACTTGTTTACTTGCTCTGTTTTCTAGCCTTCAAGACCACTCTTTGTTACACTTGCTCACTTTGCTTTTGTTTGCAATTTCATCTTGCTTTAATTGTTTCCAAACTCACTCTCGCCTTAAATTCTGTTTTAGAGTTAATTTATTACTTTCTTGAATTCAATAATCTAAGTACATAACTAAGTTTAACTTCTCAGTCCTTGTGGGTACGACCTTGTACTTGTCTTGCTATACTACTAATTGGCCTGTACAATTGCAAGTTAACATATTAACAACACAATCAAAACTCTCTGCATTAAGGACTACTTCGGCAAACCTATGCCTAGGGACCTCCATAGGCTTTTACAAAAAGCCGAAGCTCAAGGTTTTCCAGGCATGATTGGAAGCATCAACTGTATGCACTAGCAATAGAAGAATTGCCCAACTGCCTGGCAAGGAGATTATGGGAATAGGAAAGGGCAAAAAAGTATCATTCTAGAAGCCGTTATTGGATTTGATACATGGGTTTGGCATGCCTTTTTTGGAGTTGTTGGATCTCAGAACCACCTAAACATGTTGGGTCAATCCCTAGTATTCAACGATGTCTTGAGATGTCAAGCCTTGAAAATCACCTATGAAATCAACAATACCGTATGCTGGAATGGGTATTATCTAGCAGACGGATCTACCCGAGGTGGACCACATTTGTCAAAAGAATTCTGCATCCCCGATCGAAGAAGGAAAAATCATTTATATATAATGATTTACTATAATATTTTACATTTTATACATTGCATGATAAGATACATGAGTAGTCATCAAATGATAAATCCCGAAAAATAGTTTTGCATGTAATTGTTAACATGCGACCCATATAGATCCAAGATTGGTTGACGTTGTCCATAAGCAAAATCATTTGAAGATTGGGTCTCGGATTCTTTTCATGAGCTGCTCGATTCCATCCCAAAAGGAATGGGATATGAAGGGGTTCAATCCCCTTTGCGTGTGTGCTTTGTGTTTTTTTTCTTTCTTTTTTTCCATTACATCGATATTTTCGATATTATAGTTATATTATAACGATATTTGGACAAAATATTGCTGAAGTGTGAGCGAAATTATCGACATTGATATTTTCTGATATTATCGATTTTTATACGATATGTGTATGGATACATTCCAAAACATCCGTGACCTAAAAAACGATCATATCCTCTATATTTCGTCGAAATTATCAATATTTTAGACTATGAGTATATGTAACAGTACATGACTGATCGTGCTTTCATTATATGTAGCACTACTCAGTTTATATATCTTGTGCTTACATTAATATTTGCATATTGATCATGCTAAGTAATGTTCCCTTTGTTTTGTTGGACCAGTATCGAGGAAGATGGAGGTCAGATCTTGAGCGCAGGAAATAAATCAAGGGATAGAGTTGAGGATTATATTATCATTCCTTGTCTTAATAAAATCCATGTATGATTTCCGGTTGCGAATTGATTTATTATGATTTAAGAGAGCCAAATTCATTCATCAGATTTTTAGAAAAAGGATATTTTTGTTGCTTATGTTCCTTAATTCGATTGGGGTGTGAAAATTGAGGATTATATGATCATTCCTTGTCTTAATAAATCCAAGTTGAGATCATGAGCGCAAAAACATCTTGGTCAAATCAAAACCAAGCAATGGACCATGCACGGATTAAAACTGAATCTCATAAAAACTTTTTTATTTGGCAAACAAAAGATAAAGCTTTAATTGGATCTCCAAATTACAAACATGATAATTGTATTCAGGGAACACACTTGGAAGAGAAACCTTATGGAGAGGAGATTGAAAATTCAGGGAACACACTACCAAAAAAAAGCAGGAAGTGTTAAGGAAGAACATTAACAATGTCATTGCTGCTAGGAAGCTAGTTTAATACAGCATGCTACAGGTCAACAAAATGCGACATAATAGAATCTAGGCAAATGCTAGTACTAATTAAGCTGCCTGCAGCACCAACAGCTCCACATTACTTGAATCTTCAAAAACAAAGTTCCCCCTTCGGTTTCGGTGGCCTCTGTGGCATACTGGTGTCATCTAATCGGAGTGATCAACCACAAGCATATATCAGGGCAGGGGTGTGATTCCAAAATTGGAATTCTTTTTTGCTGGGAAAAGAGATCAGTTCTAGCTTTATTGATGTCTATGATTTCAAGGATTTCTTGAAATCCATTACTAACTAAAAAGTACAAAGATTTCCTATTTCCCACCACTCTTCCTATAGGGGAATTGAGAAAGAATATGGCCTAAGATTGCTGTTCGTGTAAGCACTGCAACTGTTTGAGACTTTTGCTGAAGCTTTTCATTTCATTTCAACTTGCGCTAAAAAGAATAGTACTGATCAAAGTTCCAGTTCTGCATCCCACACTTTATTGTAGTTTTGGTTCATAAATCTCCATCTGATGTAAGTTCTCATGTTCTTGTTCAGCGGATACGACTCACTTGGGCAAAAGGCTCTTTGGGAAGTCGTGGAGCTGGTTTAACCTCCTCAGGGTCCCCAAAAACATTCCATAATTTCAGTGTTTCACCACCTGCTGATGCTACTGTGCAACCATTTGGGCTCTGAGCCATATGAAGGACTCTAGACGTATGACCCGTGAGTTCTGCAATTCTAACCATTGATGGGTATTTCCAAAGAGTAAGCTGATTCTGAGTAAACCCATGTGAGCTAAGCAGTTCTCGTTCATTCATATTCCACAGCAAAGCACAAACCTGAGAGCCAGTGTCGACCGAGTTCAGGCAAGCACCTGTCTGAGTGTTCCAGAACTTTATGCACCGATCATTCCCACCTCCACCAGAAGCTAGCAAATTTCTCTGGAAAGGACACCAAGCAAGGGCTTTTACAGCAGCTGTATGGTCTTCAAGCCTGTGAAGCCACTGTGTTGGTGCCACTGATCTGTTGTCCCATATATGGAGCAGGTTATCATTTCCTCCACTTGCTAATTGCTGGCCTGAGGCCGACCACTTAAGCCCACAAACCTCTCGTTCATGTCCTCTGTATGTCTCAACAATGTGCGATCCAATTCTTACATCATTGTTTACAATGCGGCCATCCATTCCTCCAGTTGTAAGAATGTGATTGTTCCATGCTAGTGAGCCTACCCGTGATCTGTGACAACCTCTCAAGGTTCTCAGATACTGCTTTGCAGTTGAATCCCATAGCTGTACTTCAGAATTGTCCAGTCCAATGGCAATGTGGCGTCCATCAAGAGCCCAACTGACACTGGTAACAGGTCCCCTTTCAACATCAAATCTGGCCAGTTCCGAAGTAGAACAATCAGTAGCATCCCACAAATAAACTGTGTTTGCAAGAGCTATTGCGATAACATTGGAGCTTCCCCAATCCAACAAATTCAAGTAGTAATCATCAATAAGGTCAGGAGCATCCAGTGTTCTCTCTGAAGTTTGAGGAATGTGTCTGTGTGGCTTAGGGTTTGCCGGTTTATCCTGTGGCAAAGAAGAGAAGTAGCTCGGGAAAAGCTCTACAGGGGCAGGAGGCTTGTTCTTGAAAGCGAGGATTCTAGTGCGATTCATGTTCATAGCCTCTGCCAACTGCTTCCTATAGTCTCTTCCATATCTAGATGGGTTTTCCTTACCTTTCCTACCTTGAGTAAGCATGTAATGAGCAAAATCAAAATCCATTGCAGACCTATTTGGTATGAACCTGTCCAAATTTTCCCGAGAATTCTTTTTCTGAAGAAGCCGTTCTTCAAGAGGGCACCTAGACTGTGACCCCAAGGTATATGAAGACCTCATTGTTATGTTAAGATGCCACAAGACTATATATATATATATATATATATGTGAAAAATAAAAACAATAACAATAAAGCAGACAGAGAGAGAGACTAAAGATAAAAAAATCCTGCAAATATCCAACAAAACAATAAGCAAAAAATAAGAACTCCTGCAAATGGATCACTCAGTATGCAAAACCCAAACAAAAAAGAACCAGAGAGAATATGAAAAACCCAGCAAGTAGATTAACGGGTGCACAAAATCAAAGCCTGCAAACAATCGTTAGGTTCAATTCAATAAACCCAAAAGTAAATTATATAAGAATACGCAAAAAGAACGGAAATTGAATAGTGGGTTTTAATCTCTGACCGTTGGAAAATTAGGGTTTCCGACAGCCGTTGAAGCCAAAGATGGAAGCCCGCCGAAAACCGAATCAAACCCAGAGAACGCCCAAAACGAATTCAGAGAACGCAAGAGAATTGAAGCGCTAATCAAGACAATAACGAAGTCGACGGCCACTGAGCGTAAATGGTAGAGTTTCTAATTTTTGTTAAGATCAGAGAGCGGATTGGGTTGGATGTGATTTCAAAATCGAGTCCTAAGTTTCGCGGTGACGACGACCGTATATATTTTGTCGAATACGCGTCGAATTAGCGTCAAATACGCGTCGAATTAGCGTCAAATACGCGTAGAATTAGTGTAGAATACGCGTAGAGTTAGCGTCGAATACGCGTCGAATTGGCGTCGAAGATCGAATAAAAATGTTGAGCGAAAGCCCAAACGGCCCATTTTAACTTCCAGCTCATTATGTTTGATTTGTTAAAAATTAGTACACATGGGCAATTAATAAATAAATAAATACATTTGTCTGATATTTAAGGAAAAATTAGGCAATTAATTAGTAAAATATGTAACGGGAAAAGTATGAATAAAATATGTAGGTGTTTTACTCGGTAAAATTTTGGAAAGATACAACTGAAAAGTTTGACCACTATATAATTTATTTTAATATTTTAATATATATATTTTTAATAATATGTGGAAAATATGTGTATAATACATTTACTTTTTAAAATAAAAAACAATTAGCCCCCACAAAGAGAATCAATTAGTAGCACATGAAGGTTTCAACCAAAATCTTGTTATAGTATATAATTTTTTCTTCGATTTTGTTGTTTAAAATCTTGAATATTTAAACTTGTTTGTTTTTTTCTATAAATTTTTGTTGAGTTTCCCTCATTATTGATTTTTGTGTTTAGCTTAGGCTAAGCAGTTTTTAAAGTGTTTTTCTTTTTCACATTTGTTTTTATTTTTATTTTTTATACAAGCGATATTTGGGGAGTGGGGAAAAATTTGGTTAAACATAGGAAAAATTGTGAGCATGGATGGGGCACTTACCAAGAACATTTTGTTCAAAACCAAGCAATAAATAATCACAGATTAAAATTGAGGCTCATAACAAAATTTTTATTTATTTGAAAAATGAATAGGGGTGTAAGTTGGATTGGAAAATCCGATTCCGACTGATTCCAGTCCAAATATTTCCCAAAAAAATCCAACTCTGATAAATATGATATCCGAAAATGCCAAATCTGATATTTCCGATAAATGCCGAAAATTCCGCAATTCCAATTCGAAAAAATTCGGAAGTTTTCCGAACCTATTATGATCCAATTTTTCCAAAGTTTTCTAGAAAATTTTGAATTTCTTATGATAATTGCATTATTTTTAGTGTATAGGTGTTATATATGTTTCATTTCTTAGGTCACATACAAATATTCATATATACTAAAATAGGCTTTGCCAAAAAAATATATGAAACATAATAGTTTATAACTTTAAGAGTATATATTTTTGGCAAATGTGCTTGTTTGAATATAACAAAAAATGCATATGTGTTCTTGTTATATCAAAACGTACTACATATGTGGTAAATGTAGGGAAGTATCATACTATTCCATATTCCATTTTGTATTTTATGTATGTATGTATTTTAAAATTTTAAACTATCTTCATTTAAACTTTTAATTACATGAAACACCACATATAATATAAATATATTCATTGGAGCTTGACAATTATAGTATTCCATTATGTTATTTTTAAAATTTCCATCATGTACGCAACTCAACCTCCCAGTCATATTTCCACCACTTTAGATACGTGTTATATGTACACCCTCTTGTAAGACTTCATTTGGATGAAGAGATTCTAAATGCATGTATGTTAAAATTAGCGCAATAATGAAAAAAATTAAATAAAAAGAATTCAAAAGTCTGACTTAAGCTTCCTTGCACACATTCTCATTCTCTGTCTTTTATATATATGATATATTAAATTGAAAACCTTTTGTTTATTAGAAATTAAAAAACAAAAGTAAAGAGCTAAATAAATAAAATTAAAAGTAAAAAAACCAAAACTTTCCATCTCCCACTTATCTATCCCTCTTTCATTTCTTTATTTAATTTCTCAATTTCCCACTTACTCTCATTCATTTCATTTGTTTATTTTCCCCCTCTCTTGCAATACTCACGTTCTTAACCCTAAGTAACACACACACACACACACACACACACACACACACATATATATATATTGCAGCCGCCGCACCCTTTTTTTTTCTTTCTTCCCTCTCTCTCTTCCATGGCTCCTCTATCTCTTCTTCTTCCTCCTCTCTCCTTATTCTTGTTTGGGTTCGATTGGTTGGTCGAGTGATTGGGTTTAATTGTGTTCTGTTTGACAGTGATACTTGTGCTCTGTCTTTGGAGATGTTGAATTCATATTGTGTGAAAATGCTGAGTTATTAGGTGGAGGGATGGTGGATGGAGGCTGTGGTGGGTTTGACTGTGGTGGAGGCTATGGCGTTGGCGTTGGAGTGGGTCTCACAGAAGAAGGCAAAAAGAGAAAGGAAGAAGCAGCGGGGTGTTCCATTTTTGGGTCTGGGTTTGAGAAAGAAAGTATGACTATATTATGAAGAATTCAAAAATTCGGAATCGGAAAGTTCCGAATTTTTCCAAAATTTTTCAGAATCAGAATCGGAAGTGTTTATTGAATTCCGAAAGGTTTCGGACGGAAATTGGAATGGCTATTTCCAATCCGATCTGTCCGAATTACAAGCCTAAAATGAAAGAAAAAGCTTTAATTGGATCAACAAAATTACAATTATACTACTAGTAGGAAGAGCTCACACAAGCTCACTAGCAAATGTACTGGCTTGTACTAATTAAGTTCCCTGCATCACCCAAAGCTCTCTGATAGAGATATCTCCACATCTAATCCTAACCGTTCATCACAAAGTTGTTAATTTCTGTTTAGCTTTGTTTTAACAAACTGTACAGCCGTCATTTGTACAGCTATATTATTTCAAGTGTATATAAACAATTCCATGTAATCATTAATTGTTTAATGAAATGAGAATACAATTCTTGTTTTCTCACATGGTATCACGAGCCCTAGTCTAACGACTTTTCTCTCTGCAAATTTTCTTGCAATTTTCTTCCTTGCCAAACACCTTTCTTCGATCACTTTCTCTCTCCTTTTTTCCCTTTCTTTGATCACTTTCTCATGGCTACTCCGACCAATTCTGATGCGGCCCCTCTTCCACCGCTCTCTTCTCCTTCTTCCCCCAATTCTGATGCAACCAATTCTGTTCATTCGCCATTGTCACACTCTGTGAGCTCGGTGACTGTCCAGAACATCGCTGGTATGGTTCCTATCAAGCTGAAATATGGAAATTATCTGTTGTGGAAGAATCTTTTTCTTCCGGTGCTGCGCAAATTCAAGCTTCTTGGTCTTATCAATGGCGTTGAACCTTCTCCTCCGCGCACCATCGTTTCTTCTTCAGGTGCTGTTGTTGAGAATCCACAATATGATCTCTGGTATGATCGCGATCAAAGCCTCATGATCTGGCTTATTTCAACTCTCTCTGAGGATCTTCTCTCTCATATTGTGGGCATTGAATCTGCTCAAGATTTGTGGAATCTTTTTGAAAGGCATTTTTCTAGTGTTTCTCGAGCCAATATTCATCAACTACGCTCTCGTCTTCAAAGCATTTCTAAAGGCGTCCTCTCTATGGATTCTTATCTTCAATATGTGAAGGAATTGCTGATGGCTAAGCAGCTGCTGGTCAATCGTTGTCGGAATCAGATCTTGTTGCCTATGTGCTCAATGGTCTCCCTGATGAATATGACTCTTTCATTACTTCAATCGAGACAAGAATTGAACCTGTTACTCTCGATGAATTACATCTCTTTTACTCAGCCGTGAGTCTGCGATTCTCAAACGCAAAACTTGATCCACCTCTGCGGTTACTACTGAGCCTTTTCATGCTTACGCTGCTATTTCTGGTTCTTCTCGCTCAACTTTCAGAGGCGGACGTGGTCGTGGTCGGTTCCATTCCAACTATGGTTCTCAATATCATTCTCGTAATCACCCTTTCCCTGGCACCACCAACTCCTCTGGCCGAGGCCTTTTACCTACGCCGTCATCTTCTTTTCCTGGCAACACCTCCAATGGTACCACCTCCAATGGTTTCTTCTACAATTCTTCTGGATTCTCTACTGATCGTTCCATGACTTGTCAAATTTGTGAGCGCAAAGGTCATTCTGTTCTAACATGTCGCTAGAGGTTGATTCTTTCTTACAATGCTAATGTGGTTCCTGCCCGATTTCAAGCTCCTTCCGCGCACTATGCTCACTCTGCTTCTCAGCCTACTGATAATCTCTGGCTTGCCGACTCTGGTGCTTCGAATCATGTTACCTCAAATATGAGCAATCTGAGTCACTCCTCCCCATACACAGGATCTGAGACTCTCTGTGTTGGTGATGGTAATTCCTTACCTATCTCTAATACTGGATCTACTATTTTGCATACCTCAAATGCTAAGTTTCATCTCCTAAATGTTCTCCATGTGCCTTAAGTTGCTCATAATTTGCTCTCCGTGCACAAATTTGTTAGTGATAATCACTGTTCCCTAATTTTGGATGAAATTGGTGTATCAATTAAGGACAATGCTACACAGAGGATGTTCTATCAGGGCCCTTGTGAACAAGGTTTATATCCCATCTACTGCAGCTCATCAGTTCAAGTTTCACCTCTCTCCTCTAGCACCTCTCCTACAGCTTTCTTAGTCAGTAAGGCTTCTCTTCAAACTTGGCACAAGAGGTTAGGACATCCTCATTCTGCTATACTCAAGACTCTTGTAACTAGTAATAAACTTCCTTTAGCGGGTTCTAGCTTTTCTAAGCCCCACTGTACTGATTGTATTCTTGGTAAAGCTACCAGGCTTCCTTTTACTTCTTCTTCATCTGTATCCACTACACCTCTAGAATTGGTGCACTCTGATGTTTGGGGACTGAGTCCAATTGACTCGTGTACTGGCTATAGATACTATGTACTGTTCTTGGACGATTACACTAAGTACAACTGGATTTTTTCCTCTTAAATTCAAGTATGATGTTTGTGAGGTTTTCAAAGTTTTTAAGGCAAAAATGGAAAATGTCTTAAATTACAAGATTAAGTATCTGCGCAGTGACTCAGGTGGTGAATATCTTAGTACTGGCTTTCAAACTTTTCTTAACCAACAAGGCATTATTCATCAATTTAGTTGTCCCCATACTCCTCAACAAAATGGGAGTGCTGAGAGGAAACATCGACACATAGTTGAACTTGCACGAACCTTCTTAGCTGCCTCTGGAGTACCTCATAAATATTGGGTGGATGCCTTTCTCACTGCTACTTATCTCATTAATCGCTTGCCTCACCATACTAGCCATATGTCTCCTTGGCAGCTTCTCTTTAACACTCATCCCAATTATCATAGTCTCAAGGTTTTTGGCTGTGCATGTTTTCCATGGCTCCAACCCTATGCTCCCTCCAAACTTCATCCTAAAAGTAAACTCTGTATTTTTATTGGTTATAGCTTGAATCATTATGGTTACAGATGCTTAGACCCTGTAACGGGGAGAGTTTTCACTTCAAGGCATGTTATTTTTCATGATGACCACTTCCCTTTTACTGTCTCTTCTTCCTCCTCCACTTTTCAATTTCCTATTGAGCTTACTTTTCTACAGTCTTCTTCAACTAGGGAGGTCTGCACTTCTTTACCTCCAGTCTCTCCTTCTTCCAACACACCACAGTTGAACTCCTCTTTGCCTCTTCCTTCCTTACCTCCAGGCTCTCCTTCACAATCTGATTCTCCTTTACCCTCTTCAATTGACTCTTTACTTTCCCCTGCTCCACTTCCCCAAAATACTCATTCTATGGTTACACGTTCCAAAAATGGCATTACCAAACCAAAAGCTCTTTTTGCCACTCAAAATCCTATTTCTTCCTCTCTGGATCACCTCTCTCTCTTACCCACCACACCTACTACATATAAACAGGCTGTGAAATCTAAAGTATGGCAAGATGCCATGCAAGCTGAAATTGATGCTTTGCTCAAGACCAATACATGGACCTTGGTTCCTCCTTCTTCTTCTCAAAATATTGTTGGCTGCAAATGGGTATATCGAATCAAACATACAGCTGATGGTTCTGTGGAAAGGTATAAGGCTCGACTAGTTGCGAAAGGATTTCATCAACAAGAGGGTTTGGACTACACTGAAACCTTTAGTCCAGTGGCTAAACCCTTGACCATTAGACTGTTTCTTTCTCTGGCGGTTCAATTTGACTGGTTTTTAAACCAATTAGATGTCAGCAATGCCTTCCTTCATGGTTTTTTAAAGGAAGATGTTTTTATGGAGCAACCTCCAGGTTTTCTTGACTCTACAACGCCTCATTATGTCTGCAAGTTGAATAGGTCTCTCTATGGTTTAAAACAAGCTCCCCGGGCTTGGTATGAGGAATTGTTTCATTCTTTGCTCCAGTTGGGTTTTCGATCTTCACAGGCAGATTCATCTCTTTTCATTAAAAGTGATCATTCTCTGGTTTTTATCCTTGTTTATGTGGATGATATCTTGGTCACTGGTCCTTCTTCTCTTGCTTGTCACCAAGTGATTAAACAACTCAGCTCTATTTTTCCCGTTAAAGATCTTGGCCCAGTGCTTACTTTCTGGGATTAGAAGTTCATCGCAGCTCTCAAGGTCTTGCTTTATCTCAGACAAAATATGCCTATGATCTTCTTCAACGAACTGACTTTCTCGGTGCCAAACCTTGTTCAACTCCCTTGGGCTCCTCTAAGTTGGATCTTGATAGTCCAGCACTTTCTGACCCCACTTTTTATCGTTCTACCGTTGGGGCACTTCCGTATCTTACTTGGACCAGACCTGATTTAGCTTTTGTTGTCAATCAGGTCTGTCAACACATGCACAACCCCAGAGAATCTCATTTAGCTGCTGTAAAAAGGATCCTAAGGTATCTTAAAGGCACTCTTCATCTTGGTCTTTGGTTTAGAAAGGGTCAGCCTCTTCTTCAAACTTTTTCTGATGTTGATTGGGCAGGTTGCCCTGTTGATCGACGTTCTACAAGTGGGTCTTTGTGTTTCCTCGGCCCCAATCTTCTCTCTTGGTCTGCCAAGAAGCAAACTACAGTTGCTAGAAGCTCCACTGAGGCTGAGTATCGAAGTGTTGCCTTAGCTGCTGCTGAATTGGTTTATCTAGCTAAATTGTTTAAAGATATTGGCTTCTTTCTAGGCACTCCTCCTCTTCTCTGGGTGGATAATCAATCTGCTATTTCTTTGGCTTCGGTTTCTAATCCTGTGTTTCATGCCAGGACCAAACACGTGGAAGTTGATTATCACTTCACACGAGAACTGGTGCAAAATGGGTTCCCTTAGGCTTCACTATGTTTGCTCTTCTAATCAGCTTGCTGATATTTTACGAAGTCTCTATCTTCCTCTCGATTTGTGTATCTTCGATCCAAGCTTTCAGTTTGTGACACTACCTTCAGCTTGAGGGGGGCTAATAGAGATATCTCCACATCTAATCCTAACCGTTCATCACAAAGTTGTTAATTTCTGTTTAGCTTTGTTTTAACAAACTGTACAGCTGTCATTTGTACAGCTATATTATTTCAAGTGTATATAAACAATTCATTAATTGTTTAATGAAATGAGAATACAATTCTTGTTTTCTCACACTCTCCACATTAACCAAATCTTCAAAAGCAAAGTCCCCCATTTGGTCTTGATGACAAATTTAAGCCATGATCCAGGTCTCTGTTGCATACCGGTGTCGGCTTAATCGGAACAGTCGATGAATCAAGCACCTTACTATGACAAACAGGGCACTTCATTTGAGAGGTGAAAAACTGCAGCCATTTGTCCAAACAATCCCCACAATACAAATGACCACGAGAAGTCACAACTGGCTCTCTTGCCATCTTCAAGCACAGCTTGCAGTCAAAATAGAAAGCATGTCTTGGTGGAGACCACGGCTCTGGACTTGCAGGGCAGAGTGAAGCTTCAAGATCATGGCTTTCTTGCTCATCGTCATCATCTTGATGATGGGTAGAGCTCGAATCATCCCGATGTGGAGTATAGCGACCACTTTGTGAACTCTCTCATGACCATTTTCACTTTCATGGGCATCACATGAATCACAGATTGAATAAACTCTAGAGCTCTCATGCTCAAATTGGTCATATTGGGGATTAATTTCAGAACCAGAATATTCATCAGATAGAGAGATATCACCACAATCATCTTCACCCATGAGTTCACACTCATCTGGTTCTAGGATTCCATCAAGTTCTTGACTTTCATGCTCATGATCATTATCTTAGATGATGGGTAGAGCTTGAATCATCCAGTGATGGGTTAAAATCATCACTTTTTGGGCTATATGTCTCATATCTTCACTTTCACGGGTAGAATATGGATAAAAAATTGTACCCACATCAGAGCTATCATACTCAAACTCACAACCAAGACTAGGACTTTTACCTTCCATGGAAGCGCAAGCCTTAGTTTCCGACCAAGAAAACTCATCAGGTTCAGACATATCATCCCCATAGCCATAATCAACATCTTCATCCATGAGTTGATACTCCTCTGGTTCTGGGATTCTGAAGTGGAAAATCTCAATGGGCGGATAGACGTAAATGGGTCCAATAAAATGTTGCTCCCTTCTCTAAAAACAAAAAAGAAAAAAAAAGAAAAAGAAAAAAGCTCTCTTTTCTTTTCTATCAGAACTTCAGAAGAAGCCCGCAGAACCAGAAAAAGACCGCGCACTTGTACTTCTGCTTCAGCTAAAGTAAGCTCTCTCTTATTATGAAAACACCGTGATTGTTGTAATTATTATAAAGGTAAAATAACAAGAGTGTATTTTTGCTAACTACTTTAACTCAAAGTGTACTTTTATTATCATTCTCACACTTGACATGTGTCTACGAATATAACCATGGTTCCACAAATACAGAGCAAATAGTTAATTATGGTTATGCCCATGGACACGTGTCAAGTGTTGAGAATGATGATAAGAGTATAGATTGGATTTAAAAATATTTCTAAATAAGAAAACAGAAGAATCTTGGATTAGTGGTGGGAATTGTTGGATAATTTTTTTTTCCAAGAGAATACCATGGAGGACAATAGACAAAAGTTTTCACTCCTTGAGAGAATCATGTCATTAGGTTTCATATAAGACTTGTCACATTCCTATGGCCCATATGCATCATGCAGCCTACAAGGTTTAGGTCCAAAATTTGTAGCTTAGCAAATTTAAAATGCTAATACAATGTCTTTTTTATTGATTTGTTTTTTTTATTTAACAAATTTGCATCTAGAATGGTACTTTTTAATAAGTTGAAGAGGTGATTTGACTCAAAATGGTTTGTGTAGCGCTGTCATTGTAAAGGGAATTTTTTCTATATGCCTTAAAATATAGCAATGGGGTCATGCCGTACAAAGCCGTCCTTGGTATTGAATTGTTTACAATGGATTTTAGAGCACCAAGAAAAGAAGAAAAAGAAAAGGGACAACCTGAATAAAACAAAGTGAGAGAATCTTTGGTGAAGCAGCTGCTTCTTGCGATGGCTGAACAGTGGTTGCGAAAAACTCCCCATACTCTTCAAGCCTTCTATGGTTTCTTCATTGTTTTTTTATATATATCTTATTATAAGCGATTAGGAAAGAAAATTTTATGCAAATATTCATTGAGTATTTGAAGATTTAACCAATTAAACTATACCCACTGACATCGCTACTTCATTGTTTAAGGCTCGGGCTGACCATATTTTTCTTCTGCAACTTAGGTTGCAGTAAGTCGGAAGTCTTTGTTTTATTTTACACATCATTTTGACTTTACTTGGTGGTGATCAAAGTAGAATAACTAGCCCATAATCCGGCCTTGTAATGTATCCCTTGAGGAAATTGATGAGCCAAAAACCTTTCCACTGACATGTTCTACAAAGCTAACAGAATTAAATATAGTATGTGACCTAGGAGTTAGGGTATCAATATCTTGAAACCGACTCCTATCTCTCGCCACTAAAGAATTACAAGGAAAGATTTCTTGTCTGACAAATTGAGGATATTATATTGTTAGATTCTCGATAATACTGTAAGTTCAAAGATAAGTTTATTCGTTTAATTAATTATATGGTATTCCTAACATTATTCTTGTTGAAAATGAGTTGTTAGGGTCAACGACTTAAATATCACTCCTATTCCTGGTTTCCAAATAATTAATAGGAATGATCTCTTGTCTGACAAATGTAGCATTAAGCATGTTATGTTTCTAGATTCTCGATAAGACCGCACATTCAAACATGAGTTCATTTGTTGAATGATTATGATTGACAAATGAAGCAATAACATGTGACACAAAAATTACTATTATAAAATATAAGAGTTGTTATTAGCACTCCAAAAAAAATACAATTATGCACTTCTCAAACTGTAATTTCTTCCTTATGTTTTAACAAGGAGGAGTGCAAGATTATTTTTTGGAGTGTCAACAATAATAGTTCCTTAAAAATATTTATTATACATATATTTGCTCATTACAGTTCTTTAATTATTTTTATTTGATCAAAGTCGGTCCTTGTGTGCAAAAGCCACCCAAGGATTTTTCTTCTGAACCTTTTTATTTATATTTTTTGTATTGTTCTGATCGAACTCTATCAGCAAAGTAATTTAAGTTTTCAGATGCTAGCTACTTGAGTGGTAAATTAATTATCATTGCTATGGTGGGTAAAAACATTTATCTCTTTCATATCCGAGGTATTGTGAGTTAAAATCAGATTAAGACTCATCTTATATTAAAATATTCAGCAAAATCAACTTTCTTTCACTTCATTCATAACCTTTGTCTTTTCTAAACAGAGAATCAAATGAGGAAAAGGGACATTATAATATTGGGGAGAGAGAGAGAGAGAGAGAGAGAGAGAGAGAGAAACATTAATAAATGAAATTTGCTGACTCCGTACGGAACCTAAAGAATAGAAACGTTGCGACCAAAGCCCCCAACAGCAAATGGCGGCAAAGTAACCAACCCATTTAACCACACAAAAAAAAAAAAAAAAAAAAAAAAAAAAAAAAAACTGAAAAGAATTGGTTTGGTTTGGCAGAGCTCTATGCTGGCATTGGCCGGCTGATCTTCACAAGCGGCGGAGATGTCATTTTGCATCTGGACCCACCCACATACTCTTCTTAATTTGAATTGGTACATCTTATATTGTACTTTGCTCAATTCAAAACACGTTGATTGGTTGTGTATTGTTGGTCCCTTAGTGGTGTGGGGTGTCTATATATTCCAAGGCATTTGTACGTTTCCTGGCACTCTCTACTCTCACTCCAAACACTGCCAAGTGCTTTCTTTTGGCTCTTGGGCTCTGGGGAGGTTAAGAAGGTAACGAAAGTTTGTGGCTTTCTATGTTGCAGAGCTGGGATTTTGCTTAATTAGCAGACCACAAGTTTTTCTGGGTAGTGATTTAATCACATTCTTGGTTAGTAATTTTCTTTGATTTGAGAATTGTGATTATGTTGAGCAGTTTTTTTTGTTTTTTTTTTTTTTTTTTTTTCTTTCTTTTTGTTTTGTTAATGGTGCCATAATCTGTGTGTTGGTATCTTTTATGGGGATATATTTTCCAGGAAAAGTTAATCATGTTTATAGATAGTGTGATCCTGCAATAAGTTCTATGTCCTTGCAAAGAAAATGAAAGGAAAAAGAAGGCAAATTTTGATATGAAGTACTGTCTGTTCAGGCTCCTTACCGACAACTTGCTAGTGGAGGAGTTGAGGAGGCTAAAGGGAATCCAAAATGGTGGCGGACTCGATTGCCCTCGATGCGATCATCAAGGAAGCTGTTGATCTGGTATGACCAAATGAGCATTGATAGTAGTTTCAAGTTCTACAGTTTGACAGCAGAAAGCAGAGAGAAAATAAATGTTTCATTACTGTATACTTTGATAGTTGGAGCTGAATAGCCCTTGATAAAACTTGGATGTGATTTATGCAGGAGAATGTACCCCTGAAAGAAGTTTTTGACCATCTGAAATGCACAAGAGATGGTTTGAGCTCTGATGAAGTCCAAGAGCGGTTGGATTTATTTGGCTATAATAAACTTGAAGAAAAAAAGGTCAGAAACCAACTGATATGCATGAATATCTCTTTATATTTGTTTATGTGTATGTGTACCCTGGTTATCATTCCTCTACTTCACTCATTGATTGTTCTACTTTCTGTTCATCCATAGGAAAGTAAATTCTTAAAGTTCTTGGGCTTTATGTGGAATCCTCTGTCCTGGGTTATGGAAGCTGCAGCTATCATAGCCATTGCTTTTACACAAGGAGGGGTAAGTCTATATTACTTCAGGCCAACGACCATTTGATCTAATGGTTATTACTTTCCACTATGTGGATGAAGGTCCTGAGTTCAAATCTCATTGACGGCCATTTCTGAATAAATAAATAAAATATGAAGCTTAAAGAAAAAAATAAAATTGGGAGTGATTTTCTTCAGTGCAATGAATCTACAGTTCCATGACTGTGACATATTTTTTTTTTTTTTTTTTTTTTTTTTGGTTGGTGCAGTCAAACCAGCTGATTATCATGATTTTTTTGGCATCCTGGTCCTCCTCATTATCAATTCTACCATCAGTTTTATAGAGGAAAACAATGCAGGAAATGCTGCTGCTGCTCTTATGGCTCGGTTGGCCCCAAAAGCAAAGGTCTTTCTCTTGATGTCTTTTGGATAAGCTAGCTTTGCAGTTTGACCTTCCCTTTCTTCTTTTGTTTCTTGTTGAAGCTCTTGCCTACATTAGCCTTACTTGGATTGGTCAATGATTAAAATTGCTCAAGATAGATTGGAATTCCTTTCATGTAGTAAGAAACTATGAATTAGCATCTTGTTTCTACTTTGTTTTGACCTATGAATGCTTACCAGGTCCTGCGTGATGCAAAATGGGCTGAAGAAGATGCAGCTGTATTGGTTCCTGGAGACATAATTAGCATCAAACTTGGTGATATCATTCCTGCTGATGCACGTCTTCTTGAAGGAGATCCTTTAAAGATTGATCAGGTAAATCAATAAAATATGATGAGTGTGTATATATGTTAGATGCCACAGAATAGACCATGTTGGAAAAAAGATATCTGTTAATGAGACAGAGTCAACAATCTTCTCCACATGCTTTCCTGTTTCTCACTTAAGTTTACAAGCTTTTTATCTGAAATCTAGGAATATTATTGATGTAGTGTAGTATCAGCTTTTCCTGGAAATTGAAATTTTCCTTTTCACTTGTAGTCTGCTCTTACTGGAGAATCACTTCCAGTGACCAAAAATCCTGGTGACGGGGTTTACTCAGGATCAACATGCAAGCAGGGAGAGATTGAAGCAGTTGTTATTGCAACTGGAGTTCACACTTTCTTTGGAAAGGCAGCTCATCTTGTGGAAAACACAACACATGTTGGCCATTTCCAGCAGGTTCTTTTATAAGCCATTTTGTGTTGAGTGTTGGGTTCTGAAAAATGAAAGTTTTCTAGCAGTTATGGAAAAACTTCTCCACATTGTAATAATAACTAATGTCGCATGTGCTAAACAATAACAAATGGTAATAATGATTTCATGGTTGCAGGTTTTAACATCAATTGGAAACTTCTGCATCTGTTCCATTGCTGTTGGAATGGTGATTGAAATTGTAGTAATATATGGAATTCATGGGAGGGAATACCGTGTTGGTATTGATAACCTACTTGTCCTCCTAATTGGAGGGATCCCTATTGCTATGCCAACTGTTCTTTCTGTTACAATGGCCATTGGTTCACATCGTTTGTCTCAGCAGGTTTGTGATTGCACAAACTCCACTTCAGAGATTGATTTGGAAGATAAAATTGAAGACATTTAATAGATTTTCCTATTTAAATTCAAAGGTGCATAATAGAAATCCATGTTTTTGCAGGGTGCCATAACAAAGAGAATGACTGCCATTGAAGAAATGGCTGGAATGGATGTACTATGCAGTGATAAAACAGGGACACTGACACTTAACAAGCTTACAGTGGACAAAAACATGGTTGAGGTATTACTTGTGTTCCCTTCAACTCACTTTAAAAGCAATGGAACAACATAAAACCTAGTAAATACTTCACCCTTAGGAACATATTTTTGTAAGTTCAGTCACCGACACACATCACAGGAAGAGAGATGTACCAAAACCAACATATTTTACACACTTAAATTAATTGATGTCCATTAGACAATTACATATCTTAGGTGATCAGTGAAAATCAAGGCAGCAAATTTTGCTAATGCATATTAAGAGAACTTTTACTAATTATTCCTATATATGAATCGAAAGCTCATGCTTTCTTCTTCTTTTTTTTCCCTGGTAAATGAAAGATTACACTTTTTCTTATAATGAAAGCCTTTTAATGAAGATCAATATGTTGCAATTTTCATTTATTTTGATGTTATCCATGTCATGCAGGTTTTCGCGAAAGGTGCTGACAAGGATCAGGTTATACTTATGGCTGCAAGAGCATCGAGATTAGAGAATCAAGATGCTATTGATACTGCAATTGTTTCAATGTTGGCAGACCCTAAGGAGGTATTGTCCTAATTACTCTTTCTAAATCATTGATTTTAGTCTAATCTTTAGTTTCGTGCTGATTTTTTAATGTAATTCTCATGTCAACTTTTAAGGCAAGAGCTGGAATCAGAGAAATTCACTTCCTTCCATTCAATCCTACTGATAAAAGAACTGCACTTACATATATTGATGCTGCTGGTAAAATGCACAGGGTCAGCAAGGGTGCACCAGAGCAGGTGAAATACAGATGTCAAAAAATTTCAGCAGTCCTGTAAACCTTAAGATTGCTTACAAAAATTTTGAGCTCTAATCAAATGTATGTTATGCAGATTCTTCATCTGGCACATAACAAATCAGAAATTGAAAAGAAGGTGCATACAATGATTGACAAGTTTGCTGAACGTGGACTACGATCCCTTGGTGTTGCCCGTCAGGTAATTAATGTCATTGAATTCTTTACTGCCTGGTGGACATGTTTTTTGGTTTAGATTTTTGAGACAGAGATTTCCTCCAGGAAGTACCTGCTGGAACCAAAGATAGTCCTGGTGGCCCCTGGGAATTTGTTGGCCTTCTCCCTCTCTTTGACCCTCCTCGCCATGATAGTGCTGAAACAATCAGAAGAGCTCTGGATCTTGGTGTCAGTGTTAAAATGATCACTGGTACATACCACTGAGCTTAGAATTTTTTATTTTTACTGGAATTTTCTTTTTCCTTCATATACAGTTTCACCATAAGCTATGAGAGATGTAACCTTCATGCATCACCATTTGCAGGGGACCAACTTGCAATTGGTAAGGAAACAGGAAGGAGGCTTGGGATGGGCACAAACATGTATCCCTCTTCAGCTCTGCTTGGTGAAAGTAAGGATGGGGATCTTGCTACCATCCCCATTGATGAACTCATTGAAAAAGCTGACGGTTTTGCTGGCGTCTTTCCTGGTTAGCCTTGTTCTTTTATTATTTAAGCGCTGTGGATTTGATTGTTTTATTCTGTTTCTCCTCATATCTTTCTTTCCTTCAGAGCATAAATATGAGATTGTGAAGAGATTACAAGGTAGAAAACATATCTGTGGAATGACTGGTGATGGAGTGATGATGCCCCTGCCTTAAAGAAAGCTGACATTGGAATTGCAGTAGCAGATTCCACAGATGCTGCCCGCAGCGCTTCTGATATAGTCTTAACAGAACCTGGATTGAGTGTAATCATTAGTGCTGTGTTAACAAGTCGTGCTATCTTCCAGAGAATGAAAAACTATACGGTAACCTAATGATTTCAAAACATCCATGAACTACTTAGTAAAATATTTAATTGTCTAGAACACCTGCTTAGTTTCTTTTTCTTGTTTTCCCCTTCCCAGATATATGCTGTGTCGATCACCATACGTATTGTGGTAAGCTTCCCATTTAAGTAACTTTTTTTATATGGAATCTTATAGAATGTTTCTTGCATCAATCTTATCTCATTTCCAACATAAATGTGTATTACAGCTCGGTTTTATGTTGTTGGCTGTCTTCTGGAAATTCGACTTTCCTCCTTTTATGGTTCTTGTCATTGCTGTTCTTAATGATGGTTAGCTTTTCTAGTTTTACCCTTTTCCATCCATTTAATGAATTTTTGCTCCTGCTCATTACCTAACTTGTTAGCTTGCTGATAGGTACTATAATGACCATATCAAAAGATAGGGTCAAACCGTCTCCATTTCCCGACAGTTGGAAGCTCAGTGAAATTTTGTAACTGGAATTGCTCTTGGTGGTTACCTGGGTCTAACGACTGTTTTGTTCTTCTGGATATCCCATGAAACCAACTTCTTTCCGGTAAATGGCCTCCCTTTTCTTGTCATGTTGTGAAGAATTTCATAAAACTTCGAACTTTTGTGGTTGGCTAACAAAATTCAGGGTGCCCTTTTAAATTTTATACATAGCAGATGTTTTCTTCCTAAGTGTTTTTGTTACAAAAGAAGTTATGTCTTTTGTTGTTTAAAATAGGGTTGTATTCTACAGCTGATATGGTCATTGCAAAGTCTATTGTATGTTCGCTTAAAGAATAGATGAAATCGTGGATAGATTTTCATTACTTTCTTGACTTTGGACACTGACCTTTCTTCTTGCAGGAAAAATTTGGTGTGAGAGACTTCAATCAACACCATTTTAATATGACAAATAAGAAAGTTGCTGCTAAACTAAATGACCAGATGTCGTCTGCTCTGTATCTTCAAATCAGCACCATCAGCCAGGCCTTGATATTTGTCACTCGCTCCCGGGGTTGGTCTTTCACCGAAAGACCTGGCTTTTGCTTGTTATTGCCTTCATCGTTGCTCAACTGGTAATGAGTTTATAATCTGGTTACATGAAACATACTTTCTGCCAAATATAGGATAGATATGGTTTCTGAAACAGACTATCAAAACTAGTTTAATTAATACAAAAGAGGACCTATTTGGGTCAACTGAAAACCATTCTAAAATCCACCCCCTCATTTTTCTTTCCTTTTCTTGAAGTGGATATTTCTGATTTATTGCCTATAGTTTGATAAGATAATTCTAGTTTATATGAGATGTCTGATCTCCAGACACATCCTGAGATTCTAGATAAATTCTGGAGGGAAAAGCTTCATGCATTGTACACCAATTACCTCTGCCCTCTTAATGTCTCAAATTCAGTTTATTAACAGTTCCTACCTTCATATTACCCTTTCAATTCCAATGTTTCGAAATATTTTTAATAGCGAATAATTTTTTGCAGATTGCGACTGTAATATCTGCCACTGCAACCTGGAAATTTACTAACATCAGAAGTATTGGTTGGGGATGGACTGGTATAATTTGGTTGTACAATATTATCATTTACATGCTCCTTGATCCCATCAAATTTGCTGTCCGTTATGCTCTCAGTGGACAGGCATGGGGTTTGGTAGTAGATCAAAGAGTGAGTACCTGACTTCACCTTGATTGCTTAATATTGTGAACAAACTTCTCATAAAATATGCAACGGTGATGAACGAAACTATTGTATACCTTTAATCATCATGAACTCCTTAGTAAAGACTGATTTGGTATGCTTTTATCCATCTTACCAGACCGCATTTACCAGCAAAAACGACTTTGGAAAGGAAGCACGTGAGGCTGCATGGGCAACTGAACAGCGAACACTACATGGACTCCATCTGTTGACAGAAAAAATGTTTTCGGAGAGGAACACTTTTAGGGACATTAATCTCATGGCAGAAGAAGCTAAAAGGCGGGCAGAGATTGCAAGGTAAAGCTTACAATGGTAGAGATATAGCTGAGTTAAATGCGATATAATGAGAATTCATTTTGCCTATTTGCTTATCCTTCTGTTTCTTACTTTTGGTTTTTGACATTGCGGTTTTTTTTTTTTTTTTTTTTTTTTTTTTTTTTTTTTTTTTTTTTTTTTTTTTTTTTTTTTTTTTTTTTTTTTTTTTTTTTTTTTTTTTTTTTTTTTTTTTTTTTTTTTTTTTTTTTTTTTTTTTTTTTTTTTTTTTTTTTTTTTTTTTTTTTTTTTTTTTTTTTTTTTTTTTTTTTTTTTTTTTTTTTTTTTTTTTTTTTTTTTTTTTTTTTTTTTTTTTTTTTTTTTTTTTTTTTTTTTTTTTTTTTTTTTTTTTTTTTTTTTTTTTTTTTTTTTTTTTTTTTTTTTTTTTTTTTTTTTTTTTTTTTTTTTTTTTTTTTTTTTTTTTTTTTTTTTTTTTTTTTTTTTTTTTTTTTTTTTTTTTTTTTTTTTTTTTTTTTTTTTTTTTTTAATATAGTGTATACTATTGCTTGTCTTGAAAAACAATATATAAAAAATCAAATTTTGGAGATTTAGAAATTAAATTTAGTTTAGAGATTTTATGAAATTAAATTAAATTAAATCAATTGTTAGAGTTATAGCTGATGAGTTTAAATTGATTTTAATGAGTTGTTTAGTTTTAATTATTGATTTTAATGGAGGTTATTACCTCAAAAAACAAAGGGTTTTAAGGGTGATGCGATGGTTGGCGTGTGTTGTGGTATGGTGGGGCAGGTGGAGGGGTGTAGGTGGCGGTGGGTGTGGAGTTGTTGGGTGGTGCTGATGGGCTGGGGGATGGTGGTGATGCGGTGGTTGTGGCGCGACGATGATGATTGTGGTGGTGGTGGTGGCGGCGGTGGCAGTAATGCTAGCCATGATAAAATTGTGGTAATAGAAGTGGTGAAATCATATCCTGAGAATAAAAATAATATATCTATGGCAGAAATTTTTTTTATTTAAAAAAAAGCATCTTTTGCTTCCAAATTATTTATGGTTCTTATTCATTTGGTGGAACTTTGGGCATGATGGATTTGGACAATGAATCTACTGTCCTTAGGAGATGATGTGGGCAAAACTTAATAATGGTGATGATGATGAATTTGCACCTCTATAAGATGGCTATAACTGTTGGCAAATGGCAAGTCAAGGAGACAAGGGAACAACTCAACTACAGTCTGATAGGAATACCATTAACAAGGGGGTATATAGTTGTATCGACAATATATTGAGTATAAAGGGTTTCATCCAACTTTAGGGTTCTTTTATTTCTTATTTAAGCCAACTTAGGTTAGTTGTATTGGGACGTTTTATAATATTATCAATAAAATTCATAAATTTTTCTCTATTTTTTAGTGGGATTTGACATTTGTTGATCTCTTTTATCGTATTTTCATTCTTGTTTGTTTGTTCATTGACTTCCAATTCTCATCAAACCAAAGTTGTCCTTTTGTAACACTCATTGTAGAGGAAGTTCGCCTACTCATAGTGGTTGGGTTGTCCCTACTAACTCAGGGCATAAGGCGTGATTAATGCAACCTCACACACCAAATGGCAGTGAACAAATATCTTGCCCATATAGTTTAGTCTCCATTATACGCAATCATAACGCAATCATTGTACCCTGAACTATATGGGTGATTATCTTGCCAATGATGTGGCACATGTGGGCTCCATCTATGCTGATAGTGACAACATATGTGTGCCAGGAGGGCATAGAAATTATATTATCAATAACATTGATATTGTTGTAAAGTAAAGAGTGAAGCCCACATAAAATAAAGTAAGAGGATATTAGTCAAAAGATGAAATCATAATGTTGGGGAGAAATCATTATGTCTCCCTTAGAAGCCATTTGCTTTGCCTATAAATAGGCATCATCTCTGCTTGTAAAGAGTGACAAATGAAGAAGAGAATTGAGTGAGAGTCAGAGAAGAAAAGAGAGTGAAGTCTATTCTATCAGTGTAAACACCACAAGAGAAATATAATTCCACTCCCAATATTTCAGTAGTACTTCTCATGCTATTTGATTTCTTTAGTTTTTATAACAGATATTTCTTTTGTTGAAAAAATTATGGAGACTTTTTTGTTGTTGCAGGAGGTGTATCCAATTCATATTTATAAAGACTTTTTCAAGTGAGTGACTTTCCTAGACTTTGTTGCCATGAGGTGTATCCAATCCATATTTATCCAATACCAGTTACAACTGCAGAAGGCTGCCCTAAGCCAACAGTTGGTCCCAAGCTAAGAAGCAGATACCTTGCTTGGACTGACTAAACAGGACATAAACTATACCCTCAAACCTCTCTGTCACTCTCTCTCTCTCTCTCTCTCTCTCTCTAAAGAATGGGAATGACTATGAGTTTCATGGAATTGGGAGGATGTTGGTTCATTAATTTCTTTTACATTTTATATAGATTGCATTTGGAGTTTTATATATTATCAATGACTATGAGTGTTTGTCCTCTCATCATCTCACAAACTTTGCTTTTCTCTCTCAAATTTGTCTTCGCAGTAGTTTTTTCTTTCCTTTTTAGAAGAGAGTCTTTGAATAATTTATATAACACTTGTAATCTTGAGCTGGTTATTTGCATTATAGGGAAGCCATCCGCCGAGATGTTCACTTTTGCAATGGGAAAGGTGGTGTACAATCAGTTCATAGAGAAATATATCATAGATTTTGAGATCTTCCACATCGCCATTGTTGATATTATCAAGTAAGCGTGTATGAGTAAAATGTTAATTACAATATGTACGAAGTTAAAAATAATATACAAAATGCCTTAATTTAACTCAAATCATCCAAACACTATTTTGTGCTTTGAACTTTAATTGTGAAGAAAAATAATGAATACAAATTATAAGCAAAATTTGTTAAAAGCTTCTAATCCTTGCCCCTTAACATTAACAAGCTCTCTCTAACACACTAACAATTAGCAGGCTGTATTCAAACAATGGAAAAAAGCCAAAGAGGAAGACAGGAAGGACCTCCTCATTGAATTTCTGAAGAAAATTGTGAAGGTTAGCAAGGTTGATGACACTACTACCGTGATAACAGGACTACTAACACCTCCAATGGCTATGGCTGCTAAAATAACTGTGGAGATTGCGCTCCAGCTGAAAATGGTCGAGGCCATTCCAGACGTCCTTTTCATACCATCAGCAGCTGTGCTGGTGCTCATTTATGCCTCCAACAGTATCCGCAACCGTGATGGCGCAACCATTTCAGACGTCCTTTTCGCAATATCCGTAATGTTGGCACTCATTTATGCTAAGATCTCCAACATGATGACTTACAGCTGGATATTCCAACACCATCCCCGTACATCGTTCAATAATTCATTCACACAAACATAAAGCAAGGTACATTCTCCAATGCCCTTCTGCTTGTACAACTGACGCAAGCAAAAGCCAATCTCCATCAGTTCTGCTCACGGAAAAAGTCCAGAAAACTCCTCGAAGATCAAATTTACTTTCAATTCCAAGAAATATACAGTTATGTACATGAGAAATAATTTGGAAAAATAAAGCAATTGAGCATCACCTAGCCGACAATCAACCTTATTTCCGCCACAAAAACAGTTCATTATACATAAGAGAGATGCTTAGAAGAAAGCATACACAGACGTGAAGAATCATATTTGGTCAGAGTATAACTTCTAGTAGTGTTATTGTGGAGCCGAATGGGCTAGCTGCAGATTACTTTGACAAGTTGGGACTGACAAAAAGGCAAAAATATTAAGGGAAAATAATGAAAATCACTTTTTTGTATTACACACCAATTTCTATCCCAAATACCTTTAATAGGCACAGTGGGAGAATTAGTTTCTAAAAAAATTTCACAAAACACTTTTATGAATTTATATCTAGATAATTAGTGGGTAATAGCCATATTTCTAGTAGTGTTAGATATTTCCATCTGGGAAGAACAACTTCACATGCATGTTATTAAGCTTGGGTTGTGCTTAGTTTTGTAATGTATGCCCTAAATTTGAGAATATGGTATGTGCAGCCAAGGTGTTCGATGAAATCACAGAGGCAATTCGAGTGCAATGGGCAGCACTTAGTTGGAGGTTCGAGTGCAATGGGCAGCACTTAGTTGGAGGCTATTCAGGGTTAGGAGATATGGGATGGCTATTTTCTTTATTATAAAATGAAATTGATATTTGAAACATTTCACCATATATAACTGATGTAGTCATTCTGGAAGGATTATACATGCATATAGTACAGAGATAAATGGTAGAACTAGATGGAAAGAAATAGCACAAGGAAAAAACTGAAAGCAACACCAAATGCATATCCTAATAAATTGAGTTTCTGGGTCCCCTACTCTTCCTCCTTTTCATGATTATTAGTCTGATCCTTCCAACAATCTCAAGGAACCACTCACGCCTCCTTGAGATAGCTACATCCGCAAGCACCACTCCCATTACCAACCCACTTCCGAATCCTGCCAAAGCAAATTTCCAATCAAGTTCAAATTCAGAGCCTGAATCGTTTTCTTCTTCGGTTGATGGTGGCAGTTGAGAAGCATTAGGATCTCCACATTTCTTTGGCAACACATCTCCGCACAATCCCGGGTTTCCCTCATATGAAGTGACATCGAATGTAGTAAGTTGGCCTCTATATGGTATAGGACCTGTGAGATTATTGTGAGAGACATTGAAATTTCCAAGGAATGTAAGCTGCGTAAGTTGTGGTGGGATCTCTCCTGAGAGCTTGTTCTGTGAAAGGTCTAACGATTCAAGCAGTGTTAGTTGGCCAAGAATGATGGGATGCTACCAGTGAGAATGTTATTGGAAACATTGAGCAAGCGAAGGCCCTTTAGGTTCCCAATGAATTCAGGAATCTTCCCTTCAAATTTGTTGCTTGAGATATCAACGACCCCAAAGTCTTCTTGAATCTTTGAGTAGTATCTATCAACACCTTTATTTGTTACTGTGATTGAGAAGTGATAAATGTAAGCCCCTGAGCTAACACCGAAAGTAATAGATGTTGAGTTTGTGTCCATATATGTGGGTTGGTCTAGAGTGATACCTCTCATGGGATTTCCAGAAAAGATGTATTCAGATGGAAACTCGCCGCTGAAATTATTGTGAGACAGATCAAGAATGCGCAACTCAGGGAAATGAAGATTCCTTTTTTGTTTCCCAATCACACCATAGAACCCATTATGGTGCATTGACAAAACTTTCAATTCTGGGAGAGTCCCCAACCAAAAGGGGAAAACATCATGGAATTCATTGTCTGACAGAATAAGAGATTCAAGCATCACACAATTCGCCAATGGCCTTGGCAACTGCCCCTGCAATTGGTTAAGGCTAACATAAAAAATCCTTAGATTGCTTGTGTTGGTGTATGCTTGAGGAAGAACACCATGAAAACAATTATTCCGAACATCTAAAACTCGTAGATCATCGCTGAAGTATCCAAGACACTGAGGAAGCATGCCACTCAACTTGTTATTTGGCAAAACAAGAATTTGAAGAGCACTCAGATCACAAATCAATGGTGAAATCTCTCCAGTTAACTTGTTGTCTGAAATTTCGTAGAATAAGATACTTGGTTGAGGTATCGGTAGTGGTCCTTGTAGCATGTTACGATAGAGTCGTAAAACTTCTAGCTTGACCCAGGGAAGGACAACAAGCGAAGGTTGACCAAAGCCGGTAAGGGAGTTTACAGAAAGGTCCAGATACTCCAAAGTTTTTGTGCTTATGTTCAATATCCATTTGGCACTTGGCCAGCCAAGTTGTTTCTAGAAAGGTCCAACCAGATTAAGTTTTGTTGATGTCTTAGGAATTGTGGGAACTCTTTTATGTTGCAGGAACTCAACTGGAGAGCCCTCAAGTGGGGAAGAGTTGCATTCATAGTTCTAGATTTAGTGAGCACTTCCAGTTTGTTATCAGATAGTTGGAGATCGGTGATATTTTCTAGCTTAAAAATATCCACTATACCATGCAGACTATTATTCCCTAGATAAAGGATTTGGAGATCCATAAGATTGAATATTGACTCCGGAATTGAACTGCGCAATCTATTATGGGAAAGATCTATGTCAGCTAGCCTGCTAAGATTACCCAGCCAAGATGGGATTGGACCAGTTAGTTGATTAGAAGAAAAACGAAGATCAAAGAGCTGTGTGAGGTTTCTAAGAGAGGACGGGATGTAGCCACTTAGATTGATGTTTTCAAGGTATAGTAAAATAAGTTTGGTTTGCTTACCGATCCAAGACAAGGGACCGCCACTGAAATTGTTATCAGAAAGTAACAAAACTGTCAGTTGGGTAAGGTTAGCAAACCAATCAGGGATTGCACCACTGAAGTTGCATGCCCTAACATCCAGCTCCTGTAATGAATCAAGGTTCCTGATTGAAGACAAGTTTCCTGAAATGCTACTGCTGCCAAGCTTCAGCGACACAAGACGACTGCTTCGATTAAACTCAGGCAAATAACCAGTGAGATCTTGGTTAAATCTCACATCAAGAGTTTCAAGGTCTTGCAACTCAAAAATTCTTGCCGGAAATTTTCCAAACAAGCCACAGTCTCTGAGGAGGAGAGATGTCAAAAATGATAAATTTGCTATAGAATCGGGTATTAATATTGTTGAAGAAATGTTAATGAAACTGAGGTGAAGCTTTTCCAGAGTGGTTAAGTTTCTAATGAGGCTTCTCAAATCGGATTCTCTAATTCTCAACAATCCTTCATCAAGAAAGGGATCCAGATTGAGAGATAGATCAAGGGATGATAACTTGGACAACTGTGAAAGCTGGGATGGGACTTGACCAAAAAAGGCAGAGGCAGAGAGGTTGAGGTACGTCAGCTGTGGAAAGTTCCCAACGGTAGTAGGAATTTGAGAGTAATTGAAGTTATTGTGACCAAGGTTGAGCCTCTCTGGAGATGAACAAGACGGAAGAGGCTACTGCTGGAGTTGATAGATCCATAGAGACAACTGCTACTAAGATCAAGGCTGATCACATGACCCGTCTTCTTGTCACACTGGACGCCACTCCATGCGCAGCAGTTGCTAGTTCCTCCTTCAGCCGGGTTCCACGATGAAACCTTTGGATAAGCACAATTACCCGAAGCAGATTCGTCAATATAACAAAGCCCTGCTTGAATTGCATTAAGGCGGCCCTCTCCTCATCATGGCAAGAATACGGTTTTAAAGAGGAAAAAGCGCTAGCAGCCGCCACAAGATGGAACAAAAGAAGTTTCAAAAGCACACACATGGACGACCCCATAATATATGTTTTGGAACTCTTGATTTTGGACATAGAGTGTTAAGATAGAATTGAAGTGAAACTGAGGGACATAGACTCAAACTCTTGAGCAGTATATATCGCAATATTCTTCAAACAAGTTGAGGATAGAGAGTGGAATGCCTTGCAATTTGCATAGACTTGTAAAAATTAGTTATTGACGTTGGAAGTACACTAAGTCAAGTCCGCGCCCAGCTTATGAAATGGGGTGAGGTGAGAGGTTAATATGATCTAATCTTTCATTTCTTATCCTCGTCATGTGCACTAAGTCAAGGAGTATTGACTACTCTGTGTATTAAAAGTCATCAAGAAAACGACATGCGCAACAAGCTTCATTATTGTTTTGTCCTATGGCAGAATTTTTTTATATAAAAAAAAACATGTTTTTACTTCCAAATTATTTACCGTTCTTATTCATTTGGTGGAACTTTGGACATGATGGATTTGGACAATGAATCTGCTGTCCTTAGGAGATGGTATGGACAATGAATCTGCTCTCCTTAACAAGGGGGTATATAGTTGGTAGACATAAGGGCGGAGCCACCTTTAGGCCAGCCGGGTGGAAAACAGTGTGCCTTGCATTTTGCATAGACTTGTACACCAAGTCAAGTCCGCGCCGAACTTATGAAATGGGGTGAAGTGAGAGGTTAATATGATCTCATCTTTCATTTCTTGTCCTTTTCATGTACACTAAGTCAAGGAGTATTGACTACTCTGTTTCTTAAAAGTCATCAAGAAAACGACATGCAATAAATTTCAACTTTGCAACTTGCAAGGCAAGATTTTTAACTCTGCTTCTATTAGTCTGGGGTTGTTTTGTCCTATGGCAGAATTTTTATTTTATTTTATTTTAAATAACATGTGTTTGCTTCCAAAATTATTTGGTGGAACTTTGGACATGATGGATTTGGACGATGAATCTGCACCCTCTAATAAGATGGCTGTAAGACTGTTGGCAAAATGGCAAGTCAAGGAGACAAGGGAACAACTCAACTATATTATGATGGGAACAACTCAACTATAGTATGATAGGAATACCATTAACAAGGGGGTATATAGTTGGCAGAAAAATGTATCGACAATGTATATTGAGTATATAGGGTTTCTTACAACTTTAGGGTTCTTTTGTTTCTTATTTAAGCCAACTTATGTAGTTGTATTGGGACGTTTTATAATATTATCAATAAAATTTACAAATTTTTCTCTATTTTCTGGTGAATTCCAATTCTTCTTTTAGGATTTGACATTTGTCGGTCTCTTTTATCATATTTTCCATGCTTTGTTTGTTTGTTCATTGACTTCCAATACTCATCAAACCAAAGTTGTCCTTTTGTAACACTCATTGTAGAGGAAGTTCCCTATTCATAGTGGGTGGGTTGTCCTCAGTAACTCGGGGTAACTCGGGGCATAGGGCGTGATTAATGCAACCTAACACATCAAATGGCAGTGAACAAATTTTATTTTATTTTATTTGTTATGAAGGCATTGAATAGATTAGACCATCTTGGATCTTGCCCACAATGCAATCACTCTACCTGTATAATATTTTGGCTCTTGGGCATCCGATCAATTTTCCATTCATCTTGCCACCAGTGGTGGCAGATGTGGGCTTCATCTATGCTGATAGTGACAACATATGTGTGCCAGGAGGGCATAGAAATGAAACCAAAGTTGTCCATATTTTCATGCTTTGATTGTTAGTTCATTGACTTCCAATCAAACCAAAGTTGTCCTTTTGTAACACATTGTAGAGGAAGTTCGTCTATTCATAGTGGGTGGGTTGTCCCTACTAACTCAGGGCATAACGCGTGATTAATGCAACCTCACACACCAAATGGTAGTGAACAAATATTTTTGCTTTATAATTTTTGGGTATGTGTGCCAGGAGGGCATAGAAATTAAAATTATCAGTAACACTGACATTTCTTTTGTTGAAAAATTATAAAGACTTTTTTTGGGGAGGAGGTGTATCCAATTCATATTTATAACGACTTTTTTCAAGCGAGTGACTTTCATAGAGTTTGAATTGGATACACCAGAGTCTAAACCTAAATTGAAACCTTACCTGACCAAATTTATGTGATTTGGGTTGGGTCTCAACTCTCACCTGTACAAAACCAACATCCTTGCAGAATTTTTTTAGAGATTTACTATTTAAACCTCACACTTCTCTTAGTTCACCCAAATACTTAAATCATTAAATTGTAAGTTTTGTTATTGTGTAAAAAGACAAAAAAGGTCATCACACACCCCACCACTCTTCATATTAAGTTTTAGAAAAATACAAACTCCTGTACATCGTTTTGCCAGAGATATAGAACATTGACGAGCTTCCCTTTTTAAAATCTGCGTGGGAGCTAATGGAAAGGCTTGTTGATTGCTTTTTATTTTTATTTTTTTAATACCTGATGTTTTGGTAAAGTTTTTCTATTTATCTAGAAAGTAATAAATTTCAGATTTGGAGTTCCATTTGTTTGTGTTTTTTTTTCTGCTGGGAACAGTAATATTATTGTCACTTCTGGAATTCCAGTATGCATCAAAAATCATAATCCTACTGCTACTGCAATAGTTGGGCTATTTTTCTTGTTGCTTTTCCACTCTGATAAAAGATTCAATGTATTCTCCATTGATGGCCGATTAGATTGCCTACTCCTAGTGCAAAGTGTAGCGACCTCAAGTACCAGTTTTATCTCCTCTCGCACGGAACGTTCAAAAGAGTTGTCGATTTCAAATGCCATTGAAAATTGAATACCTCATTCTCATTATTAAATACTCAAGAAAGAAAATGATAAAAAGTCTAGCAATTAGCATTAGAGCTTGCATAATGTAGGGTAGCTTGTGAGGTTTAAATAAAAAATTTCTTTTATTTCTTATTTTTTCAGCTTGAGGTGTATTTAAGGATAATTTGGGAAGATAGTGAGGTTTTCTTAGAATTTGTGAAAATTTAAATTAAAAGTTGGTGGAATTGAAATATAGAATATGAGGTGAACTAAAAGAATTGTTAGATTTAAATAGAAAATCACAAAAAAAAAAAAAAAAAAAAAAAAAAGAAACAAAAAAAAAAGCCAATCAACTGACAGGGAAGCAAAACTGAGAGAGTTGGATGATGAGAGAGCGAGTATGGAGATGGAGCTCATTAGAGAGAAAATGCTTACACCTTCTCCAACAAACGAAAACAACACCCTCGCTTCTCCAAATACACGCCTTCATGCTCCGAAACTCCCTCGAAACAAATGTCAATCTCCTCACCAAATTCATCACAACCTGCGGTTCCATCGCCCTTTTCGCCTCTCATCAAAGCCCACTTGCTCTGATTCGACATGGCCGCCGCGTCCTTCAATTACAGACCCAATAAAGATGACACATTTCTCTGTAACTCTATGATCAGAGCCCACACGGATATGCGCCAATTCGCTGAGTCTTTCACTCTCTATAGAAATCTTAGGAAGGACATGGGTTTCAAGCCCGATGGATACACATTCACAGCTTTGGCAAAGTCGTGTGGTTTAGATGTGGCCATCTGGGAAGGGCAAGAACTTCATTGTCATGTTATTAAAGTTGGGTTGTGCTTAGATTTGTATGTGTCGACTTCATTGGTTGATATGTATGCAAAGTTTGGGAGGATGAGTTGTGCAAGTAAGTTGTTCGATGAAATGACGGAGACAAGTCGAGTATCGTGGACAGCTCTCATTTGTGGGTATGCAAGGTTAGGAGATATGGGTAATGCAAGGAGGCTTTTTGATGAAATTCCTGAGAAGGACTTGGCTGCATTTAATGCTATGATTGATGGTTATGTCAAATTGGGAGATATGGGCCCTGCTCGAAGTTTATTTGATGAAATGACGGATAGGAATGTGGTATCTTGGACCAGTATGATGTATGGTTACTGCCATCATGGTGATGTACAATCTGCTAGATCACTCTTTGATGCCATGGCTGAGAAGAATCTAATTTCTTGGAATGTGATGATTTGGGGTTACAGTCAAAACAAACAGCCCCATGAAGCCTTGAAATTATTTCATGAACTGCAGTCAAATATGTCTCTTGAACCGGATGGCGTGACTGTTGTTAGCATTCTTCCAGCTATTGCAGATTTGGGCGCCTTGGATTTAGGTCTTTGGGTTCACAAGTTTGTACGAAGGAAGAAGCTTGATAGGGTAATCAACATCTGCACTGCGCTTGTTGATATGTACGCAAAATGTGGTGAAACTACAGAGGCCAAAAGACTTTTTGATGAGATGCCTGAAAAGGAAACAGCTTCTTGGAATGCCTTGATAAATGGGTTTGCAGTAAACGGCCGTGGCAAGGAGGCACTGGAGGTATTTTTAGAGATGCAGTGCAAAAAGATTATGCCGAACAATATAACCTTTATTGGTGTTTTGTCTGCTTGTAACCATTGTGGTCTGGTAGAGGAAGGGAAAAGATGGTTTAAAGGAATGGAGGGCTTTGGGCTTATCCCGCAAATTGAGCATTATGGTTGTATGGTTGATCTTTTGGGAAGGGCAGGATGCTTGGAGGAAGTTGAGAAATTGATTGAGAGCATGCCTTATGATGCTAATGGAATAATTTTGAGTTCTTTTCTTTTTGCATGTGGCCATTCTGAGGATGTCACAAGGGCCAACAAAGTTTTAAAGAAGGCAGTCAAAGTGGAGCCATGGAATGATGGAAATTATGTCATGCTCAGAAATTTGTATGTCAAGAAGAGAAGGTGGAGTGATGCAGAGGAAATTAAGAGGTTGATGAGGAAGAATCGAGCAAATAAAGAGGTTGGTTGTAGTGTGATAGAGGTTGATGGTAGAATCAAGGAGTTTGTGTCTGGTGACAGGGTGCATGCGTATTCTGAACCTATACATTTAACCTTGCGGCAGACGTGGAAGCACATGATGGGTGATTTTATAGAAAAGGGGTGAATTGCTTGAGTCTAGAGAAAAAAATATGCATAACCTATACCAACCCCTCCCCTTTCATCAGTCGTAGTTTATGTACAGTGTAACCTGAAAAATATGTAAGGGCCCTTTTGAGGAACTCTTCAAATGGCAGCCGGGCATGGGGTTTATTGAGAAAGGCATTTGGAACTTGGAAGCTTGAGATTGCTACCAATTATTTGGCATAGAAAAGTTTTGAACAGTCCAAATACCAATTTTCTTTGAATTTGTGACTGAGAACATTCCTTTCTTACTGTACTCTCTCTTCAGTGTAGATCTATTGGTCTATACGGGGAGGTTAACTATTTATCAATTTATACGGAAAAAAATTGGAATATATAAGGGGAAGTAGAGACTCTTCCCATTAATCAGTTTCCGAAAGAGGTGTTGTTTACCAAAACAAAGATACTGCTTCTATATTCTTTCGTAAGCTCGTTGGCCAAACCACCTTGCTCAAGGAAGCAGAAATGTAGGGCAACTACAGCTGCAAGATACCTTTACAAAATGAGAATACAACTGCAGACGCCTGCCCTAAGCCAACAGTTGGTCCCAAGTTGAGAAGCAGATACCTTGCTTGGACAAACAGACTAAACAGGACATAAACTACACCTTCAAACCTCTCTCTCTCTCTCTCTCTCTCTCTCTCTCTCTCTCTCTCTCTCAAGAATGGGAATGGCTATGTGTTCCATGGGATTGGGAGGAGGTTGGTTCATTTTCTTTTCCATTTTATGTAGTTTGCAGTTGGAGTTTTAGTTTTGTGTTTGTCCTTTCATTGTCTCTCAACCTTTGCTTTTATTACGTGAAGTGTGCAAACCCCCACAAACCCCGTCTAAGTATCAAACTTACTCAAACTTACTCCAACTTTTGAAACTAAATTAGAACCAGATCGATCCATAAAGGGAGAGTTTAATATGACAAACTGATTCCTCCAACCAAGAACTGAAACCTTTGAGAGAATTGCATAGATGAAAGAGGTATTATTCAATTAATCACAGAAACATGGAAAGGAAATAATAATGGAGAGGAAATGATAAAAGAGAATTGCTCAATACCCTGTGCATGCTATTTAAAATGAGTCAAGAGTATCGATATGATTGCGATCGAATGATTTGCCAAGCTCTAGCAGAAACCATTTCCAATTGCATGAAAAACCTCTTTGAAGGTGAATTAAACACAACCAAATTACATGTGATAGATATGTACATACGTAAGCATATGCATCAAACCTGTAAAAATATAAAATAAAAATCTCCACAATCTCACAATCCAAATTCAGAGATTCCAAAACCAATAACTAAAACAATCTATATATGTGTTCTTAAGACAAACTCTTTATACAGGCAAGATTACTCTATCATTTCTCTTCTTAAGACAATGTTTCTTTTCCATATGTTAGTCAGACCTGTATAAAGCCAGTACCAGATATAAAAATGGTCAACAAACCTCTACACGTATATCATTTGCAATTTCAATACAGGACCGACGGACCGCAAATTGAATATTAATTACGGTTGCATTGCATGGTAGATCTTTTGGGAAGGGCAGGAGATGCTTTCAGCAAGTCGAGAAATTGATTGACAACATGCCTTATTATGATGCTAATGGAATAATTTTGACCTCCTTTTCCTTTTGCATGTGGCCAATCTGAGGATGTCACAAGAGCCAACAAAGTTTTAAACAAGGCAGTCAAACTGGAGCCATGGAATTGAATGTTGGAAACTATGTCATGCTGAGAAATTTGTATGCCAAGACGAGAAGGTGGAGTGATGCAGCAGAGGAAATTAATTAAAGAGGGTTGATGAGGAAGAATATCAAGTAAATAAAGAGGTTGGTTGTAGAAATATTCTGAAGCTATGCATTAATTTAACCTTTGTTGACGCGAGTTAACCTAACAAATCAATGAGATTTATTCCCTAAGTTAATTAGGTGATTTATTTTCTTTTTTCAATATAGTTGAAAATCCTTGTATAATTGGGAGATATTCTCCTAATTAATTCATGTATCTATTTCCTTCTAAAGCACACTTGAACACAAAATTGCCAAATATTCAAACCAAATTCGTATTTTAGCATGATATCAGAGCGGCCGATCCTAGGTCATCTCTAAGCTTTCACTTCAATCCTCATACCCTCACACTCAAACACAGACCCTAAACTAATTCCTCAAATCAATTTCCTAAATTCTCAAATCAAAACCCTTTATCAAATCCCTAACTCCAAACTCTTTCCCCCAATTCCCACACACAAACTCATATCAAATCTTACTTATGCTGTGATGTCAGGCTCCACTGCAATTCCCTCTCCTTGAAGATTCAAAGAAGCTTGCGGTCAATCATGTTGAACATACTACATTGGCTCTTGCTTTGATAGCCACCACCAAAGGTTCTGCTTTCAATACCTTATCTCAAAAACACACATGGATTATTGACTCGAGTGCTACAGATCACATGACATTTGAGCCTCGCCAACTTATTACTCACAAATCATCCATGCAGTTGGTGGTGTCTAATGCTAATGGTACCCTCTCCCCTGTGGTTGGGGATAACTCTTTATCTCTCTCTAACTTCATACATCTGGATTCTGTGTTGATTGTTCCATCCTTGGATCATGACTTGTTGTATGTTGCATAAATTACTGCTACTTTGGGGTGTACTATAACGTTTCTGGGGACTCGTTGTGTTTTTTTAAGACATCTTCATCAAGAAGACGATTGGTTGTGGTACTAGCATGACAAACTCTATTACTTGGACTTGGCGCTACATAGTGAGACTAAGGTTGGTCAAGCTTTCACAACAAGTGGAGATAGTTCCAAGAGACAGAGAGACAAAGTTTAGTTATGGCATAAACGCTTTGGGCATGCCTCGTTCGGTTATTTGAATAAGTTGTTTCCATCATTATTTTCTTGTTTTGATGATTATAGTTTCCAGTGTGATACATGTGAATTGGCTAACAACCATCGTGTTCCATTCTCATTAAGTATACATAAAATTTTGGTTCCCTTCTCACTTATTCATTCTGATATTTGAGGTCCTGCTTAGCAGCTACTGTGAGAATCCTTATTCTTAAAAATGTTAATATTTTATTTTTTTAGTAAGTATTAAATTATAATTATAATTATTTATGGAAGTCTATGTTTTATTTGCTTCACTTAATGCAAATTCAATAATTTTGATTATGTTCTTAAACAATTGCTTTTAAATAGCATCTTGTGCATAGCTATCTAAAATAAAAAAATAAAATAAAAAATAATTCATGCATAAGAGTTATTTTACAGTCCACGTAGTTAGCATTTGTGCAAATTTTCACTATTAGTTCATGATCTTGTTAGAGTTGGGCAATAGAAAACGTAACCTTTTGCATGCAACACCTCTTAACTTTAATTGTTATAGTTGGCAAGTTTACATTGCATTGCATATTAGCTAAGCAAACGTGGAACTCATTTACACTTGCTTGCTGCACACTAAGGCTCACATCTGTCTTTGTGACTAAGCAACTTAACCATGAGCTGTTATGATTTTAGAAATAGTTATCCACAGCTGAAGCAAATCAACATGCAGCCAATGAAAGTATAGGATAGTTGCCGCCTCTGTTTAGTATAAATAGGACCCTTCACTACTAATCGTCATGCATAGTTGTGCATGAGAAGAGAAAAAGAAATCGAAAGAGGAGAAAGTGAGAAAGAAAAGAAGATAGAGAGGAAGACTAAGTTTGTGAAGGTGGTAGAAATTTGGGAAAACACATTACATTTCTAGCAAAAGCTTTGGTATCAAGGTAGGGGTTTCTTGGGGGCCTTTTTCAAAGATCGATTTAATTAAATTTTGTGAGCATTATATTATGCGTGGTACTTGTATTGGGTGTTTACGTAATCTTAACTATTTGAATAATGTGGGCATGATTATATGTACATTGGTAATATTTAAATAATTACATTGTTTTTATGAAATATATGAACTATATAATGTCATGTAAATTATTTGGAGTTCTTGGGTTGAGAAAATAATGGTGGAAAAGAGGGTAATGGAAATGTTCTTTTGTGTAGTTGAGTCTAACTCTTGGCAGGTACCAGGTCTCAGGGATCCCACAGTGCACATGATTTTTATTGGGTGATTCGGAACTGGCGAAAGGGAGTTAGACAAGATGACTAACAAAAGGGGAATTATGGGATGATTGAAATGGGTGTTAGTTCATATAAATGGGCATTCGGGACCAAGTGGTAAAAGCATGGTATGAGACGTGCAGGTCTGCTTGTCCAGTTATATGAATTAATGGGATTTAGATGAAGAGCATTCATGCATTGTTATTAATAATGTGAAATTTGGCTGCTTGATTATTTGTCACTTAATTTAATTATATCAATTTATTGTGAAAAGGTTTATGTCCCTACTGAGCTGTGGTTTCGCTCACCCCCTAATAGATTTTGCAGGTACCGAACCTGAAATCTAGAGCTTGTGATGATTTTTGGCATGTCTATAGAATGTAACATAGCTTGTGGTTGAATAATGAGCTACTCTTTAAGTGAACTCTCGAGTAGTTCTAGCTTGTAAAATAATGTAAAATTTTTATGGTTTCAAATGTTATCGTTTCCGCGTTTCTGCTGAATATTTTATGTGAAATATCTATTTTATTTATTTAAATGTCTTCTTCACATTTTAGTTATAGTTTTTATTAAATTCTATAATTAAGGTGTGAATCACGTCTTAACCCAAGGTTTTGTAAATCCGAGGGTTGGGGTGTGACAGCTACTCAGGCTAGAGTTCGATAGTTTGTCACTTTCATTGATGATTGCACACGAATGACCTAGATTTCACTTCTCAAGACTAAAGGAGAAGTGAGTTTGAAGTTTCAACGATTCCACAAAATGGTGGAGACACAGTTTCATGCTAAAATTCAAGCTTTCCGTTCTAAAAATGAAGGGAAATTTCTCAACCATAATCTACATAAGTTTCTTCAAGATCATGGCATCATACGTCAACGCTCGTGTCCATATACTCCCTTACAAAATGGGGTGGATGAGTGCAATAACCGACATTTACTGGAAGTTGTTTGTGCCTTCGTCTATGCCAACATGCCTCGGTCATTTTGGGGAGAGGCAATCCTATCTGCAGCTTACCTTATCAATCGGATGCCCTCAAGTATCTTAAATTTCCAAACTTCTCTTCAAACACTTCACCACTATATCTGAATACCTCCTACCCCAAACCTTGAACCACGAGTTTTCGGTTGTGTTATTTGTGCACTTACATGAGCACCAATGAAGCAAATTCGATCCTCGAGCAGATAAATATGTTTTCACTTGCTATGTCCCCCATCAGAAAGGATACCGATGTTACCACCCACCCAATCCTAAAGCATATACATCCATAGATGTTGTGTTTCGAGAACACGACTTGTATTTTCTGAAGCACCGGAAGATAGTTTGGAAACACGCATTCTGGCGCAAAATGACATGTCGTCTCTTTCACTTGACTGATTGATTTTGGAGTTTCACGTCTAGGAGAAGTCTCAGCTCGATTCCAACCAGTTGCCTTTCTCATGCTACCTGTCGCCCATTGTGTTCATTGAAGTGCTAAGGCTCTGGATGAAACTGACTGGATCACCTATACCCAGCGACCAGTCATCTACCTATTGCCAAAATCAAGATAAGGAAGTTGACCTGTGTTATGAGATTTTGTTCGCTCTGTACCCATACCCATTTTCATCCATAGTACCTGTCACAACCCGACTCCACTAGCAAGATATTTTCCGCTTTGTGTCTCCCCCTCACGGTTTTGTTCTTGGGCTCAAGCTAATGCTATCTTGCCCAAAAGGCCTCTTACTAGGAAGAGAACTTTCCACACATATAAGGCACTTCACATTTTCCTCCCTGAGACCTTTCTTGCTTCCAAAGATCACGAGTCTCACAATACCATACCAATCACCTGCTGAGGATGTCATTCATGTAACATCTTCCCCTGAAACTGATAACACTAATGAAATATATCATGATGATTTAATTTTAGAAAGCATAAAGGATACATATACCCTTATATACCAACTTCCAAATAGGAAGAACCGTGGTAAACCTCGAGTACAATATGAAGCATATCCTAAAGCCAAAGGAAAATACATCATCAATAATTATATATCTCTAAGCAGATTATCAGAGTCACATGTACATTTTTTGAAGTAGTTGGCTGATATATATGTCACAAGTAGTGTAAATGAAGCATTAGAATACTTAAAGTGGAAAGAAGCCATGAATGAGGAAGTGCGAGCTCTCTAGGAGAATACCATATGAGAGCTCATGCCTTTACCTCATAAAAAGAAGATGGCAGGATGCAAGTGGATATATATTGTGAAACTCAAAGCAAATGGATCCATTGAAAGATATAAAGCCAGATAGGTGGTGAAGGGGTATACACAAAAGTATGGGGTGGACTATTAGGAAACCATTGCCTCAATAGCCAGGATCAACAACATCAAAGTCCTACTATCTCCAGCAGCAAATCTAGACTGGCCACTACATCAGTTCAATGTTAAAAATATCTTCTTACATGGAGACTTGGAAGAAAAGGTATGCATGGATTTCCCTCCAAGATTTAATCTAGCTCATGCCAAGAAATATCAAGTTTGCAAGCTCAAAAAGTCATTATATGGGTTAAAACAAATCTCTCAAGGGGTGGTTTGGAAGATTTACTAGTTCCATGAAGAATTTTGGCTACACTCAAAGTAATTCAGACCACACCTTGTTCTTAAAGCATAATGGAGGAAAAAATCACTCCATTAATTGTCTACATGTGGATGACATGGTCGTAACTAGAAATGACCAAGGAGAGAAACAGAAGCTACAAAAATATTTGTGTCAAGAATTTAAGATGAAGGAGCTAGGTCCTCTGAAATATTTCCTCGGAATTGAAGTAGATGTTAGAAATGTGCCATCAGAGCCAATACATTTGATGTAATCTCCTCATAATACATTTCATAGATAATAAAGGGCAAACTTATTTTGTTATCACTTACATCAGTTAAAGAAACAAGTCCGGGGAATACTAAATAGGAGATAAAGAAATCTAAAGAAGATTATATTCAAGAGACCTTTGATCTCTAACTATAGTATCCCAAAATGTTTCTAATCATAGGGTTATCAAATGGGCATTAATAAACCGTCAAGATTAGCACATATTATGTATGCTCAATAAGGAGGATGGTTAGTCTCAAACCATTTGTGTAGTTGACACTAATATAAGTATGTGGCTACGTATTAGTGAATGAGTACACTGAATGCGATCAATCGGAGTTCTCAAATGGAGTTTTATCTACATGTCAAACGAGAACTCATAGTTGTAATAATGCAAATTAGTCCTTAGACTTGAGGCTTCATGGTTGCCTTGTGATGTGTTATTGATCTTTGATAGCTCGCAAAGGCAAGTGGTAAAAGATTTACCTTATGTGTTATTGCGATCTCTTAATTCATCATAGGGGCATGTGAATGTACAATAAGGAATCTCTACCTTTTATAAAGAGGGAGAATGTTTCGAGATGTGATTCAGTAAATCTTTGGCCAAAGTATTTTGAGCTTGATTTAGAATGTTGTTCTTAATCATGTTCTTTCGAATCACATGAGGTTATAAATCATATTAGGGGTTTGATATAATCAACCCATACCCTAATAATATGATTTGAAACATTTTATAAGAAAAGGATCATATTACATTGCAATTCCAACTGAATAGGTTCTCCATCTATTCTAGTTAGCTTGGGTAGCCTTGATATATTGCTAGATGTCACTCTTGGCTCGTGGAAGTCCTAGAATTGATTGTGATTTATCCATATAAAAGAAGAATTAAAAATGAGTTTTAATTCCAGTTGATTAGAAAGAGTTCTAATATTTTCCCACTGCCTTGCTAATTAGAACCTAATGGATCGCACACCTTAAATGATTAACTTTGAGTAATACAAATGAGAATGAGGGAATCAATTTGATTGATTTGATGTGGATGATTTACTATGTGTAAAAATGTATTTGGGCCTCAGTAATAGTTAATGGGAAGCCCAAATGGTTGAGTATCAAGCCCAAGGGCTTAAATCTTACAGTAGCAGGGTCAAAGATTGGTATTTTCGATCTCAAATAAAGTATGTGATGAGTCTGATGACTGATAAGAATGCTAGGATGTAAGCTTGCCAACACACTCATTAAGATGAATCACGAGTTGTGTGAAGACATGGAACGCTTGCCAACGAATAAAGAACAATACCAGCGCCTTGTTGGAAGGTTGATATATTTAGCGCACACAACACGAGATATTGCATATGATGTAAGCGTGGTTAGTCATTTTGTGCATTTACCCAATATTTTTCATAAGAATGCAGTTGATCGGATCTTAAGGTACTTAAAGTCAACCCCTAGGAAAGGATTAATGTTCTCAAAGTATGGAAAACTCGAAGTTATTGGATATAGAGATGTGGATTGGGCTAGATCCATTACAGATAGACACTCTACATCGGGCTACTTTACATTCGTTGGAGGTAACCTTGTTACTTGGCAGAGTAAAAAATAAAATGTGGTTGCTCGGTCTAGTGCATAAGCAGAGTATCGAGGTATGGCCCAAGAAATTTGTGAATTATTGTGGATCAAAGGCCTCTTGATAGAATTGGGTTTTAAACCAGCAAAGTTCATGCAATTGCATTGTGACAACAAGTCAGCGATTGATATAGCTCACAATCCAATTCAACGTGATCTAACAAAACATGTTGAGGTGGATAGACATTTCATCAAAGAAAAGTTTGAGAACAAAATCATCTACCTACCCTTTTGTAAAATCAGAAGATCAGTTAGCTAATGTCTTGACAAAGGTTGTCTCCAGACGAGTGTGTCATAACTCACTTATCAAGTTGGGCATTGGTGATGTGTATGTTGTAAGACATCGTTTTGTCTTGACTCACTAAGTGTGGTCTTATGATCGTACTAAAGTTCTAGAGTTTGACATTAATCAGGAGTTTTATATTCAATATAATCTGCTACTCTGATAAGGATAAGTGTTTAAAGTAAACAACTAGAGTTAGAAGATATCCTATCTCATTGTGTATTGGGAGACCTAAACCTAATGCAATTAGGAGAGCTAGAGAGTTTCTTGATGGGCAAGACTTTCTAGCCGATGCATATAAATAGAGGCCCCTGCTCATTCGATCAATCCATCACAAAGAGCATTCATACCCCACCTAGAATAAGAGTGAAGAAAGCATCGAATTGAGTGGAAGGCTTCTGTTTTGATTCAGACGAGATCTCGGCTTTATCATCCTCATCTGTTCCTATGGCCAATTCAGGTATGCAAGTGTTTTGTTCTTTATGCATGCAATATTTAAGTTAACATATGCACTAATTTAAGGAGGAGTGTTGACGTGAGTTTACTTAACAAATCAAGGAGATTTATTTCCTTTCTTCAGTAAAATTGACAATCCTTGTATAATTGGGATATTCTCATAATTAATTCTTGTATCTATTTCCTTGTAAACTCCTATATATTCCTCCTTACAGCACTTCCACCCCAAAGGACAAGGGCAAGGTATGGGTAAGGGCAATTACTTTTCACTTTAATTTATTTTCTATTTTTTATACTTAAACCATTAGTTTTGATAAGATTTTCGGTTGCCACATGTCACTATTTGTTATAAAATTCTCATCTCAAATTTCAAATAAAATATTTGGATAAGATTTTCGAATTAAATTTTAGGATTAAATTTTCGGATAAGATTTTCGGTTGCCACATGTCCATATTTATTATAAAATTCACATCTCAAATTTCATATAAAATTTTCGGATGCCACGTGTCCATATTTATTATAAAATTCACATCTCACTCATCATATAATTAAAATACCTACTCACTCATCATACAATTGAAATTCTCCCGATCCTTATAGTCCGACACAGTCGAGTACAAAGAACACTTAATCATTGGCGGAGGCAGTTTTACCGGATCACGACATGGGGGAGTATTTTCCTTTGGAGGACGTAATAGTGCCATTATTTCCGACACAAAACTCACCACTAGAACTGACTGTGGGCATTGTTCACTTGAGGAGCCATGTGTAATGGTTTTCCTCTTTTTTGTTTTGCCTTGAATAATTTATTAAAAAATGAAATTGGAAATGCAAGAAATATAAATAAATAAATAAAATTACATTAAATTGAATAAAACAGCAATTTTTGTTTTACCTCGTCTCCAAGATTTTGACTGCTTTGAACGTTTGTCCACGACCCTCCGGCTTCGATGTATTTTTACACAAATGGAATTTTGTAGTTGAAATTTTGGTGTGAAAAGTGAAATAGTGGAAGAAGATGAATTTGTATGAAGATTTAGTGTGGAAAGTGAATAATATTGGTAGGTATTTATAGAAATTTACAATTTTTTTCGATCTTTTTTTCATATTTTTTAAAGCCAAAAAATGGACAGCCGTTGGATTTGATCAAATTTTTGGATCAAAGGCTCCAAGAGAAGCTACGTGGCTTGTAGCTGTTGGTTTCTACTAGTTGTGGGTTAGCGCTGACGTTAGCAACCTAAAGGCAAGAGAACGGGTCAGATCTGCCAGTGGGCTTGCGTGGGCTCGTGGGAGGCCTGGGCTGGACTTGGCGCGCTGGAGTTGCATTTTGGCCCTTGGGCCCCCTCCTGCCCAAATAAACCCTGTGCAGTGGAGTTGCTTTTATGGAGAAGAATACAAAATTATCAAATATTCAAACTATATTCATATTTTAGCAACCTTGAGGCAGAGTTGGAAGCATATGATGGATTTTATAGAAAATGGGAAAAACATGTAAGGGCCCTTTTGAGGCACTTTTCAAATGGCAGAGAAAAGTTTTGAACATGCCAAATACCAATTTTCCGTGAACTTGTGAGTCGTGACTGAGAACATTCCTTTCTTACTGTACGTTCTCTACAGTGTAGATCCATCGGTGTATACAGGGAGGTTAATAATTTATCAATTTATACGGAAAAACATTGGAATATATAAGGGGAAGTAGAGACTCTTCCCATTAATCAGTTTCCAGAAGATTGTTGTTTTCCGGAACAAAATGCTTGTATACAGTATATTCTTTCGTAAGCTCACTGCCCAAACCACCTCGCTTGTTAAGCAAGAAAGAAGAAAAATATAGGGCAACAACAGCTGCAAGATGCCTTTGCAAAATGAGAATACCGCTGCAGATGCCTGCCCCAAGCCAACAGTTAGTCCCAAGCTAAGAACCAGATACCTTGCTTGGACTGACTAAACAGGACATTTACTGTACCCTCAAACCTCTCTGCCACTCTCTCTCTATCTCTCTCTCCCTCAAGACATATATTATATACATACACATTCATAGTTATTGGACCTGCTATAACAAGGTTTCTAAAGAATGGGAATTGCTATGAGTTTCATGGGATTGGGAGGAGGTTGGTTCATTTTCTTTACCATTTTATATGGTTTGCATTTGGAGTTTTGGTTGTGTTTGTCCTCTCAGTATCTCACAAACTTTGCTTTTATCTCTCATATTTTTCTTTGCAGTTGTTTTTCTATATGACAATTATAATGATTTGGAGCTGGTTATTTGCATTACAGGAATGCCATCCGCCCAGATGTTAAATTTTTTGATGGGAACGGTGTACAAGCAGTTCATAGAGAAAGATATCAGCAACTTCGAGGACTTCCACATTGCCATTCTTGATATTTTCAAGTACGCGTGCATAAATATAACCACAAGAAAAATTTTATTACAATATGTATGACATTAAAAATAATCATGCAAAATGCAAACATAGGTTAGACTAGTTGACTAGGGCAGTGAGCCGCAACATAACTCTTTCCTTTTTATTTTTAATCGGCCTAAAGCATATTGTTGTAAACAAACAAAGAACTAGTCTCTAAAGCATGTTCTTTCATAAATATTCTCACCAAATTTCAGCAGATTTCCTAAATTTTGGACAAAGACTATAAACTATAAGCATGTTTTTTATTAATTTTTTTTATTTATTAAAAGCTTCTAATCCTTGCCCCTTAACACAATCTTATCCAGCACTTTTAACGCAGCTTTGCCGGGTAAACATTACGATGCGCCACCACACAAGGAAATAGAGGTCAGTTAAAATTACCCATGCATCTTCGCTTCACTTGCCAAGCTCTCTCTAACACATTAACAATTAGCAGGCTGTATTCAAACAATGGCAAAAAACACCAGAGGCAGACAGGAAGAACCTCCTCATCGAATTTCTGAAGAAAAATGTGAAGCTTAGCAAGGTTGATGGCACTACCATGATAGCAGGAATAGTAACACCACCAGTAGCCATGGCTACTAAAAGAGCAGGGGAGAATGTTCCCCAGCTGAAAATGATCAAGGCCATTCCCGACGTTGTTTTCGTACCATCAGCAACCGTGCTGGTGCTCATTTCTGTTAAGATCTCCAGAAGGGTTTTCATGGGGAAAATAGCATCTTGATCATAACCTATATTTTTAACAAAAGGGCATGTACAATACAATTGCTACAATAATACAATTTATGTTGCTGAAATATTTCTCATCAGAATAAACAGAAATGGCTTCGTACAAACCAGAGCTTGAGACTTTGATGCAGGGCAGCGGCTATAAGCTTGCTGTCTAGCGACCCAAACATACCCAAAATACAGAGGATAGAAGGATAAAGCAGTAGAATCGAAGTTGGAACGAAGATAATTGAGTTCTAGGGCAAAATCCCAATAGAAACTCTATAGACTAAGTCTGAAATTATATTGATCAACAAAAACTAAATACAAGAGTCTCTTAATAGTCTATTTCTACTAGAATATAGAAAACCTAATTGACATAGGAAATTAAACACCTAAACAGGAATTTAAACCAAATCCTAGTAAGAATAGGAAAACAAGTAATAAAATAACCTATTAATTTAATATTACTAAAACTTAGCCTTATTGGCTGATGCCCAGTTAGATTAGGGAAGTCTAATAGATGCTCTTGCATCAACTCCATCGGGTTGGGAAGAATTCTTACTGGAATTCCAATTGTTTGGTGAAAACCGCCTAGACATAACCTCCTCTTAGATAAGTTTTCCATAGAACTTTGGCCTTGATATTGAACCTTCCCACTCCAAAGAAATAGATATTTAGAATATTTGATCCTTCTGGAACAGTACAAGATATCTTCTGCAGCCAAGTTCTCAACCCAAAAACTCTTCACGCCAAAAACCAGTAGTCTGACAAGGTCAATGATGGTCTTGGTAGTTTGCAAATTAAAAGAATCAACCCCGAGAAAATCAGCATACTCATAAGTATCACCTTCGAAGGAATTCATCTCATCTCCAACAATTCCCTCAAGAATTTCTTGAATCACCTTTCCTTCAAACATGGGTTGATTGTGTTGCTTCAAAAGTTCAAACCCAACTTCTTCGTGATTCACTGCCTTCAAGATTACACTAGATTCAGCTTGTTTACTCTCACCAAATACCTTGTCAAAAGCTTTCTCAATTCCCAAACAAACTTCACAATCTTCTTCCAAACAATAGTCAAACACAGGAGGCTTTTCTAAATTTAGGAGATTGTCATCTTCCAATTTATTCGAAGCTCCCTCAACATCCTTCTTAGCGACAAGTGGATACACAGACGCCACCTCCTTGCTCTCAATGTCAAACTTATGAGCTCTCAAATGACCATTAACCCTTCATCTTTAGGAACATGGCAGAATCCTTCTTCAAGCGGCTGCAAAGTCCACTTTCTCCCATCCTTATAGAATGAATAAGTGTTAGCTTTAGTAGAATGCATCATGTCTTTGTCAAACAACCATGGTCTTCCCAATAAGATATGACATGCGTCTGTGAGAACAACATCACACCAAGATTCATCTTCAATGGTATTACCAATAGTGAATTTAACCAAACACATTGATGTGATTGGTACCTCGCTTCCCTTTCGAAACCATGTAACTTTGTAGGGATTAGCATGCTTCTCAATTGGTAACTTCAATTTTTCTACCGCCTCTTTTGAGATAATGTTTTCACTACTTCCTCCATCAAGAATCACGTTGCACATCTTTCCCCCACAAAGGACTCATGTTCGGAATATATTATGTCGACTCCAATCTTCTTCCTTAATTTTGGGAGTTGTCATCACTTGCCTTACCAACAAACATTCTCCTTCAACTGGTGAGAGATCAATAACTTCCTCTTCATTGCTATAAACATCATACACGGGCTCTGGAAAGTTGATCTTATCACCTACCAAATTTATTCTTCTTTGTGGACAAGCGTAAGATTTATGCCCCGCCTCTCTGCAATTGAAACATCGAGCTTGTGAAGTACTTCCAGCCTTGGAATCCTTGACAATAGCACTGTTTGGAGGATGAAATTGTGTTATTTTCTTCCACTTTTCATTCTTATCAGCACCCAAGTTCCTACCACCTATTCGGGTACTTGGATTGGCTTCTTCATCACTTTGGACGCCATGAACAACAACAGTATCTCTTTGCCAACCCGTATCTGGGCTGCTAGAAACTTCTCTCTTTCCACCAAGAACGTGATAGTCTTCGCTCTGCCATTAAAGCATATTGTCAAGCATCCTCAAGGTTGAACAAACGGACCACCCCCATCTCATCTTGAATTGTCTAATTCAAACCAGAAAGATAACGGGATGTCATCTGTTCAATATTCAAACCAACTTGAATTGAGAGATTATTAAACTCTTACGTATATTCTTGAATAGACATGTCTCATCGCTTTAAATTATGAAACCACTTATGTAACTCCATGGTACAATCAGCAAGTAAAAACTGCTTTCATAACTTGGATTTCATACGATCCCATGTGTTGATCTTTTGCTTCCGTTGCCGAGCACACTGCTCTTCAACTTTCTTCCACCATAGAAGCGCGATACTCTTCAACTTAAGCTTTACAAACAACACATTTCGATCTTCTGCCATAGGCTTCCATTCAAAATAATTATCTAGACTTGCCTCCCAATCCAAATAATCTTCAACATGCATCTTTCCATAGAAATCAACACCTTCAATTTTAATTCTCCACCATTCAAATCCAAAGCACGAACCAACCGCTTTTCCAATCCACCTCGATGACCATCACCATGGTTTACAGCTTCATGATTGTCGACGTCCATCTCGTCTTCATATTCATCCTCACCACCACCTTTCGGTATGTGTAAGGGTTCGTAGTTGCGTTTCAAAATCTCCATATAGGCATCCGCGCGTTCCTGTCATTGGAGGGCTTGCACCGCTCTCGACAAATCTTCCATCATACACCGCATCTCAGTCATCTATGTGTTGGGCTTGGTTCCCTCGTCCACAACCCCTAGCACATCCATCCATGTTGTGGAACAAGGATTAACCTAGACTCTAATACCAATTTGATGTAGGATAGAAACTATAAGCTGCTATCCAGCGACCCAAACATACCCAAAATAGTGGATAGAAGGATAAAGCAGTAGAATCGAAGTTTGAATGAAGATAACTGAATTCTAGGGCAAAATCCCAATAGAAACTCTATAGACTAAGTCTGAAATTATAGTGATCAACAAAAACTAAATACAAGAGTCTTAATAGCCTATTTCTACTAGAATATAGGAAACCTAATTGACATAGGAAATTAAAAACGTAAACAGGAAATTAAACCAAATTAAACCAAATCCTAGTAAGAATAGGAAAACAAGTAAAAAAAATAACCTATTAATTTAATATTACTACAACTTATGGCTGATGCCCACTTAGATTAGGAAAGTCTAATAGATGCTCCTGCATCAAACTTCTATATTCATAGAATTTGCCCCATTCACTCAACACTGAAATTGCTCTTTACACATACTTGGAAATGTAAGCAATTAATTCGATGCTAATATAGCACCCCGTAATTCAGGAAAAATGCCCAAAATCAATTGATCAAAAGCATCAAACAAAATATTAATGTTTCCACCAGAGTAGTGTGTGTGTGCCTAAATGAGCAGCATGTACAGTTGAAATCATATTTGCATGTGTGAGAGCATGTACAGCAGAATAAGCAAGCATATACAAGATATCATAACAAAAGGAATATTATGTCACTTCTAATCCAGCTAGCTTTACGATTTCCGGCTCAACTTATATGCATACGAGCCAGGTTTTCTCCTCCCTCGATTTCTTGTGTTCCAACGGAAATTAGTCCTGGTGGTGGAATCTGATTCATGAGTTGCATTAGGTACACTGGAACTTGTCGGCAATGCAGTTTCCGAAACCGGAACAGGTAAGTCTGTGGGCAACTCAGTTTCTGATACCGGAACAGGAAAATTGGTTTCCTGCTCTTCAAGTGATATGTGAGGCTTCTGGATGAGCTGATCTTTAACTTCAAAATTATATGGCTCATCCTTGACAGCAGCATTAGGTATAAGGTACCCATCCTCAACCTGAATATATGAAGGAAAAATCAGTCTGACATATCGTGTGTCACAATGCCACATAAGTCCATCTTCATGATTGATCCAGTATGATGATTTACAAGACTCGGTTTTAACTATTATTACATGACCATGTAACAGCTAGCAATTGGTACTTCCCTATGAAATTGGACGGTCAAACTAGGGAAAATTAATAACAGCAATTTTTTGCTAGTTATAACATTAACTTGGAACACATCCAGGACCCAAACCCAGCCAGCCTGGGAAAAGTTAGCATGAAGAAGCCCGCAGAATTGTCCCCCTAGGGACAATAACAGGATACTAGGTCAACTTGTTCACCTTGTAAACATCGACTAACAGGCAGTTCAATGGTCACCGAGATTTTCACCAAACTGGGGTTTAAAGCAAGATTACTAAAGCATGTCCATTCTTAAGACAATTCTTTTCCATGGGTTAGTCAAGCCAGCATAAAACCACTACCAGATATATAATGGTCGAAAACAACGCTTATCATTTGCAATTTCAATATAGAAGCAATAGAAACAAGAATGCAAAATATATATATATATATATATATTATATATATATATATATATATATATATTATATATATATAAGTGTTGACTGCAAGATTGAAACCCAAATCAATAAACATGCTCATACTCATGAATATACTACCAACAAGTGTAAACCAACAAATGAAAAGTGTTGAAATCAGTTCAAAAAAGAAAAACTTACATTTTCAAGTACATTGCCAAGCCAAGGCTGATCTGTATTTCCAATCATACCAGGAAGAGGGGTCAGCTCTTCATGACTTGAAACTGCACTCTGAGGTAAAAATAGATTTCCAATGTTAAACTTGACATGCTGAGATGCAGTGGATAAAGTTTCCAATAGTAATGTATTTCCATTTTCAGGAGGAGAAGCAGGATTTTGAGCAGAGCCATTCGATGTATCACATGGTACTAGGAAATGGTTAGCAGAAAAGTTCCCAGGATTTTCCTGCACGACCTTGTCAATTCGAGTCTTCAACTGCCATACTTGTGAATGTACCACTTCAATCTTCCAAAGAATATCTTCCAAGGAACTATTACCATCTCTGAACTCGAGAGATGACCATATATCATTTGTCTCAAACTCATTATGGCCATTACTAGTTTTACCTCCTGCTATATTGATGAAAGATTTAAAAGAGAATAAAAATAATGAACAAATATTATTAAAACAAAAACAGAAATTGGCCGCTTTATAGTGGTACATGATCTAATAATAGATTTAAGCATTCAACGATAATATATAGAAAATTAAATCGCATGAAACCAAAAGACAATTCAAAGTCTCAACATTTTCATGGAACAAATCAAATGCTTTTAAGTAACAGAAAAATCACCAAACTCTATATCTACAAAGGAGAAAAAAAAATTAACATGCAATTAAGATCTACACTTTCAAAATTGCAATTGGGGATGTGTTTGTTCCACTATGTAAAACAAAATTGACTTCATTATGGGAACTAAATAAATGGATACACAAACAGACACATTTTTTTTTAAACAAAACGAAATTTATTAAGCAAAAGAACACGGAGGTGGATAATGCATCCACAACCGAAGAACCAAAACAAAACAGAAAGAAACAAACAGCACCAAAACCTCCCAAACTAACCGGGAGAAACAACACCGAAAAACAGCAAAACACACACACACCCCCCCCCCCCCCCCCACTTTAACCGCAGCTCCACATATCCCTCATAATTATGGAATAAGAGTAGTCTTTAAAATCTTTTGTAACAGAAGCCCAAAAAGCTGCCCAGTACTTAACTCTATCCCAAAGTTCACTCACTCTCACTCCCTTATAGTCTTCGAAGATTCTCCTATTACGCTCCATCCAAATGTTCCAGAAAACAGAGTGGACCAAAGAGCCCCAATATACACAAACAGACACATGCACATACATTTATTTGTCAAACATGGTCTGCATATGAAAAATATATGCATGGAGACCCATATGAAGTCAAATCAATATTCCATACTTACCGAGATCACCCCAGTCTTCCTGCATGCAAACACCATTAGCAGCAGTCTTCTTACTTTCTGGAACTAAGAAAGAACAAAAAACACAAGTCAGATGTGTAGTTGCAAATCAGACTTGTAGTTGGCAACAATGAATCAAGAAAATTTTGGGAAATTAATACCATAGGAGAACAGATTATGGTGTGACATATACGATGCTATGTCAGTAGTATCTTCAACTCTCTTTCTTTTCTTCCTTTTCATCAACTTTGGTGTTGGCATTGCATCAAAACCTTCTGATGTGAAGCCCTCAAATGCAGACAGCTTTTCTTTGTCATACTTTGCAAGTTCGGAATCATACTTTTGGGTCTGGGACAGAAGTTCCTTAATCTGCAGTTCCAGCCATTTAAGCCGCCACATTTCAGGACGTATAAAATTCCTCCACTCGGGGGTCAACTTTTTCTTCCTAGAAAATCAGATGTACACATAAACCATGTGAATATGATGTACAAATACAAAATCTGACAAAGAGTATATAATCATGATAACAATATGGTGGGCACAATCATAAAAAAGAATGAAGAAAGTAAATCCTTTGCATCAAAATAATTTTGCAACTATGCCCTTTTTTTATATTAAAACTGATGTTCAATAAAGTGGTAACAAAGTTCAACATGTGTAGCTGACCATGACTGAAACATGTGAGAGGAGAAGCACCGTATGAAAAGAAAAGAGATGCACACACATCTACAATGTGGATCCTTGCCCTCATCCTAAAGGGGAAATGAAACCCATTACCCATCCTTACCTACCCCTACCAGACATGTAAAGTTTTGATATCTTTTTAAAATTAACACATAGAGAAATTTCATATAGTTTCTTTTAAATGCAATTTAAAGACACTAGAGGTTCAAATGACCAAGCATATAACATAACTAAAACAGGAAAATTACAACAAAAACAAATATCAAGCACTCACTACTAATCAACTATGAAACAAAATTATTAGTAACACTAGAAATACAAGTCAAAACTTAAAGATAACAGTTGTTTAAGAGTAGTGAAACATCCAGAAACACAGCCTCCATAGTTAACTATTTTAAAGTACAACTAATGTAATTTACCATCCAATTCTACCACCACCATCCTTGAATCTTGAAGAATATCCCAACAGACTTTCCCACCAAGAAAAAGTTGAGAAGAGGAAGAAAAGTAAAGAAATAAAAGGAGGGCATAAGTTAAGCAAAAAAAAGGTTTTGTAAATATCAAAAGATATGCATACAACCCAGCGCCAAAAGGAAGGGATCGAACCTATGCCCGTCCAGTAAGCAGAAATTAATGCTCACCTTGTTCATTCCCATCCCTCTTTTTCCTGGTAATGCAGCTTCGAACCCAACCAATCAGGCATAAATTTCGATCCTAAGATTTATTTAAGCAGAAATTCAGACTTAAGAAATTTTCCACAGAATGACACCAGCCACAATCCCTCTCAAGGCCTCAAGCTAAGGAAATTCAAACATCATAAATTCTGAAAGGATTTATTTTTTTTTTTTTTTTTTTTTTTTTTTTGTTTTTGTACTACACAAAAGGGAAACCCCATTTGACAAACTTAATCAGAAAAAACTTCTATTGAACTTCACTACATATTTCAAAGTGTATGATCAATATTTTAACAACTGAGCACTAAACTGCAAACAAGAGATAACCTTTACAATTGTATTCTAGGCTTGCAAATCATTCAATGCTACCCTATAGACAACATTTAAGTAAGACAGAAGAAATCATTTAAACCACAATGTACCTTGTTTGAAATGCACCAAAATATCCATCATATACTGAAGCGTGCTCATTTTCACCTAACTGTGAATCAGCTTCGTCACCATCCAACGTTGAACCATCCACTGTCCCAGAAATTGTATCACCAAAAGAACTCGAATTCTCTGTCAAATCCCCACATTCACCTTCAGGAATCTGAACATCATCAGGACTTGTACCACCAGTTCTGTTTAGCTCCGCATTCTCCCTTTTATTTGAGGCAGTAGTTTGTCCAACCAATGTTTCTTCCATTTCCAAGATATTATCTTTGTAGTTACTTACACAAGGCATAAACTTATCGTCTACGACTACGTCATGATGGGTAGTTCCATCCTTAGCAACTGAAACTTCCATAGCAGCTCCCGACTTTGGTTTCACCTCCAATTCAGGGCCCATCCTGGAAATTCATGTAAACGCAATTCTTTCCTTCTAGCAATCAGAAAATAATTCAAAACCATTTATGTCAATGTCAATTCAATCTATAACAACAACTGCAGCCATAAGAATTCCCACATCAAATTAATTAAAGATGATCTCCAAAATGTAGAACATCAAAATTCAACACCGGTATAAAAAATAATATAAATATTATATCATGCTTCAATTGAAAGTAGAAAACCCAAAATTAACCGCTAAACAGAACCCCTCCCCACCCCCCAACACTCCCTCTTCTCTCTCTCCCCAAAGAAAAGGGGGAAAAAAAAAAAGAATAATCCCTAAATCTTGTCATAATAAAAAGACTAAAAATTTAAAACAGCAAATTGATAACACGAGAATAAAGTCTCGATTTTCAATACAAATCATAAAACCCTAAACCCTAAGAAAATTTTCAGAAGCGAGAGAGCGAGAGAGCAACCTGAGATTGAGGAAATCTGTTGTGGGTAGGAGCGCGAAAGAGCATGTGACTGCCGGCCCAGTTAAGCGTCGGAGCCGGTGACAGATAAGTGAGACGTGAGCGTGGCGAACTCTGATTGGGGCCCAAGGGAAGGCTCTCTTGGTGGCACTTTTTCTCGCTCCCTCACAGTCACACACAGTCGCTCTCTCTCCCTCTCTCTCTCTCTCTAGAATTAAAGACAGTCCAACCATCGTGGGCCGCACGTGTGGGTCTAAATAATATGATTGATGAATTCACATGTGCTGCCTTGGTTTGTGTTTTTTTTTAATTTTAAATGAGAAAGTTAAAAACAAAACAAGCAACCAACTTCTGTCTGACTGGTTTCGCTGTACTAGGTTTTTATAATTCATTTGTATTAAATTATGAATCAAAATTGCTTTAAAATTCAACTTATTTATTTATTTATTCTTTTAAGTGGATGCTGCTATTGGCATATTCCATTGTAGGTATGATGTGATAGGATTAGAATTGAAGATTTTCCCATTTTCTCACTCCATATTAATAGCACTTTGACCTTAAAATTCTCAAGCTAATTTGTAATTTTTTTTTTAAAGGACCACAAAATCTGAAACATACGTGAATTTGGAGACCTCCCTTAATAGGATTTTATCACATGAGAACTTACCTCTTTTCATATTGTAAATTGGATTAATTATATAGAAGTTGATTTTATACTCATTTCTTATTTTCTGATTCATGAATTTTCCGATTTATGACTTTCTTGTTTCAAGTAATTTTACATGGCACTGAAGTTTTATTCTTATTTAGATAAATGGATGGTCACACACACCTGCCATTCTCACACTGTTACACGAGCTATTAACCAAAACGCTTTGACCTCAATTTGTCTCTTCATTTCCTTTTCTCTTTATTTTCCCCGGCAGAAGTTGTTTTTTCTCATCTGGAAAAATAAAGAAAAAAATGTACTTTTAAACAACATAAGTAAAAGGCAACCCTCTCATTTATGAGATTTGATTTGAGTACCACATAATTGTTTTTTTAAATAAAAAAATTATTATTTTATGAGATTTGAGTCCCACAAAATAAATAAAAGTTAAATCTTAAATGCCACCAAACAGATCATTAGCAAAAGACCAGAGAGTCATTGGCAGAAATTTGTCTTTTGTCAAAGGAGTTCTAAACCCAAAATGACATTTGGATGAGTGTGGTGCCTCTATTAATGGCAAATAATAGTCAACTGTAGGAAGGGTAGTTGGCATGTTCTTCTGTTTCCAGAATAATCAACCCAACTTCTCTTCTCTCTCTCTGTAAACAAACCATTTTCTCAGGAGTCCTACTCCACCAAAATCCTTGAGACTCCGAACCTACAAACCTCTCTGGAATTCCAAAGCTTTTGGCAACTTTAAGCAAAAACCCATTTAGCAACAATGGCTTCTCCACCAGTATCAATCATTTTCATCTTCTTCTTCCTCATCACTCTTATCCCACTAATCCACTCTGTTCCTTTCATTGTTTTTCATGGTAAATCTCTCATCCTTTTGTTTTTCTTTTCAATTTCATGGGTTTCTGCAGCTCTTAATGGGTTTTTAATGGGTTTTTAGTGAATTTTGTTGCTGCTTATTATGCTCTTTGACCCAGTATATTAATGCTAGTAGCTCTGTTTTTGTGAATAAGAGCAAACAATGCATGCAATGACCAAGTTGGAAGTTTTTTTTGAGAAAAAAGATATTCTCTGCGGTTTAGTTTGCTTCTATTTCTGTTGCACTGCTAGCTTGTTTTTCTTCCCTATTTAGCAACAGTCTTAGCATCTATAAATTTCTTTTCTTTTCTTTTCTTTCTTTATTTTGGGCTGATGCTCACTGTCTAATGTTCGTTTGTCAGTGTGTTCCTTGCTGTTTTCCATTTCTGAGTTGGTGCGGGAATGTTGAAATGAATTCATCTCCCATAAGATCATTGACAACTCTGTTTGTATGTGAGGTAATGTAAGGAATAACATTTGTGGAAAATTGGCCTTTTGGTTTCATCTTCTTTGGTAGCTAAGAAACTGTAGGCAAACTAGAGGGCATAAATTTTGGGCCTTATTTGTGTCCGAAGTATCTGTGAAGCTGTAAATTGTATGAGAAACTCTTCTTCAAAAGTACATCCATCTAGTTAGGTAGCTACCATGTATGTGCAAGTTTGTCTTAAACAAATGGCGGAAAATAGTAGACAAAATGAAGTAGTTGGTACTTATGAAGAAGTAGACTCGGTCATATGCATGCTTTAATTTTCATACATAATCTGCGGACTATGTACATACTTAGATATTACTGGGCTAAAGAGACTGACAATTTGTCAAGAACTCTGTAGTGACTTTGTTCTTTGCTTCTCCCTTTAACTTAGGAAAACTATGTGATAGCATTGTAGATCAGTGTTCAATAATTATCTTTCAAAATCTGACTTTTTGGGCTGCTGAAACAAGTCAGTAACAAAAAGTTTCATCAAAATATTTTCGTGCTTCTAAAATATACTTGGACTTTGTCTCTCATACATTTTGATGGTACACTTGTGTCTACATTGGCTATTTTGAGAAATGAATTTTTGTATGATGTTGGGAAGAGTTAGTTAAATCATTATAAAGCTGGGATTTTATCTATTTATATTCTATGACAGGCATTGGAGATAAATGCAGCAACCGAGGAGTCACACAATTTACTGACCTCTTAAGCAACTGGTCTGGTTCTCAAGGATACTGCATGTATGCTACTAAAACTTGTTCTACTACATTTATTCTCTAATGGTTATATCCCAGCTCTAACCCTAAAAGGCTAAGGAATTCACATTCCACACTTCCCTTATGCTGCTTGCACGACACAGACTTGATTTGTGGGACTCTCCTAAGCCAGCTGGAGGCATCATCAAACCTGTACATTAAGTTAATCAAATAGAGTAAAAACCCAACACACTAGTCTGAGTTTCAGGTCCCAGGAGGAACCTCTTTAAGGAACACATAAATGCGCTCCTGAACTTTTGTGGGTCATCGACAAGTCTTTTTTTAAAAGCGCAGAACTCTCGTCATTAATTTGGTATGTTTCTCAAAAAGTTTCCAAACTAGTGCTGTTGCCTATCAAGACATAACAAGCTTAAACTCTGCTGACAAAGGGTTTTCAGAGTTATTCAATAAACTGAATATTTCCCAATAGGAACACTCTGTCAGAAATTGTGACATGTATGAATGTGACGTAACCTTTGTATCAATTTGTCAAGTTCACTGTTATTGTTTGATGCTCTTCTGTCAAAAATCAAATTGTGCACCTCTGATCAGGCTAACATCTAGTGCATGATTAATGCAAGTCCTGTTTCTGATTCATTTTTCTCTGTAGAGAAATTGGGGATGGATCGTGGGATTCCTGGACTATGCCCTTATTGGAACAGGTGACTCTTGAACTAATAGTATGAGTGCTTTCTATCAATAATATATTAATATTCCATATGTAGTTTGGAAAATAATTTATTATACTTCTACTTGCAGACGACCATTGCTTGTGAGAAGGTGGTGAAATAGTTTGGTAATGCATTTTAATTCTTCATTTTGGAAATTAAATTGTAACACCCTTCTTAACAAATTTCCATGCCAATTACAGGTGAAAAATATAAGTGAATTAAGTGAGGGTTACAACATAGTTGGACTTTCTCAGGTGATTGACAGGGGTTGTAAAAGTTATTTGTTTCTACTTGTGTTTTTCCTTCATAATCTGCTGCTACTATAAGATATTTCTTCTCCATCCATGGACCCTCTGCATGAATGTAAGAATTATGTCTATTTTTTCAAAGTAAAAAGAAAGAAATATAATGCGTCTCATGTGTTCATTTAAACTTCAGCTAGTGAATGTTTAAGCTTTGGCTATTTCTTACGTTTACCAGCTCCATGAGTCATTCTTCTGTATTGCTGATGGTCTCTCCTAGCATTTCCTTTTTTTCTTTCTTACTTTGCAACTACTATGAAGTACTTGTACCCATGATGGTGCACAAGCTGCGAGGTCACAATATTGAAGAACACCTAGCATACAGATGTGCATACATGCAGTTGTAACTGTCTTCTCAGTTTTATTGCAGTTTAGTGCCTTCATGAAAGGTGGAGAAATTTCCATGTAAATTTAGGACTTTTAGTTGCCTTATATAATTTTTTGGTGATTAGATTGCATTCATCCATTGTAGTTTTTCCATTTAGTTTTCGACTATTCAACTTTGTATTGATTCTAGTGGTTTAGTTGTTGATAACATATTCCACATTCGTTATGTTTCACAGGGTAACATGGTTGGTCGAGGAGTAATTGAATTTTGTGATGGGGGACCTCCTGTAAGAACACATTGCCATTTCTATTATTTTTTATCAGTATTCATGCATAATCATAATCCTTAAACATATATTGTTTTGTACATGATTGTAAAGCATGAAATGGTTTCCTGGTAAAAGAAATTCATCTTGATCTGGTAACTTAATAAATATAAGAGGAAAGTATGAAGGCATATTTTTCCTTTATTAAGCTCTACAAAAGTGTTGTTACTTAAACCTGTTTATTGCTATTTTCAGCATTCCTAGTTTTTGTTATTACGAATATAGTGCGTCACTGCACTAAATGTAAAGTGGTTCACAATTCTATAGGACTGATTCACATTTTCTCTTCAAAAGTGCGGTGGGCTTCTGTTACTGTTCGTACCCATGTATGATGAAAGCACCTCATCCTGTTACTCTCAACCTAGCCATTTCAAAAAGCGCTTGTCTAATCCCTATGGATTTTGTGTCTTTCCAAGTCCTTCCGAAACCTTCCTTTAGTTCCATCCATCTAAACTCTTGTAGTCTTCTGCTAAAATCCCACATCAGTTATTGTAACGTTGTAAGTCTTGCATTATAATTTATAAAATTATGGGCCATTGCCAATTGGTTTTAGGTTCGATGCTTTGAATTTAACACGATATCAGAGTGAGTGTTCATCCGCATGCCATGCCCAATTGGCCGCATGTGCTCCACTTTACCTAAGTATATTGATCCACATATTTCGCTCATTTCGACCACATAAAAATCTCACATCGGGTAGTCGAAGCCTTGCATAAAAATACATAAAATCCTAGGCCTCTTCATTCATTTCAAATGGTTTTGGGTTGGATGCTTAAACTTTAACAGATGGATTAGACGCCAACCATACTAATCATCTCAGCCTCTTTACCCTACTACTATAATACATTTAGCAATGATATGACCAAAAGGGTATTGTGTTGATTGTAGGGAGAAGATTGCGTGAACCTAACATTATCCGATCGGTTTTTACCATCTTCATCAGTGTTGTCCTTTGTATTTCTTTCTCTACCATGTAGCACCTTTTGTTATTACAAGTGCTGACTTATTTTTTCTGTATCAATTTTCTAAATCGCTAATGTTCCATTCTATATTTATATATGTGAAACAGGTTAAGAATTTTATATCACTAGCAGGTCCCCATGCTGGTACTGCTTCTATTCCATTTTGTGGAGTATGTGCTTCTTCCTCTTCTCTCTGGTTTTAACAAAGAAATTATTATTCTGAATCATTTTACTTACAATGTATAATAAAGTCATTTTCTAGGTTTTTATTGTATTTGGAATGCACACTTTCTTAAGTAATTAGTTTAAACACAAAATCCTGATAAACAGGACAAAACCTATTAGGATGAAATAAAGACTTGGTTATTTCCCTCATATGTGAGATAAACATATTGTGAATCAACCCCAGTAAAATATTTCATTATGATGTCCCATCTGTAAACTGAAAGCATCCTGAATTTAGAATATTCACAGTTGTTGAGCGCTGTTCAGAAAGATAATGATGTTTCCTTTTGGAGTTATTAGGACTTGAGCTATTCTATGCAATATAACTTCATTCAAGTATTTGTCTACATTGAATCCAGTTAAAACTAAGTTACATGTGTGGTATTTGGAGTATGACATTGATGCTTCACCATTCATGTTGCTTCAAAATTATTTCCATGGCAAATTATTATCTTGCGTGAATTTAAAACAACCAGAATTTGTGTCATGAGAACAGACCAGATATTCTGTTGTTTTCACCTTCCCTTTCGACTTTGTAAAACGTGGAGTGACAGAATCAATATTCTATTTCCATCCCATGCTGATCAGAAAGACACTGAAATGCGTTTTTGTCTTCGGAACCCTTGGCAACAGAAATCAATATTGATAGACTTAGAATATGATGGGGAAATAAGTAATATCAGTGGAATAAGTAATATCGAATATATGTTCTATTACTCACTTACCAATATATTAGTTATATATTTTATGTTTTGCAGTCCGAATGGATTTGTGTGCTTCTGGACAACTTAATCAAGTCAGAGATCTACAGCAGCTTTATCCAGGTTTAAACTTATTGAGCTCTCAAGTTCTTAATTTTTTCCTTTTTTCTTTTGTATTTAAGTTTCTGAAACAGGAGACAGTAACATTTGCCTCAGTAAAATGGTATCTCTGTTGAGATTCTTGCGACCAACTTGTCCTGTTTCTCTCATTATTTATCTCTGTTGGAAACTCGCCAATTGAATTACCTGCTTTTGATGTGTTTGCAGGAACATTTGTCTCCAAGTGGTTATGTTAAAATCCCTACTGTGAGTATAATCCATGAGTTAGCTTTAAAGATTTTTTGTACTGTCTGTAGGTTCCATGCACCAAGAGTTAAACTTCATCAACTTTTTTATTCTCCAGGACATTGCTGCCTATTTAAAAGGGTGTAGGTTCCTTCCGAGGTTGAACAATGAAATAAATAATATGAGAAATTCCACTTATAAGGAACGGTTTTCGAGCTTAGAGAAGTTGGTATTAATTATGGTGAGGTTTAGAGTTATATTTTCTCTCGCCCATTTGAAACGATTCAGTTTGTAGTTCTAAATTTTATTTCTCCTGGCGTCCATGGTTAGTTTGAGCAGGACACTATATTGATACCCAAGGAGACCTCCTGGTTTGGATATTTCCCAGATGGGGCCTTTGATCCTATTTTGCCCGCGCAAGAGGTAACCTATCTACTCCATAGTTCTTGCTCAAGTACTGAATAATAAAAGTTTGTGCTTTATAATCTGAGACCATGGAGAGAAGTCCATATTCTTGTTGCCTAGTGCTTTTTGGCTGTCAATATACTATAAAGCTTTAGGATTTCTGAACATTGTATTATCCTGCAGACCCAGCTGTACACTGAAGACTGGATTGGCTTGAAAACCTTGGATGAAGCTGGAAAAGTTAAGTTCATTAACGTGTCAGGGGGCCATCTGCACATCTCTCGAAGCGACATGAAAAAGTATGTTGTGCCATACTTGGAAGACGAAGCCTCAATGCAGCCCAAGATAGCAGAGCCTTCATCACATAAATCATTTTCATCCATCTGGAACAACTTCCTGGATCTTTTCGGGCTCACAGAGCATCGGCAATTGGTGCTGACTGTGGTTTAATCTGAGTAAGAACATGGGATATACAGAAGGCGGCTGTGAAGTAATTGTTACCACGTATGTTTTCATTTTTAAACGGTAGGTGCTATACTAGAATGGGACTTCTTGTGTCTGTTTATTATGCCTCATTGGAGAATGGAGAAGTGGGTTTTGCACTGCAGAGAGTGGCAATTGCATTTGACGAGGTTCTTCCAAACGTTACTTCATAATTTTTTTTTCTTACGAGATTGCTAACTTAGTGTATCCAAATAGCATAAACCAAATTGTTTTCTTTTGGGAGTGAGAATAAAAATCATATTTGAGGAACGAAAGTTAAACTTTATTACCTTTGTTTTTGTTTTTGTTTTTTTGTTTCTTTTTTTGAGAGAACTTTATTACCTTGTTTTAGAATTGCGTTTTTGTTCCAATACCAAGGCAATTAGAATTTCTAAATTTGAGGTTATATAAACGACCGAAGAGTTCAAACTCTTGCCATTTCTCCAAAATTTTGGGACTACTTACAGCTCAAAGGGTGAATAGGCATAGATAGCACCAGTTTCAATAGTCCATGCAAGAATAGTACAATTTGAAAACATTGCATAACTAGAACGTATAAGTACAATTCTATTTCAAACCCTAGTTCTCTACTCGACTCCATTGTTTCTCAAATTTGCATGGTTTTCAAAATTATGCGATTCTTGCATAAACCATGGAACCGGTGTTATCTATCCATGCCTATTTCACTAATATAGGGTATAGTTGAAACAAAGAGATAAACATGTAATTTATTCACAAAATATATCCTCAGAGGCATCACCTCGGAATACTGCCAGTACTAAAAAAACATTCTTAGATCATTAGTCCATTTCTTCAAAGCTGCAACTAAAAAGAAATGGATAGAGGATCAACTAATGCAGTTTTTCACCAGATTGTTGCCAGGACGAGTCTCAAGCAGCTTTAATATATATCATTATATAGGAGACATTATCACAAAGAATACGAACAAAAATTGAAAATGGTTAAGGATACAAGTGCTTAAACTAATCCCCCATCTAAACAAACTTTTTTTTTCCTTACATGATTTGGTACAAAGGGGGTGGGTTACTTGAACCTAAATTAACCATCTTTATGCCTCAGAAATGGGGGACAGAAGAAAAAATGAAGATCAAGCTGATTTGCTGTCGGGGCAAGGTTTAGTTCTTTTACATGAAAGATTACAGAGAACAGCATGCATCCTTGTGGTGCGACATCCTGCTGTCCACGGAAGCTCATAACAAAGCATTAAATCAGCCTCCATCAACAACCCTAAACAGAGATGTTTTGCTGACAGATGAATTAGAGTGATGGTTCTATATGGTGATGCTCAAGATTGCGAAGCACAATTCTAGCAAAGATTTTGGCTTCAAGCGGAGCAGTTGCCGCAGCAGCTGCAGCCCGCAGAACACGTGCTGCTCCTGCATTCTGCATAAGGCTGGCATGGTGCATGGCATGCCGGCCACCAGGAATGGTAAACTGCGGTTGAAAGAGTGCATACATAAAAGATTGTTCTCCTTAAATAAATAAAGGATATCTGCGTTGGCACCGAACACCACCTGGAAATATACCCTTTCTCAAAGAGGGAGAGTCTAAATATGCACAATTACCTGAAGAAGAGCAAATGCAGCACATGCCTTGAGAACAGATGATGGATTCCGTAGCATGGTAACAAATCTTCCAATTTCAGCCCCGCTGACAGTACAAGGAAAAGTCAAAATTCTGATTTAAAAAAAGCAAATACTATGGGGAAAAATCAAAGTAGCCCTCTCAATTGACAATATAAATGAACTTCCTGGCTAGATGTACATAAACCAGAACAGTAAAACAATCTTTGCACAAACATCAACCACTAGAAGATAAATAAATAATCGATCGACACCCATAAACCAAGGAGATAAAAGTAATACTATCAAAAATAAATTATCAAGTAATTTGGATTATATTTTAATGTTATTTGGTAAATTTCAACCATAGCAAAAAGGTTAAAAGGTCCTGGAAAACATTGGATTGGAACTACGACTGTTGAATATGTTATAGATGGCACATGATTTCCACAAAATGCACGGTATGCAGGAGTAACAATATTAACAAACTAAGGACGGCTAACAGGCATTCAAGGGAACCAAATGAGTGGCTTAGAAGTTGGATGATTATATGCCTGTATAACCTAATGAAAGAAGATGAGAGGAAGACCAAAGGAACGATGAGTTGAGTGATTACGGAAAAGGATCAACATAGCCACAGAGAGAGAGAGAACCTGCATCTCAGATGTCCTGCTTCTTGAATACGAGCACCTTCGGTCACTTGTGCCAATGCTGCAGGGGCTGATGATGCTGCAGCAGCAGAAAACGTTTGTTGATCAGAAAATGTGAGGACAAAGGCCTCAATGTGCTTAAGAGCCATCCTTCTAGAGCCATCTAAGCTCACACTCTTTGAGATGCTTTCTGATGAAGTCCCTATCAAGGCAAATTCATCCATTCTGCACAGAGCATTAACTAACTTTAACATAAGGAAAAAAAAATAAAAAAAACTTTAAGATATATAGATGCATGTTACTCCCAGAAACAATTTTCATCCCAGTTCCATAGTGAGAAAAAATTTACTTCCCATGTAAATAATCATTATCATATACCTATGCCGTAGGAGAGCAAAATTTCAAAAATGTTACAAAAAAATAAGCATGGCCACCAACTTCACATACTCTGACAGGTCGAGATGCGCACTCTCTAATAATATAGTGTGACTTATAAGCTGTGGGTATTTTTTAAATCAAGGTTTTCAACCAATACAAGTTTTCTATATCTCTTTACTACAAGATATTCCTATATACTACACAAGAAAGTCAAAATTCCCAAAAAAAATAAAAGGAAAACACTTCAATGTCTAAGGCATGATATTTTGAATCAAAGGTTTCTACACTGAAATCATCTTGTCAGAGCTACCAGCAAAACCAGGTTTCCTTAAAATGAATAAACCATAAGACTCAAAAGGATATTAAACCCCATTACATATAGAACAAAAATCCAGGCATTCAAAAGAATCTTGAAACAAAATAAAGAGTAATATCCACACAGAAAACAGGTAGGCTACAGTCACGCTACAACAAGTACCTGCCATCAAACATGTACGCCAATGCCAATGCAGCCATGAAGCGAGCCATTTTTGACACCGATGAAGAACAAAGATTAACAAGAGCAGGAACACCTCCTTCTTCCACAATACGGAGAGCATTACCAGGGTTAAAAGCAAGATTCCAAAGAGCACCTGCAGCTGTTTCATGGACATCCTGAAAGTTGAAGAAAAAATCAAAATCATATCACTTTCATATTGTATGAAAAAGTAAAATCAAACAAAAAGAGGTTGATAGGAGACATGAGCAGATATCTGTAAGTACATGCACTAAACTCAACGAAGCATATACCCATGAAGGACTTTATCCACAAACCTTGAACAAAGACAAAGGTTAAATAACTTAAAAACTTTCCAATTGGAACACAAGTGAATTTATATGCAAGGCCCTGAGCAACTATAAACTTGAAAATACGTTACAGGTGTTTCCAAACAAGACCCAATATTCAATGACAGATTCATTATTTTGGAACTTTGAAGCAATATAAAAGCCTTGTGGCGTCGTGCTGTTATTCAACACTAAATGAAAACCAAAAAAAAGTAAATGAATATAAGAACTTTCCTAATTTGACTAACAGCTAATACAGACAGGATGTAGAGATCTTAGCTTCGGTTCTCAAATTTCTCATATCTCATTATTTTACAGATTGTCGGCTATTATCTACCAAAAAAAAAGACACGCGAAACTACTCAAATACTATACTGTTTCATACTTAATTTCAAACTGAAGCATGCACTGTCACTAAATTCAGCTTCTATATTTCATTTTGGAAAAACATGTTCCCATAAATTGAGTAATCAATTCCAGAGCCTAGATGAGTGCAATCCACAACGATGGAGTACTATTAAACTTATTTCTCAAACAATCTTAGTAGTCAACGCAACTATCATTCTTTAACTATAAAAACCATCTGCAATTTTGATAAAATAAAAAAAGATAATATAAAAATTTGCTTAACAGTGCTTCATTTCCTCTTATTGACCAGGAATATTCTGTTTACATAAGATAATTTTTCCCTTATAAATGTTTGTTTTACCATTTCACCCTAAATTTGGAAATTTCAAACATACTTGGCTTGTTTAAGAAATGTAATACCATTATAAGAATTTCCGGATCAAGTTTTAGCGGCAGAATAGAAATTTCGTCATTTTTTTTTCAAAGAAACCAACTTTTATTAAATGACACAAGAAAGATACAGCAGAAGTGGCCAAGCAGGCCACAACCGAAAACAACAAACATCTAAAACGTCTAACACTACATGATTTGTTCCATTTGATGATTTTTACTAATCTTGAAAATAACTACTGCTGCATTTGACAACAAAGTTAAGACAATAGTTTAAAAATGGACCTTAAAGATTTCGAATGATAATTGAAAAAATAAAATAAATACTTACTGCAGCTTCAGAACATGCCAATGCAATCAAAGGCACAACACCTCCTTCCCGTCCAATGGCAATGCTAACAACGAACAAAAAGTGAATGTCAATAATTCCAGCATTGAACGAATAGTAAATATCCATATCATTGGAAGAACATGGGAGTCTTAAGACTACGATGGATTTCAAAAAACAACAATATGTGACTGGAGAACAAGGATATTTAGCAGATCACTAGTTATTTGATCCATTCATAAAGGCATAAGTGAGTGATATTCTTTAAGAGCATAAGAATTGAGTAATTTTGAAAGGAATCATTCCAGAATGAAAAATTACCCCATTACCCAAATGAAGCATGATCAAGTAACACAACTAATTATGGTCATTGATTAGATCATTTCATAACTTCAACTTAATAAGTCCTTTAGATGGAATCTGGGTTCTAATAATTGCTCACAGATTAGCTACTCGCTCGAGGTTTTCATGTATATTACCATAAACCCTTTTCATGTATAATACCGAAAGGCTGTTTCGAACTTTTTTCCATCAAATTTGATGCTTTGGGAAGGGGAAAGAAAGCTAAAATCCTTTGGGGCAGTCTGATGCAGGCAGTGATCTGGAACCTTTGGCTGGAACGTAACAGGAGAATCTTCGAGGATTATAAGGGAGTGGGAGTGGTAGAGTTATGGGATAGAGTGAAGTTTTGGGCTCCCCTTTGGGCATCAACTTCCCTTGCTTTTGAGGATATATCCTATCCTACAATTATGTGCAATCTGCTGGCTGTAGTATCTTAAGGGGTTGTCTTTTGATTGGCTGTTTTGTTTTCCGTGTTGAGTGGCCTCGTGTTTGTTTCACTGGCTAGTGTTTCTTACTTTTTGTCTGTGTTCTAAATGTCCTCCTTTTTTATCCTTTCAAATTTTGAACAAAAAATGTTTCTATTCCCAAAACAAAAAAACAAAAAAAATGTATATTACACTTCTTTTTTCCTGCAAGTAACCTGCAAGCTGACCCAATGGACAGCACACACACCGACCTCCCCCACCACCACCATTTCCTTCCTTTTATACGTTCTACACTTGTTTGGCAGCAAAAGTTTCAAGAAACTAATCATCACTGTCTAGCTCCAGAGTGAGACCAGATATCTTACATTGCATTCCAACAAGTTCAGTAATGATATAAGATACATACATTTGAAATAAATAAATAAACGATATCTACAAAAAGACATGCATTATCAGGCCAAATTCTGTCTCATATTAGTTTTTGAACTAGTCATTCCTAGTTGTGTTAAGAAGAGCAAGCACATACCTATTGGCTTCTGACACTGACAATCCCCAAAGAGCACCAGCAGCCCTTTCTTGAAGACCTGGGGAGGCGTTTGAGCAGCCTTGTGCAAGAGCAACCTAAATAACCCACGTGAGATACATACAATGCAACTTTCTGGCATATAATATAAAAAAATTGCACTTTAGCTAGTCGGGTCACTTAAGCTTAAACAAAACAACAATTTCAAAATATTACTATTTTAGCTCAAATGAAAGATTGAACTGTTAAATTGTACCAAAACTTTTAAACAATATAAATTTCCCTACTCAACTTGAAATCAGCATTTTCTCACATAAATGGGCATATACAAAAAAAATTCGTGTCAAAATGTATCCGTTGGTGCAGCAAAAATGAAATGGGCTAGCGTTACCAACGTTCACATTTTTAACTCAAACTGACAAGAAACCAACTGGACCCAGATTATACGTTTGGGTTTAAATTGTAATCTTGCATGACAAAAAACTAACAGTACATAAACAGAAACACACACAAAAATTGCTAGAAATTATGCATGTTGGAAGGGTTTTCCCATCCTTTAGCTTACAAATTGTGAGTTCTTCAGCTTACAAATTGTGAGTCCAAATGCCATTCAAATTATCACCAAAAGGTTTCATGCAGATATGAAATGGTTCACACAAAGAAACTACTAAAACCATCCGTTTTAATCAATTTCCTTTGATATTCTCGTAGATCCAGACCAGAAAGGTAACAAGTTTTGGTCAAACCCTAAAATGTGACATAGCTCTTAATAAAGACTCTTTCATAATAAAATAGCATTTATTACAGCATAGTAACAACCTATTAAATTCTCCAGAGAAAATAAATACTACATAAAAACAAGGGAAAAAGTTCAGCTTCAAGCAAAAAAGTTGAGAAAACTGAAATTAGCATACATATATATTTTTGGAAACCTAAAATAAAATTATATGGTTACAGTTTTGAATGAGCTAGGTCCCCTCACAGCACATCAGTTTTAAAATAATACACTGCTTTCAAGGACAAAGACTGGGTTCAAACTTGGGCATTCTCCTCTAGTAGAATATCTTAATAAATTTAAAACAAATAAATGGCTTTTCCACTAATAAATAGAGAACAGATTTCAATGCAAAAGCAACCCTTCCCATGAATCTTAAAAACAAGAAAAGGTAAAATCACTGTACTTTCCTTATCAACTTCGGCGGACAGGAATGTCTTCCATACGCACTCTTCATTATGCATCATAGTGAAAAAAATTGGTATTTTCAATTATCATTTTCAACAAGTAGTAAATTTTAGGGCAAATAGTTCCAATCAATTATTTTTGTTCCCCGAGTCAGCAAGCAACCTCTATGACAGAAAGCATTTAGAGATTAAGAAGCTATTTCTACATAGGACCAAACAATTTTCTTCCTCTAAAGCACATCAACCAATATACTTATCATGAAACACTTTCTTTCTTTTAGGGATTTGAATGAGAAGCTCGCATGGATGCTACTCGCATTATAGGGTTGTGATCAATGAGGGTAAATAATATATCATACCAAGGCCTCAACACCACCAGCTGCAGCAATTGCTTCTCGGTTTCTGTCATCGAACGATAGATTCCACAATGCACCAGCTGCCTCTTGCCTGTTAAACAGGAAAACAAGGTATAGTTTTACCTCGGTTGCACAGATAGAAGTTGACAAAGCTATAAACAAAATGAAGAGAGTGAAAAACCAATTGGTCATGAGTTGGAGAGGCCTAAGACATTATATTGTAACACTAGGCTTTACACTCCCGATGTGGGATATACTCTCAACATGCCCTCTCAAGTGTGGTGGCCAAACACAGATAACTTATATTGGGTGGCGTAGGAGCATGCTTGGGCACTAGGCCTAACATGTGAATTTCTCGCCTAATACTATGTAGAAGTTAGGGCATCCAACCCAAAACCAATTTGCCATGAGTGAAGAGGCCCTTGACATTATATGTTGTAACTCAAGACTTTGCATTCCTGAAATGAGATACTCTCAACAAGTCTAAAGCTTAAGCATACCAATGAACATTTCTTAACAATTTAAAATTTTCTTATTACTTTTGTTCCTTAATTGAGATTATGCTTCCTTTTATTGTGGTGTTTGGTGGAGGAGGAAGAGGAAGAGGAAGAGGGAGCAGAGGTACCTTGTTCCATTGGTGTGTATACAGAATTAAATAAGAATAAAAAAATTCACTGGAATGAAAGTATATGTAGATGACAAAAAATATCAAACGAATACAAATAAATTCACCCCAAAATATTCAAGTAGCTTAAACAATAATGTAAAACGTAATCCACAGTAAACTACCTGACACCTTCATGAGGAGATTGTGTAAGCTGAACTAGTGCTTCAAGAGCACCTGCCTCTTGTCCAACTGCAGCATTATTACTATTACTATCTCCATGAGCAGCCAAATTCGCCAAGGCACGGGCAGCCTGGTATAACCAGAAGTGCATTAAATAATTTGCTAGAAAGCAACACACAATGCACACGTACACAAGCAAACACACAGGTGCATAAACAAGAGGGAAGTAGGGGAGAGAGAGAGAGAGAGAGAGAGAGGATCACATTGTAAGATGCACACCAAACTAAATAATATTTGACATTTAAAAATACATTTTAATTAAGAAATCTACTTGGAAACATAAAAAATTCCTAGCCCATACCATTTTAGTACCAAAGCGCTGAAAGAAAAAACATATGGGGTTAGGTATTATCGACAAGGCTGAATGAAAGGGAATCCAATACAATAGTGAACGGATGTCACTAGAAGATCCAGTGAATACATAGAATAAGGAAAACTTTTCATTAATTTACTGTTACACTGCCTGCCATAAGTCCAAGCCATGAATTGGCACTTAGATACGGAGGCACACCATAGGAGCCTTAGACCGAGACAGGCTTTCAGAATCATAAGAAAATAGTATGAGATTCTTATAAACAAAGGACAAACCAGTCCCCACAGCCTGAATCTTGACGAGGTGGGTGTCAAGGTCAAAACCACAATGATCAAGACCAGATTTGAAGGTTTCTTGAAAATAAGCTTTTCCTAAAACGTCAACCATCTTTAGCTATACAATAGATTATACACACGCTGAAGTTGAGTCTTTGTCGAGTTGTTATTTGGAGCTTAGCAATATTATAAGATCAAATGATCCAATTGAGCCCACCAAAATTATAGCAATATTTAAAATAAGTAGTAAGAAGGCTTCTAAGTTAGTCTAAAGAAAACAAACATGTAGGCATCAAGAAAGCAAGCAACATTGATTTCTGAAATTTTATTTACAAATCACTTAAGTGGGCATCCTAGAGATTTCAATATGCACATCCAGGATACCGTGATAATGAAGAGATTTACTACCTGCTCTTGTACTCCCTCAAACTTGCAGTTACGAGCAAGCATCACCAAAGCCTGCACACCACCTGCCACTGCAACCTCTGTGCTACACTTGTCATCAGCAGCTAAATTCGCCAGTGCACCAGCTGCACGTTCCTGAAATGACACACATGGGAAGCAAGCCACAACTTTAATCACCATGCAACAGAACCCCAAGTGTATTGCATGACATGTTAGCATTGTATGGAAAGAGAAAAAATATGGGACAAAAAGGTAATGTACCAGAACTCCATCACCACCAGAGGACCATTTGAAGATAAGATCAACTAAAGCTTTTACTCCACCGGCCTCCGCAATGGCACCCTAACCAGAAAATTAAATTTATTACAAGGAAAATTTTGGGGTATATGTATGTGAGAAAACAATAGATTGTAGACTATCAAACCTTGTGCTCTTCTCCAACAGAAAGATTCCAGAGTCCTCCAGCAGCCTCTTCTGCAACCAGCCTGTTCATAGACCTTGCCAAACCCGCGAGAATATTGATTCCTCCTTCCTCAGCAACAGCTTTTGCAACATTGGCATTAACAGACAAGTTTGCTATAGCCTATTCAAATAACAAATAGGAAAAGGAAAGTCAGCCTAATTCCACATCTACATCACCTAATAACCAGTTCCTATACTGACCAAATAAAACAAGTATTAGTTGAAAAGAGGAGTATTCATAATTACATGAAGAAAAAAAAAAAATAACCTTAGCAGCCTCTGACTGGAGCCCTTCCCTCCAAGATTTTGCTAGGTTTAGGAGAAGGCATATGCCACCATCCTGCATAACCGCTTCAGCCCTCCCGCAATCTATGCTAGCATTTTCATCATCAATAACAACAAAAGTTGCAAGTCCTGTAGCTGCCCTTTCTTGAACATCCTCTTGTGAGCTTTGCATTAAATTGAGCAACAATGATGCGCCTTGCTTGAGCCAAAAAACATCTAAACCCTGTTGATTGCTCTCAGCAATGCGCAAAAGAGTATGAGAGAGAATCCACTCAATCCAAGTCATTATGTCATCCAAGTTCTTATCCTTGTTCTTTGAATTCCTCCAATCCAAAAACACATTCTTCCCTTTCTTTGTAATGTCGACTAATAAAAAAGCTATTTCTTTCATAATTTCTGTAAAACGGGCAAGTAACAATTTATTTTTATATTTACGAGGAGCAAAGTTGGTGTCTTCTTCAAGCACAGGACAATTCAAGGCACATAAAACCTTCAAACTCTGTGATGATGATAATAACCGTGAAACAGCAGCTGAACCAATATCAGTTCTTGAAACATCTAGCCCAGTCAAGTTAGGCAACTTATGCCAAAGATGTGAAACCACACCCCATTTCATATTTGACGTCCCTGCGACAGAGAGAAAACGAACTGATAAAACATTTCCCAATGCCATCTCGTCAATGTTCAGACAGTCTATGAACCCAATATCAGTCAAATTTTGACAATGCTTAGTTAAAGCAATAATAGCATCAGCATGAACATCCCTAATTCCCGAAAGTCGAAGCTTTTTCAATTTAGGACAGCAAATAGCTATTGCTTTTATAGCATCACTGCTGATCCTTTCACAGAAATCTGGCCCAAGCTGGAGGCTTTCAAGTGCCTCGTGCCGAGCCACAATCACAGAAAGTGTAGCATCAGTTATTTTTCTGCAGTAATCACCACTTATTTCACGTAAATTCCTGGCCTGAAGATGCAATATTGCATCAGCAGATTCTGCTCCCCGAAACCTAAGCTTCTGAAGATTCACACATCTTGCAGCAAGTGAAGCTGCCATGGCATCATTGCATTTGTGTGCCCTAAGATCCAAAGAGGTCCACAAACATGGAGAAATTCCAAGAACTCTCCATGTTTTGCAAGTTGATGATAAGCTTGCCCGATCACGATAGTTCAGACACGAAAACAACTGGATTACTGTATCATCTGGCAAACTAGTCCAATCAACAATCCAATTTTGCACTGAACCTGAAACTTCTTCCTCAATTTCTGGATAACAAGGCAAAACCACCTTCTCCTTCCCCTTCCTAGCCACCTTCCGCCGCACCCTACGACTCATATCTCAATCAATATACACAGACACCAATAGTCCAAAACCATTCAACTTGACAATACCCAAATCTTATGACCAGTGAAGAAAAACGCAGAGACCCAGAGACATGTAACCTTTAAACTCAAATCCCAAGTTCTAAAACCAGTAGGGAGAACACGACAAGCCCAGAAACCAATACTGTTCGCCCCAAAAACCCTAATGCTCAGACAAGAAAGTAATTGTATATGTAGTAAACAGAATTAAAAGGTTCACAACATACAACAATCCAAGTCTACCGATTTCAAACACCCAACGAAATCTGGTATCCTAAATGCATTACACAGAAGGAATTATATGGTTTCTGTCAAACCTGCGAGCTGAGGCTATGTGGATACCCTTAAATCTTCAAGCTTTCCAACAAAATCATATGCCTTTTATAGAATTGCTTTCTAGAAGCTGCAAATAGAGCTTTTGATTGATGAGAGAGTGAGCGAGGGAGAGAGGAGACAGAGCTGAACAAGGGTCGGAGAAAATTCAGGTGTGTTTTTTACAGAGAGAAAGAGGAGAGCAAAGCCAAACCCTCAAAGCATGTATCTACCCCTCTCCCCAATAGCCTTCGCTTCTTGTTTTAGTGCACCAAATGAGAGAGAAAGAGGGAGGAGGGTATGTCTGTGGAGATATTGGGATAAAAGGAGAGAAGAATTACAGCATTGAGGTGTGAGGAGCCAGAGAAGAATGGTGTGAAAAACCATATAGCTCATCAAGGAGCATCAAAAATCAATAACCTCCATTATATAGTTTGCAATATTTGGTGTTTCGGCAAACAACAATTTTTGGGTTATGTAATTGTTGGACCAAAAAAAATTGTATACAATCCTTATTCTTTATATATTTTTATTGTTTTACCAAGGAAATCAAATAGATATAAAATCTCATGAAAACAAATGCATTGGGAAATCCCTCTTCTTTTTACCCCAAATTTTCTTCCCTCTCTGTTTCCTTATTGTTTCTAATTGTGGATTTCAATATACTTCTAATGTATCCGCTAAGACAAAAATAAAGATTGGGTCGAACTCTTAGTTTGTGTCAAGGTAATAATTGTGAATGGTCATTGACTCCTAGGGAAAAGGTGGAAGAGTGAGCCCCATTATGTGACATACAGTTGCATCATCTTTTCATATGTAATGTGAAAACTCATACATCTTCTAAGTCCCATATTTTTAATGTTGGCATTGTTTTGCTTACATAAACAAGCATGTGTACTGCTAGGGGTTTGTTGGTCAAATGAGTAAGAGCGTTTACTCTTACATTCGAAGTCTTAGGTTTAATTTTCTCCTCCTTTCAATATCGCTTGTTAAAAACAAGCATATGTATGCATTTAGGCTCACAAGGAACACAACATTCCTCCATCATGTTGATTCTCAAGTTGAGAACTAAGAGCATCTACAATTCTATTGATTCCTTCTTGTCATTCCAATTTTTTTTTCCTAATTAATACAAAGGGAACTCTTTTCATGAGCTAACAACCAATGGATATTAAACAGACGGGGAGACTTTGGAAAAACACAAAGGAGAGAGAAATTTTGTAAAAGAAGCCAAAATGGACAAAATTGCCCTTATTTATTTTGGATTTCTTAAGGAATCATTTATATTTGCATGTCTTTGATTTGAAAGTTGAGATGTTTTTCTGTCTTTTTTGAAAAAAATTTGGCTTTTTCCAAAAGTGAAAATTTTGTTTTGGCTAAAACATAAATTTACTTTGAAGGTTTTTGCTGAAAGAAGAATAGGAACCTCAAATACACTATTTCTTACTTGACATTGTCCATGCGGATCCCAAAAGGATAGGAACTTTCGAGAACACTCTCAACTTTATCATCAACCCCTTATTATAGAGCAATGAAACCCTAAAAGACTAGGAAAATCAAATTATCAACCGAGAGAAATTGGAAGAAAGAAAAAAAAATATAAAAAAAAGGGAAGTAAAACATAATATAGAAAAAATCTAAAACTACTTAAAATACATAATTCAACTCAAAAATCCTAAATTCAATGGAAAGAAGAAACTATAAATATAAAATATAAAATTGGAAAGTCTGCATGGCCAGCGATTGTATACGGAAATATTTTTACTCGCTATTTTAACCCAAAGTGTATTCGCACCAGCATTCTCAATACTTGACACACGTGTCCATAGACATAATCATGATTAACTTTTTACTTTGTATTTATGGAATCATGGTTACCAATATGGACATGTGTCAAGTGTTAAGAAGGGTGGTGAAGGTGGTGAAAATACACTTTGGTTAAAGTGGTGAGCAAAAATGCTCTCATTGTATACACGAGGTTGCTTCCTTAATCCATCTTACTCTTTGAATATTCTTTCGTAGGATTCCTATTGCACTTATGGCATATTTACTAATTAGGAATGATAGTGTAAAGAATGGGATCCCCATTCAAGGTCATTCTAGTATTCCCTAACACTTCGAGAATCAAAACAAGAGTGGGACTCGTATAAAATCAACAATCACACCCGTGACATTTAAAGAGTGAGAGTCCATAGTGAACAGGTGGTAATTGATGGTAATCATGGATCATTAGTAATCACTCCAATTTGTACTTACTGTGATTCCAACTTAATAAATATGTCATTAGACTGCATATTATCATACGTGACTTATCGAGTACATTGAGTTGCATGCCAAATTGAATTTATAATTAAACCATAAAGAAATTTTCAGTTTTTTTTTCATCAACTAAGTGTTGAACAGAACGCATTTTAAGCACCCGATCCACGGCCCATGCTTCCAATCGTAAGTCAAGGAACAAAAACCTTTCCACTTTAGTTTTTTGATTTATTTGTCTTCTTCGAGCGTTAAATGTAAAATCTCTCGTTCCCCTCCAAAATTTGTTTTACTAATTCCGTATACTCGCGAGTTGCCAAGATTTTGTGTGTGTGTGCCTAATCTTGTAGAATTTAGGTCATAGTTTGGAGATCAAAGACTCATAAAACCCTTTGAATGTCAAAGTAATCTCTCTTATATATATCCTTCACCTTTCATAGGACAATAATATTGCTTGCCCAAGTATTTTGTTCAACATGTTGACCTAACATCTGTATATGTGCTATAATTTACTAGCGTTAGGAAAAATCCCAAAATTTTCATCAACAAATTATTGAGGTTGTTCAAGCTAAGCTAAGGTAGAGGTGGATGCTTTGGATTGGTGACTGGATCATTTGTAAAATCATTTAAGAATGGGAAAAACAAACGAACTGAAAACCCAAGAAAATAAGCAAGAAGATACAAAACAACGAACTAACGTTGTTCGGCTATGTGTCTACGTCCATGGCCAACAAAATAGAGGTTATCAAACCTCTAGATTCAAAGCTTGATAAACAACTAGAAAGAACAAGGTCAAGAAACAAGGAAATAGCGTTACCTCTCTTTTCTTCTCTCTCACACACACGTTTTGCCCTTCAACATTATTCTCTCACTCAACTCCTTGAGTGGTAGTATTCAATTCTTCTCTCTGGCTTGCTGATCCATGTAAAAACATGTGTTGTTTTATGTGAATGTTAAATTAATTGAAAATGGTGAACAAGTTGTGTATTAATATATGTTTGGTCAACTTTTGCACTACATTACATGAAATTTGATGCATTTATTCATACTTGTTATCTTTCATACCCTTGGGGTTAATTTTTATTCTAATATAGAAGAATGGTAAAATATTGTTTCTTGGCAAGTTTTATATATGCATGTTTACATGATGCATTAACTATTGGAAATATATGTGTGGTTGTTCCCATTTGTTTTATTCACTTACATTAGCTTTTCCCCTAACTCGGATGGCCAATCCTTCATTTTCTGTTTGCAACTCAATTTTTTTTCCTTAAATTTCTTTCAAATAATGCTTTGAATTGGGCTTCCTATTAAAGCATACATGATTATAAACCTTTCTCCTAAAAGCAATATATAGTTTGATATGGTTTCATTAAACCCTACTAGCGTCGTTGTAGCTGGAAGAAACGTTTGTTTCTATAGTTTAGAGGGATCTCGAGCCTCTGCATTTGAAACCGGTGCATTTACCCCCCTTTCGCTAAATTTAGAGTGTTATTATAATCTAACCAAACATAACTGATGTTAACTATTGCTGTTAAGTTGTAGTTTTTTTTGTTTCTTCACGTTCATGTCTCCTCAGTTTACAACAAGTTTCTTTTTCTTTTTTGCGTTTTGGTAATCTTCTTCTTTCTCCCTGCTTGACTAATGCCCTTTTGGGATTCAATGGAAAACTGTTCATGGTTGTATTAATCTTCAAACCCAACCAAGTTAAAATAGTTTTTTGCTTTTCTTCAGTATTTCATGCATTTTCTGGCTTCACAAGAGGGCTTTTTTGTCATCATCTCCTTCCATTCATAATCTTTTTTCTTTTGATCGAGAAAGTAATTTTCCTTCCCTTCATAATCAGATTGCAATGGATCTGTCTTAATTACCTATTCAAGAATTTTGGAGTTTTTCCATTTCATTTGGATTTGAATATTCGTTAAACCGTGGGCAATTTTTCATTGAACCCTAGAGAAAAGAAGATTATATGGAAGAAAAAAAAAACACACTCTAAACTTAACGTTTGTTTAGAGAAGAAGAAAAAAAACTTGATGATGTGTCATGTTCTAGGGGGTTAGATTATTAGAATGCTCTGGATTTAGCGAAATGCAGGTAAATGCATTAGCTCTAAATGCAAAGGCTTTAGATCCAGTTTAGAGAGCCTACTTGGTTGTATGCTCCATTTTATTATTATACCAATGTTTCAATCATCTTGGAATTGCATGTGTCACATCAAAAATGTGGGCCCTACGAGCCCAGTTGACTTAGAAAGTGGGGTATGTCGGCTCGGTTGAGGCCATTTAATAGTTGTAATTGTAATTGGAGGTTTGTTTTAAAATGGTATTATGCTATGAGAGTTTTATTAAATGTTTATGAATTATTATGCAATCGCTTTTACTTTCCAAGCATGTTATATTATGTTTAATTGTGCGGAGTTGGGAATGACTTAGATAACCGGGTTTTGGCATGACTAAGGAATTAATTAAACGCCTGATTATATGTCTATATTTAAATATATGATCAGTGACTTGAAATCAATGAATTATGAATACTAGTTTTTTGAATAGTATGTTGTACATATTTGAATGTGGTTTGAGAACAGTTTTGAAAGATTATGCATGGTCAAATTCAAGTTAAGGAATGTTGGGATTGATCTTGTTTTAAAAAGGGATTTTTGGTTATCTATTTAAGAACTGATTTTTGGAAAGTTGAGAAAGGATTTGAAAAATGGATTTGTGAAAGTGGATTTGTGGGAAAAGAGGAATTTTATGATAAGTTTAGGAAAATGGTTTTCAAACCCACCACAGGAGTAACCCCCCCTTCCCCAGTTGCCTTCGTAATAGTCTAGTCATTTATGATAATGCCCCACGAGTCTTGAGGACACCTAAATCGTGTGGTGCGAGGATTTGTGTTCTCAAGCTGATTATATCTTCCTGAGTCTTGCAAGATGAATTGATGGATATGCGTTTCGGGCTAATCACCCGATTCTACAAGGATATGCATTCTCGGGTTGACTTCGTGTCCCTCGAGTTCTGCGATGATATGCTTTCTCAGGCTGAGTACATGTCCCCCAAGTTCTACGAGGATATGTGTTCTTGGGCTGACCATGTATCCCCCGAGTTCTACAAGAATGTAACATATATGGTACTTGAAATTGATGGTCAGCCCGTATATCTTCTTGAGTCTTGTAGGATGAATTGATGGATATGCGTTTCGGGCTAATCACCCGATTCTACAAGGATATGCATTCTCGGGTTGACTACGTGTCCCTCGAGTTCTGCGATGATATGCTTTCTCAGGCTGACTACATGTCCCCCAAGTTCTACGAGGATATGTGTTCTCGGGCTGACCATGTATCCCCCGAGTTCTGCAAGGATGTAACATATATGGTACTTGAAATTGACGGATTATGATTTGGGGTACACCTAGGTGGAGAGTATTTGAGTTTTGAGATATTTTAAACTAAAATTGATGATTTAATCTTGGTACTTATTGGTGAAAGTTTTAATACATGTTTTCATATTTATGAGACAATGATTGAGAGTTTTCTAAGTTTTAAGGATTTTATACAATTCACAACTATTCTCTTAAGTGATGAGTTTATTTTTACATGTGAAAGATTGAAGCATGTTGTATTCAAACTGTTGATATTTATATTAAGGTTTCATGTGACCAATGTTATTTTAATAATTTTCTCGTTTTCCTACTTATCTGTAATGAGCTATTATATATACGTATTTGTATATGCATACATAGGCAGACCTACAGAGGCGCAAGGAGGTGCAGATGCACCTCCCGTTGCCAAACCAAAAAAACTATTGAGGTACTGGATTTGCCCCTTTGCTCTTTGGCGTTTTAACAGGTGTTACCAAGGCGCACCTCATGGAGTGCGTCGATCTGAGGCCTCTTGAAATCGCATCAAGGCTCCATTAGTTTGGCAAGTAACACGATTGAGGCACGCGCAGTGATGCAGAAGGAGTTGCAGAGGCGTGTTGCTTAGGGAGGCTCTGGTTCACGATTGAAGAAGACAACCCTTTATTCAAGTTTCACAAACGACGTCGTACTTAGGATTTAGGTTCAATGAAACGCGTGTTTCAATGAAGTTGTTTGAAAATCAAACTCTTCGATTTTGGTGCAACCTAGATAACAGCTGTTTCAAAATTCATTATTTTGCTTCAATTACTTGGTTATTATAATAAATATTTTATTATAATCTCACGCTTCCAATTTGAAAAATCTCATCTGTCCAAAAGAATAAAACAAAGAAGAATCCTTGGACGATGCTCTCACATCTGTCACATCCCAGGATCGGCTCCACCGTAGCACGATATTGTCCGCTTTGGGCCCCCCTCTCTGCCCTCACGGTTTTGTTTCTAGGAGCTCACGAGCAACTTCCCAGTGGGTTACCCATCCTGGGATTGCTCTAGCTCCCAACTCGCTTAACTTCGGAGTTCCCATGACTCTGAAGCTAGTGAGCTCCCAAAAGGCCTCGTGCTAGATGGAGGCGGGCATGTACATATAAGGCACATCACCCCATCTCTGTTAGTCGATGTGGGATGTTACAATCCTCTCCTCTTAAGGGCCCGACGTCCTCGTCGGCACACTTGCACCATACGGCAGAGTGGCTCTGATACCAAATTGTCACATCCCGAGATCGGCTCTGCCGTAGCACGATATTGTCTGCTTTGGGCCCCCCTCTTTGCCCTCACGGTTTTGTTTCTGGGAGCTCACGAGCAACTTCCCAGTGGGTTATCCATCACGGGATTGCTCTAGCCCCCAACTCGCTTAACTTCGGAGTTCCCATGATTCCGATGCTAGTGAGCTCTCAAAAGGCCTCGTGCTAGATAGAGGCGGGCATGTACATATAAGGCACATCACCCCCTCTCTGTTGGTCGATGTGGGATGTTACACATCACAATTTGAATATTAGGGTTTTTGTTTAATTAGGACTTGATTGACACAACTTGTTTGTTGATCTAATCTTTTTACTGTGGTAATATATTTTTATTATTATTTCTATATTACCGTGCTAATTAACTCTAAAATTATTTGAGGGTCTAGTTCATTTTAAAATATATTTTTTATTCAGTCCTTGGGCAGTACCAAAATCATTATTGACCCTCTCTTGAAAAATTCCTTTATCCGCCACTGCACATATGTGATGGGTGGAAGATTGTTTTGAAATCAATATCTTTTGTTTAAGTTTCAGCGGATTGATTAAAGTTTGAAACTTTTGGTTTTAGGAAAGTGTGAAGGAATATTTAATTCATGTGCGTAATGGGTTGAACTTTGTTTTCTTGTAGAAAGAATTATGTGTGGCTTGATCCCTCAATAAGGGTATATAGGCAACCTAGGTTAACCTAGGTGCAGCCGCAAGTTTATGACTTATTTTTTATTATCAGTTTTGTAAAGTTGAATTTGCTAAACGCTTGGGAAATTATTTGAGTTTGTTGTGCAAGTAAATTTCTGGGTTTTGAGCCTTCTCCATGGGAAACTCTGTCAGTTTTCTGTTAGAAGTCAAACCCTAAAGCAGTTTTTGGATGGCAAGAAGGGTATTTTGGTCATTCGTGCCCAACACCTGCCAAGCGTCGGACACGCATGGGGTTTGACCCTGATTCCACAAAAAATCATGTGCTCAACTTACCACAAGAATTGTAGGTTTTTTTTTCCACTTTTGTTATGGACTTAAATTTTTTCACAATTAAAACAATTATTTAAAACCTTTTTACAATATCTGTTTTTTAATGATTGTTCAACTTGTAAACAATTTTTAAACATTAAACCTTTTTAAAAAATTATATATTTTTTATTAAATCTACATGGCAATGTTTTATTGGATAATGCTCTACGGTAGCAAATTAACGGAAATCTTAACGAAACTTCACGATATGAACTACTTGTGAGCACAAGTGTTAATCTTAAGAACCATTAGTTGACTTAGTGCATTTTATTATTATTATTATTAGGAGTAAATTGGCTTTTGTTTTAAGGATGATGTGTTAATTTTGAATTCCTAAAATAAATTTTAATGTGGTGACGTGTGAAGGGCAAAAGTCAAGCATATCCAAAACCTGATAACTTCATGAACCTTATGACATTTTGTAATAATAATCCTTTTAAAAATGTAAATAATTTTGCACACCACTTTAACCTAAGGTGTATCATCACCACCATTCTCAATGTTTGACACGAGTCCATTGGCATAAGGGAGCTTTAGTTTTAAAACACAATATAGTTTACTAATTTGGAAGATAGGAATACAGTTTCATCTAATTAGCATTAGGCCAAAGACCAAAATGTAATACCTAATTTTACAAAAATATCAAAATTACACACAATGTCACTCCTTCTAAGGCAAGCATACTATGCCACATGTCCATATCCAGTCACCCACCACCGGCCACCATCTGGCCAGCCAGCCGCCGTCGTCTACAGGGGACCAACTTCGTTGCCATTTATTCATATTTAAAAAAAAAGAAAAAAAAAGATTTTTTGTTATTGAAGGGACTCGAACCTTGACCCTCAAAGGAGAAAGGCTCACTCACAAACCACTACACCAATCTTGATTTTTTAATATTTATTTGGTTATACAATATTTATATAAACAATCAACGGTTTTTTAAAAATAAAAAAATCATTTCAACACATATTCACACAAGAACTGCAAATAAAAACAGAAACTGCAACAAAAATACAATGTAGATATCAAATATGTTATAAAAAAAACAAAAACAGCTACAAAAACAAAAATTAATTTTATAGAAGCAAAATGGAGGAACCAAGATAAAAGTACTAAAATTGAAACTGCGATGCAAAAACGAAAATTGCAATGTAGAAGCGGAAACTGCAATGCATAAACAGAAACTGCAATACAAAAATGGAACTTGCAATGATGAGTTTGGGCAAAATTGCTCAACTCTAGAGTTAAACAGAACAAAACTATATTTTTTTTTATTCAAGACATGTTGGTAAAATACTCTGTTTCTGGCAAAGTAATTTCCAAAAGTCCAATTTTGAGTTCCTTTGCTCTTGGGTAGTTCTACTTTTCTCTTGCCCACCCAATTCCTTATATGGGTAACCTCTACTCTTGAAATTAGTGAGAGTGAAGGCCAAGGAAAGAAAAAAAATCCAATTGTAATTAAATGAAAACTGCAATGCAGTTTCCGAAAGTCTAATTTTGAGTTCCCTTGGTCTTGGGTAGTTCTACTCTTCTCTTGCCCACCCAATTCCTCAGCTGGGTAGCCTTTACTCTTTAGATTGGTGAGGTTGAAGGCCAAGGAAAGAGCAAAAATCCAATTGTAATTAAATGAAAACTGCAATGCAGTTTCCAAAACTACAATGCAGTCTGTACAATGTAGTTTTGCAATGTCATTTCCAAATCAAGACAAATGCATAGTAAGTGAGCTTTATTTATAATAAGAAGTTGCAGCTAAATTAGATCACTGCCTGACATAAGATAATTGTAGGTCATGATAAGGAATAGGACATGATTGCAAAAAGTATATTAATGTGACTAAACTTACACCTAGAATCAGATAATTGTAGGTCATGATAAGAACCTCATTTTTTTTTCACCATAAAAACGCATGGGAGAAGTACTACTTGACAGTGTGACAAAATATATTGCAATTCGATATAAGTAAGGATCCAAGCTTAACAATAAAAATTGTAAAATAGCCTGATTACTCACTATTGATATTCTGTAGTGTTGTCTAGCAATTAGTTTTATTACAAGTCAATATCAATTAAAACTAGGGATGGAAAAATTGAACACAAGAGGTAAAACTATAGACTTCCTGGTATGAGCAAAGTTGTCTGTGTTACCAGCCTATAGCAATTTCAAAGTTTTAAAAATAAAAAAAAACTTTCAATAAGAACTTGAAAGTAATATTCAGAGGTATTTATAGACGTGAAGGAGGGCAGTACATGTGTGGTAAGTGATAATGCCACCAGGTTTTCAGATGAAGCGAAGCTACCACTCAAATACATTCATAAACGAACTCAAAACACAACAAAGTAGCTACAGTTCAAATCTCAAAACAACACCACCGAAATTAAACAAAAAAAATATGTAGAAATGCCCATTTCCAAGTAATTCAATCACATAACATAAAAACCAGACCATATCACTTGGCTCCCTGCATTGCACGACCAGAATGCATGAATTCGTTAGTTATCCACAACCGAATCCCGGCTATCTAAGATGTTGTTCATGACCAGCTTGAAGTTTACAAACATGTCTTCATAGTAAACAGCAGCTGCAACAGGTACCTGCCAATGTTGACAGAAGCAAATTCATACATTAACAGACGAAACTGCTAATAATTCACATTATGTGTACGGTCAAAATGGAAAACATCATAGGCTGCTACAAGGTTTAGATCTCCTTGTGCAAATCTTATGGCCAGTTGATATTCAAGACGATTAACTTCATATAAAGGCAGCACACCTTGTTATTATTTAGTGCAGTGATGTCATATAGTGGAGGCCAATCCTTTTTCTCAACCAATATATGAGCAGCACCTTTGAATTTCCTTAAGGCATGAATCTCATCAAACATCCATGGAAAGATCATCTGCAGCAGCAAAAAACCCAGTTTGTGTTTGTGAGGTAGTAGTCAAAGTTGCAAGCAACAACATACTAGAGTTCAACTTCAATTTCGCTGTGTAAGACCAAGAATCTGTGAGAATGTGAAGGTAAAAAGTCCCACGTTGGAAAGTTGAGAAACATAGCAAGGGCTTATAAGGAGTTGAGCTACTCCTCCCATTGCCAATTGGTTTTCAGGTGGAACCTCAACTTCCTTCATGGTATCAGAGCATGGTTAGCCCACGTGTGAAAGCCCAACGGCCAAACGTGCTCCACGTCACCCAATATGTGTTGTTTATGTGTTAGGCTTGAAAATTTACCACACGTGCGGGGGCGTGTGAGAATGTGAAGATAAAAAGTCTCACGTTGGAAAGTTGAAAAACCTAGCAAGGGCTTATAAGGAATTGAGCTACTCCCCCCATTGCCAATTGGTTTTGGGGTGGAACCTCAACTTCCTTCATGTGGTATCAGAGCCAGTCATTCAAACCCAACACGTGAGCACCACATATTGGGTAAAGGGTAGGGATAAACATTCAAGCCCAACATGTAAACATCACATATTGGGTAAGGGTAGAGGCCCAATTCAGGCCCAGTCAATCAACCCACTCTGATACCATTTTAGGATTTCAGAGGGACAGGCCCTTAGCCCACCACTAGCAACATTGATATTGTCCTTAACTTAACCACATGTTTAGTAGGTGTGGGGTTTTATACAAAAGGCCTCGATATTATTAGGTGTGGAACCATTTATTATATGGGACTTTCTATTTTGTTAAGCTTTCGATGTGGGACTCGTGTATTCTTCAACACTCCTCCTCACGTGGGACCACTTTTTAGTGGGCCACACATGCAATCAATTCCACATTAGTCACTGTTTTTCTTTTTTCTTTTTCTTTAAAAAAAAAATTTAATTTGGGGTTTGTTTAATTTTGATTCAATTTGTGGTTTTTTTTTGTTTGAGTTGAGTTTGTTTGATTTGGGTTTAATCGGGGCCAGTCAACCAACTAGGCTCTGATACCATGTTAAATTCAGAGAGACGGGCCAACGACCCACTACTAACAACACCGATGTTGTCTCTAACTTAACCACCTACAAAGTCCAGTAGCTGTGGGGTTTTATCATAAAAGGTTTCAGTATTATTATTAGTAGAACCATTCATTATATTTTGCATTTTATTTAGTCAAATTTCCAATGTGGGAATCATATTCTTCAACAGAATTTGCAATCCTTTAGGTTAGGAAGCACATCAAATTCCTATCAACCAATATCAAATTAAAATGTTGAAGAAACACACAGGTCACCAATTCAAGGACAAAGTAAATCAATTAACACATAATAGCAACACAGGGGAGCTAAGCAATCATACTAGTACAAACTGTTCGACCTGATCTTTATGCTGATTATGGTGAACAACTAACAAAACCAGGATTGCAATCGAGAAGAGTCCAAAAGGAGCCCAAATTTAATACGAAAACCTCCTTTGAACCAAGCACCGATACTCGGCTCGTGACGATGACGATCTCCTATACGTGTCTCGCTCGCTGTGCGATGTCGCTTTGAAGATCGCCACCTGAAGGTCCAACGCTAGGTTGATCGCTATGGTCGTGATGCCGATGCTCATCTAGTCCTTGTCGATCGCTAACTTTAATGTCACGATGGAAACAAAATATCAGAAAATGGCGAAAATGTAAATGTAACTCTTATATTAATCATGCTTTTAGCACATGGGCTTACTAATTGGTCTTTAACAAAATAAAATTTAAAACTCATCCACCTTATCCAAAACAAAAATAAGTAATGTATCAAATGCTAATTACTAAAGTTTTTTGTGGGTAAACACTAGTTTTTCTTTGGCATAATCATAGTTAACTATTTACTTTGTATTTATGTAACTATGGTTATGCCCATGAACACGTGTCAAGTATTAAAGCGGTGGTAAGCGTACACCTTAAGTTAAAGTGATGAGCAAAAAATACTCATTTTAAAACTAGAGAGCATGATTGGTGATGTTTTAAGAAAATTCTCGTCTTTTTAAACATCCCACGATTTGTAGTGTCATCACTTTATCTTTTCTTTTTTGATAAGCAATAAATAGACAAATTCAAGTAAAAAAGAGACATATTCTCCTAGTACGAGTCCTTTCACATTACCTAAGCAATTGACAGTCGTTAATTAATGTAAAACCTATTCCACACATGTCAATAGACTGAAGCTAGAACAATACCAGAAGAGCCACTATCCCAACTTGATCCACTCGAACCTATTAGGTGTGCCTATAAAGGGAGGTTAGTAGACATTCCAAGGGGCTATTGATCTTGGTATGTCAAGTCTATGTGCTGTATAAATTTACATCAATTGCTACACAATCCCAAAAAAAGATTAAATGTACATATCTTGATATAGGGGTTTCTTTCTGGTTATAAATTGTTGGTCAAAAGATAGGGTAGGTATTAATACCATGCAAATTTTTCTGCAAAAAAGCATGTGCTCAATTTACCACAAGAAATTTTTTAGAATAAATAAATAAATTAGAGAAAAAAGAAAAAGAAACGTGTGTGAATATGAATGGGTGTACAGTTACAGTCCACATTCAATCACTGGTTTTCAGTATCTAAAAGATCCGTACATTTACTCACTTTATTACACATTTCACTGCGTGGGCCCACACTTCTTAACATAAAAATACCAGACAGACATCTTCGTCCACAGCTCGCAAACAAAATTAGAAACCCAGAAAGAAACGATGGGAGGTGGTCAGAGGCGGACGACCCAGAATCAAACGACGTCGTCGGCATCGTCGTCATGCTGGTCGCATTTCTGGTCGTCGGCTTTAAGGACCAAACCCTTGGGCTCTCCATTGGAAGTTGCCGTCCGCACGAACTCCGGCGACGGCCTCGTCCGTCGCCTCGGCATGTTTGACCTCATACTCCTCGGCGTCGGCGCTTCTATAGGCGCCGGCATATTCGTCGTCACCGGCACCGTCGCCCACGACGCTGGCCCTGGTAATAATGATCTGAAGTCTGAACTCTTCAATTTTAATCTGTATGCTTAATATTTTATTGACTATAGTTCAGCTGAAGAAAAGCTGGAGTATTTGTTAATTGCAGTATGAAATGGATTAATGGGCAGTTTTTCCAATCCCAATTTATCATCTTTACTAGATAAACCATAATCCATGATAATCTGCAAATGAATTGTCATTTCTTGAAGCATACCTAAGTACATATTTCAAATTGAGTTTTTAGTAATTTTTTTTTTCCATCTTAGAGATTGTGTTGGAATTTATAATTTTATAATTTTTTTTTGGTGCCATCTGCTGTTAGCTTCAGCTTTTTGGAGATTTGGAAATTTATAATTAGTGTTTTTTTAAATTAGTAATGCATAAGGATCTTAGCAGAGCCAATTTTGTTTATGTTGGGTTCTCTTTGAGTGGATTAATATGAAGTTTGTTATAATGATGCAGGAGTGACTATTAGTTTCATTCTTGCTGGAGTTTCTTGTGTGTTCAATGCACTCTGTTACGCTGAGCTAGCTTCTCGCTTTCCTGCCGTTGTTGGTGGAGCATACCTTTACACATACACAGCTTTCAATGAGCTCACTGCTTTTCTTGTTTTTGCACAACTTATGCTCGACTATCATATTGGAGCCGCAAGCATAGCCCGGAGCTTAGCAAGCTATGTAGTTACAATTCTAGAACTATTCCCAATTTTTAAGGAAAACATTCCAGACTGGATTGGACACGGTGGCCAAGAGTTCCTCGGAGGAGCTATATCGATCAATGTATTAGCTCCTGTTCTCCTTGTGCTTCTTACTGTAATCCTTTGTCGGGGTGTAGGAGAATCCGCTGCCGTAAACTCATTTATGACTGCAACAAAGGTGCTCTTTCCATGTATTTTCTTTAAGTGAAGCATTGCACTAAAAGTGTTTGCGATTCAAGCAGTTGTATTTATATTATGCCAATTTTCCTGCAGGTTATCATTGTTATTATTGTCATCTTCGCTGGTGCTTTTGAGGTTGATACTTCAAATTGGACCCCTTTTGCCCCAGATGGTTTCAAACCAATATTGACTGGAGCAACAGTTGTATTTTTTGCATATGTTGGATTTGATGCAGTTGCTAATTCAGCTGAAGAATCAAAGAGACCACAGGTATGCCACGTTTGGAGTGATTAAACTTCTTTTGTAGCCAACTACTTTAGTTAATCTGATGAGTATTCTGTTTATATGTGTAGAAAAGATCTTCCACGCCATCTTATTCTATAAGAATTTCTCATCATTTTTTTTTCAACGTTTATATTTCAGCGGGACTTGCCAATAGGAATCATCGGCAGCCTTCTAATATGTATTGCATTGTATATTGGTGTCTGTTTGGTGATCACTGGAATGCTACCTTACTATTTACTTGGGGAAGATGCTCCATTGGCTAATGCTTTTACATCCAAGGGATTGAAATTTGTTTCAATCTTAATCAGTGTTGGTGCTGTTGCTGGACTTACGACTACCCTTCTAGTTGGTCTGTATGTTCAGGTGAGCCATTTTATCCCTGACTTAGTTGAAGTGACCTCTCATCATGTAGCATGTGCCAATTTAAATGATGGATTGTTTCTCATGAACAGTCTCGATTATATCTTGGGCTTGGAAGAGATGGTTTACTACCTTCAGTGTTTGCTAGAGTACACCCAAGATGCCACACTCCCATTCATTCTCAGGTCTGGGTTGGTATTGTTGCTGCCGCCTTGGCAGGCTTGTTCAATGTGCATATTCTCTCGCACATTCTTTCAGTTGGGTCATTGGTAAGTCACTGTCCAAATTTGTTTGTAGCATACAGAGGATGTTAAATGAATGTGCTTTAAAATATGGGTTGAGGCTGTTTCATATATTTTGAAACTACTATAAAATATATTATTTGCCAATGACATCATTATCTAGCTTAAGTTCTATCGAAGATGGCAGTGGCACAGTGCACGGCATGATGTGATGGATAGCTGTAGAACTGTAGGAAATAGTTGCATGGCTTTTGGGGTTTGTACTAAGATTGGTATTATCAGGCATTTCTTTGTTGCTAATACTTTTGGGTGTATACACCTCACCTTGTATTTTGGCTTGTTTCAGACAGGCTACTCTGTCGTTGCTGCATGTGTTGTTGCTCTTCGTTTGAAAGATAAGGCATCAAGTCAAGTGTCTTCTTCTACCTGGCGGGAAGGTGTCATCTGCCTCTTAATAGTTGCATGTGGTGGTTTTAGTGCTGGACTCTGCTACAGATTCAGTGTTTCAATTGTTTTTCTGGTGGTAGCTGTAGTTGTGGCAATACTGGCTATGGGTGCTCTTTGTTTCCGCCAAGTAAGTGACCATTATGTGCTGTTATTTAATTGGTTGCAGGATTCATAATACTTGTTGGTAAATCAGAATCTGAAATTTTTAGTGACTACCTAGTCTTCAAGAGTTAAAAGTGTGTGTCCAACCTTATGCAATATGGTTTTAAATTGAGTCACGGATGGGCTGCATGACCATATCTCTTTGTATCCCCTTTTTCATCTTTATTTTTTTCTCAGGTTTATGCCGATCTGCCAGGGTTTTCTTGTCCTGGTGTTCCTATTGTCCCAGCCGCATGCATCTTCTTCAACATGTTTCTATTCGCCCAGGTACTCTTTTAGTTCACCAGAAAAGTGGTAATGAAAGGAACTAAATCAAAGAGTTCAAATAACAAAGAGGATGAGTGATAAGTAATTTATTCTTTTGCAGATACACCATGAAGCATGGGTGAGATTTGTCATCCTTAGCATTATTACAGTTGGTATTTATGCATTTTATGGGCAATATCACGTGGATCCGAGTTCAGAGGAGACTATTATTTATCACCGAGCGTTAGGAGAAGAACGGTAAATAATTTCTTTAGTAAATGGGCCGTGCATTTTGGTTTGGCACCTGTTACAGTGTTAGTTGTATGTACTTGTTCCATGGTAGGTTGTAGTAAGATGTATCATTAATTCATAGTCCATTAATTTTTCCAAATAACTTTGTTGGAAATAATAACACTCATTATATTCATTGAGAGATGTATATAAATAAATACACATTATAGATTGTTAATACTCATTATAATTATCTGCTTGAGTCTGGTGTTGAAGGTACTTCTGTATTTATGAGTTATGTGAAACAAATATTTGGTCAATGATATTTAGTACTCTGGATGGATTTGAATCTACATTTTTGATAGACTAATCGTGAAGCTTCATCACTAATGCCGCAAGCCATCACTAATGCTGCAACTGCAAGGTATTTGGTGTGCAAATCCTGCTTTCAAAAGCAATTGGAAGTCCTTTTGAAATGCTATCTGGAACATCTGAGTTCTAAACATTGTATTTGTGGTCCATATTGAATAAAATTCTCAATCTTGACCCTCTCCTCTAGAGCCAATTTTCATTCCACTTTTCTATGTTGTGTTGGCTTGTGGTAATCATCCTTGATCTTCCAGGTCTAAAGCTACTGCAGCATCAACGGAAGGGACCTCAACTGAAAATCTAAAGCCTACTCAAGCTTAGTGTGATCCTAGCCTTAGAAGTTTGAAGTATCCTGCGACTTCTGTATAGCCTTAGGGAAATATTTTAGCACACCAGAGTCCACCATGTTAACCTCGGAATCTAAGACCACAATGAAATTATTAGTTTCTATAAAAAGGGTTTTATAGGGTACCGCCATGTTCGACAATTTACTTGCATAGAAGTCTTAATATTGTAGGGGACCTTTTCTTCCTGCAGCTAACGGGCTGGGCTGCTGCAAAAGGCGGACTGAGGAGATTGCCCCCTTTCGTTTAGGTTCGAAAATTAAGCCCCAAAATACCTCGAAAGGGCAGCGAAACCTTAGGAGATATTTTGGATAATCTTCACCAATGAGAATAATAGAGACTTGCAGGTAATTTTGGCATGCTTACAGATGGTCTTTCAGCTCAGCATGAGTGGCATGAGGCATGGGGAGCAAAACCAACATGGGTTTAGCACTAAGAGAGAAATTAGGCTTGGTTTATGAGGAATGAAAGTGTTTAAGTAAGGGATGAGGCGTTTTGTGGGGAATTTTGACTAGAGAAAGAGAAAAAAAGGCAAGGTTCTTCCGGCAGCTGCCAGAAAAACAAATTGGAGAAGAAGATGAACAGTGCACGAGTCTGAGTTTAAGATAGAGAGAAAAGCTTGCTCTCTGCAGGTTGTGAGTTGAGTTTGTTGGGTAGGGGAAGGCTCAATTTATAGCTGCCGGAAATCACCATTTTTCAAGAAACCCTAATGGCTCCTACTTACTTTGGCTAAGCTTTTCTTCCTTTCTCCTCCCCTTCTCTGACTTCCCTTTCTTGGCAAAGATTGCTTCTGTCTATTTTCATGAATTCAGGGGATTTGGGGGCTCAACATCCTCCTTTCCCGCGGCTGTGCAATGAGAGCTTCCACTCTTGGTTTGCTGTTTTTTCTTCTTTTCTTTCCTCTTCCTTGGCTGAATCTGATGAAGGAAAAGAGGTGCAAATGTATGCTGGTCCAAGGGACGCTTCTGACAGCATGCGGGATGGTATTCATCGATTCTTTGGATGTCTCTGGCTTGGGACTAGTTTCCAGCAGCTTTGCTTAAGGAGCCTGCCATCTACTCCTTCACGTGTTCTCTGTTTTTCAAAAGGGTTGAAGCTCTTGTGGGCTATTTTGGGTTTTTCTAAGGGCCAAGATGGCTTTCTAAGCAAATGGGCTTGTTGGGCTTCTTGATTTGGGCTTATTATTTTTTTGGTTGGGTTACCTCTTGGCTAGGTTATTTTGCTTGGGCTTTTGGGCTATTTTTTCTCTCTCGTGCTTACCCACATGTTTGGGCCTAAGAAATGGGCTTGAGTCTCGAGGCTCCCAAGCAACCCGAGACTTTCCATTTCTTGGTCCATCAATGGGTCTCATGTTGATTTATCACCATCCATGCCACAACCCACTCAAGCAAGCCCCGGGTTTTTTGAGTGGCTTGGGCCCACCTAGGCTTGTAGCGTGGTTGGGTGCGAGATAACGGCATGGCATGTTGCTTGGCATATTTTAATTTATCGCCCTTGGGAAGAATTGTTTTAATCTTAGCATGAGTTAATCATATATATTTTTTTATCGCAAATCATAGCATGATAATTTGTTTATTTAGCACGGCATGTGGATTATAACTTGCATGTGATAGACCCTTTTTCCTTTCTTTTTCCTTATGGAATATTGTATCGGGCTGATAATTGCTTGGGCCCAATCCATGGATTTTTTGGGCCTCAACATTAGCCCCCTTAATTATAAGGGCCATGAACAGGTGCTGGAATGGGCCGAGTAATTAAAATCCAACCCAAAAAATCAGATTTGTATTTGCATAGGACTCTTCTTCTTCCCGCGTGCAAAATGACGGCGTCCCATGATTGGTCCCGGTGGTTATTTGCAGTTTCCAACGCCAACTGCCTTCCTCTCCTTATTTTATTATTTTCCTCCCTTTTCTTTCTCTTTTCTTGCACCAGACATCAATTTCCAAAATCTCCTTCTCTTTTCCACGCTCCAGACCAAAACTTCCCTCTAGCTCTCCTCCCTTCGTTCTTCTTTGCTTCTCCATGAATTCAAATATACTGAAAGAGTGAAGTCAGGCCCAAATTATTTACCTCCAGCCGCTGAGAAGAAGACCCAAGTCGAACCCAACCCCGTCGTTCCATCTTCGTTCCAAAGGAGCCCGTTCGTCACTGCTGGAAAGGTCTTCTTTTGTGCGAATTTTGCCTTCAAATCCCTGATTTTCTCCTCTTTTTGGTGCATTCGACGCCATCCCTTGGAAGATTTAACAAGGTACCCCATTTTCTCCAGTTTTTCCCTTAGATTGATTGGAGAATTTGTTGGGTTTCTCATACCCATGGATGTTCCTTTTTGTTTTGGCAGCCAAATACCAAGACCTCCCTTTTTACCCATCTTGTTTCCGTTGTAACAATAGTGCTCACGGAGTGGGTGCTAGCAAGGAAGGGCCCGCGTCATTGTCTAGGTTTCTTCCTTCGTTGATTTTGCTCGAGCTGCTGGAAAGGTAATATTTTTTTTTCTTGTTGGCTTGGGTTTCTCCCCCTTCTACTCATTTTTATTTTGCACGGGCTTCTTTTTTTGTGTGTAAAAGGCTAATTTGGCATGATGTGCTTTCCCTTTGTTTATTTTTTTGTGCAGGTATACACATCTTGGGCATAGGTGAGGGTAGGTGCTGGAAACCCTTGACGTTTTGCTGCTGGAACCTTCAAACCCTTTAGTCTTCTAACTTAGACTTTGGTAATAACTCTGCCAACTCTGGGTATTTTAGAATAGGTGTAGACTGATGCTTGGCCTAGGCTTTCTTTCCGATCAATTGTCACTTGTGGAGAACAATTTTTCTTGACAGAGTGGATGTTTCGTATTGCCTGGTTGAATATTCACCTTTCGTTTGGAGAAGGGACTTGCTTATCCTGTCACAGAGCAAAAACTCTTGTTTGCCATGAGCTTGCATTTTAAATTGCATGTTTACTTGGACGACCATAAACAGCCGTGCTTGATACATATCTTATGTGTGCTAATTCCATCTTGCTTCTTCTCGCTTTTCTATATGCAGGTACCTATTATGGCATCCGGTAATCCACCATTTATCATAAGGGATCATCTTTATTCCATAGATGACAGGTTGAAGAGAGGGAGACCACCTCCTCTGCTTAAGGGTGCCGACGAGGATATAATTGTTGATGAAGAACCAGCGCCAGAAGCTACTCCAGTGATCGACCCTGCATCTGCATCAAGGTGCTGCATAGAAAGGGGTCTGTTTCCGGCAGTTCCTTTGTTCTTTCAGTATCCCTGCAGCACCAGCAAGGGTTGGTCGGAGTGGGTTGATGATGAACTGAAGAACCCGTCTACCCGTGATATCCTAAGCCGGGCAGGTGTGTTGGAAGCCATCTTTGCTTCTAAGGCTTGCGACATCCATATTGAAGTCAAGACGGTTCGACACTTGGTTAGACGGTGGAGCACCGAGACACACACTTTTATTTGTTCGTGGGGAGAGTTCACTCCCACGCTTGAGGATGTAGCTAATATTTTCCATCTCCCACTTTGCGGCAGCCAAGATCCTTTCCACATTGCATTAACCCCGGAAGATGGGCTAAAGCTTGAGACTTTGCGGAAGGGCGCTCCGACCTCTCCTAGTACCTCTCTAAGATTCAGTAATTGGATTCAGTTTTTTGGGAACAGTGACCGAGATGAGCCGTGTTGCCTTGCTGCGTTCGTGTCCTTGTGGCTCGGGAGGTTCCTCTTTTGTGATTTTTCTCAAGACTGCTTGCATGGGAGAGTGTTTCCGTTGGCTTTGGCAATAGCACGGGGTAGCATGATCCCTTTAGCCCCCATGTTCTTGGGGCACTTATATCGCTTGCTTGACCAGATTCAATTTCTTGAGAAGGGGGCGGCCGGAACCATGGCTGTGGAGACTTTTGTAAACTCCAGTTTTCTGCAGATCTTTTTATGGGAACGCTTTAAAGGGGTAGAGGTATCTCCACTCCCTTATTCAAAGGCTGAGTCACTGGTTGCTTCGGACGAAAATTCCTACATGCCGGGTAGTCTTCCTCTGATCTGTAGATGGTCCCGTCGCATGCAACGGAAGGGCCAAAACTTTTTAGAGCTGCTGGACGATGTTGAGCAATTTATTTTCCGTCCCTATTGTGCCTCATCAGAGGGCTTTAGAAGTATGCCCCTCTACGCTGACTCTATTGCTTTAATGGAGGCCCTGGCCATGCCAACACAAGGTTGTCGGTTACGCAGAGAGGCATTGTTGAGTGCCGCATGCCTCCCTTTGCCCACATTTGGTGATGACCACTTGGAGATTTCTGAGCATTATTCCCCTTACCGGGTTAGACGACAGCTTGGGTTTGACCAAGGTGTGCCCTCTCGTCCCAATCATGGAGGTTCCTTGACCTTGCACAGGGTTTTCTGGACCGATGACAATGTGCCGGGAGACGGCAGACCTCTTGCCCTTGCTCTGGCCAGCCGGCAGCGCGTTGGTAGTCTCTCAAAGGCCTACCAAAATTATTGGAACCGCTGCTTTGCCTCATTCAGCCGATTCCATGCTGCCCATTGTGATAGATTGATTCCCACCATCATTCATCATGCCCGTTTAGTGTCGGAAGAGAAAGCCATTTCCTTGAGCGAGAAGCGAAATCTGCCCTTTATTTCCAAAAGCGGAGAGATTGTTGGTGACTTTTCGAAGCTAAAGCGGAAGTTGGAAAAGTCGGGTTCTCACAGCGCCGGGAAAAGTGCTGTACACGGGAAACGGAAGCGCGAGGAAAGCTGCAGCGCCGAGAAAAGGCAAGCTGTAAAAGGGCCGAAAAGGTTCATCCCCAAGGTAGCAGCAAGTAGTCCTCCTAGCTCAAGAAAAGTTGCTTTGCCGGGGCCTTTACAGCAGCAGCCTGTAGCTTCCGGCAACAGTGAGCGAGCAGCTCCAAAAGCTTCATCTCCTCACAGTAAGTATTGCTATTTGTTTGCTCCCTTTGTTCCCCGCTTTTTGCGTACATATAAGTATCCCTTTTATCTTATTTTGCAGGTACCTCCCAAAGTAAAGGCAAGGGTAAGGGGTTTTCCGTGACCCCGAGACGTCGAAGCATGCGTATTCTTGAAACGCGGTTTGCTAATACCCGAAAGAATAAAGGTGAAGACTCGGGACCCAAAGTAGTGGTGACAGTTGATGATAACAGTGATGACGATAGTGATGACGGTGGCGCTGCGGGAACTGAGGCCAACATTCATGAGCAAGAGAGCGCTCGCGATACGAGTGGCATGGATGAGGACTTTGATGAAGGCCAATACGATAGTCACGACGAAGACACCTATCCGGCCTTTAGCACTAGCTTGGGGGAGCTCGATGACTCAGATACGACTCCTGCTTTGACTAGCGATCATGGACAGCGCGTCGATATTGAACTGATATCAAATATCCCTCTTGCTTGTTTTGCTTGGAATATTGACATTGCATGCTGCCCGTTGTGTCCTCTAGTTCATACTCCGCCTTTCTTCTGCAGGTCGTGCCCATCATTGAAGACACGATAGGTGCTCCATCGGAGGCTGATTTTGTTCTTCCCACTACTGTCGCTAAGGCTGTCCTGAGCCTTCCGGCAGTGCAACCTCCTCCTTCTCCTAACCCATGTACTCCTGACATGGCTGTTGACGCCTCTCCGCCACTTCCAACAGTTCCTCCTCCTATTTCTCCAATTCCGAACGCACCTGACATAGCTTCCGGCACCGCTCCACTTCTTCCAGCAGTACATCCCCTTACTCTTCCGATCTCGAGCACACTTGACATAACTTCCGGCACCGCTCCACTTCTTCCAGCAGCACATCCCTGTGCTGAGATTATTGACAATAGTCACAAGAATGGTGATGCTTTTATCGCAGGTTCCTCAAAAGGGCATTCATTCGAGAAAGGCATATCTTGGCAAGACTGGGAAAACTCCTACACGGCATTCAAAGCCTTCTTTGATGGTGGTGTCACCATTCTTAGATCCATTGATGAACTTCTTCCACTTTGCCACAGATTCGATGGTTATGCGACATTCCAAAGTGCCCTCGTGTATCCAGAGACGGTTGCAGCCTTGAAAAGGTTCATGGACAAATACGGAAGTTTGATGGAAGCTACAGATGTCACCTCTTCTTTCTCAAGGTGTACTGCCCTTCGAGGCCTTGGCTTAGTACTTCACGGAATGGACACCATGCAACTCCTTGATATTACGGATCACAAACTGCTCTGTTGGCGAGATGCAATATGCGAGGCCATGATTCTGGGCTTTCGCGTGGAATTTCTTCTTAAACTTGTGAAGAGCTTAGCACGTGCCGTCTTTGGAGCACGGGCTATTCATAGTATGCAATTATCGCATGATTCTGATGAAGTAAAAGCTGCTGCAGATGCCTTGAATATTAAACAACAGGAGTTGGAGAACCAGCGCCGGGAGATGCATGCCCTTCTTCTTGCTAAGGGTATTTCTGTTGACAGCGCTGAGTGCGTGACGGAGGCAGCGGCCAGATTATCTCCTGGGGCTTCCTTTGTTCTTTTCGGACATTCCCCATAGCCTACAGGTACTCAGTTCATCCATTTTTTTTTATTACGTATTCCAGCAGCAGCTTATTTTTGACACACATTTTCTTTTATCTTTTGCAGATTGCCCATCCTTAGCTTGGAGACCATTTAGCTTGGTCCACGATCCTGCTTTTCTTTGTGACTTAAGGGCGCGTGAACCTTCAGCATATGCAGTTTTATTTTGCTTTGTTTGTTTTGTTGTTTTTTTTTTTTTTTTGATTCTAACGACTACGTCGTTATGCCTTTGTAATTTTGATATTAAACTACTGGAGCTTGTATGAATTTCCGAATGCTTGAGGCATGTTGCATATTTCCTGTGTAGATATGTATATGTACTGCTTTGTTGGCCAGAATTGTCTTTATGGACTGCTTGAAATTTTTGACAGGTTGGATATCATTGAAAACAGGGTATATGCTGTCATTTATTTTTTTTTTTTTTTATTTAGCAAAATCTTCGAAAGCTTTTTTTGCATGGCTTATCTAGATTCTAGGCTTGACAAAATAGCTTCCCACCTTTCCCAAAGGGTCGAACCAATATGTGCATGATTTCTACTTGGGCTCTATAAAGCTTCCAGGTGTTGTATCGTATTGTTCCAGCATCTCAAATTGCATGTTTCTTTGCAACATGCCTTATGCTATTATTATTTTTTTTGCTTAAGCGTGATGCTTGGGGACCCCATCTAAGTGACTTTGCCCGGCATGTTTTACTGCTAAGTGGCATGTTTATATATATATATATAGATATGGAAAATTTGATAAAGGGTTAATAATAGTAAAGTTTTGGAGACACAATATATATTTTTTTCAAAATATTCCTTCATCTTCATTGCAAAAGCCCTTGCTACCATAATGGTGCATCATACAAAAGTGTCTTTTTTTTCAAAACGTGAAAATAAGACAGAAGGTCTAGTTTTTTTTTTTTTTTTTTACAGAGAGAAAATACAAAAGTACTAGGCATAAAGTTAACTTAGCAGTAATAGAGCTTGAGCCACTTCCCATTGACGGGGTCGGTCAGCGTGCCTTCCTTGACAGAGACCAAGCGATAATAGCCGCTGCTGTGAACTTCTTTGACTGGAAACGGACCTTCCCATTGTGGCGCAAACTTGGAAGGTCCCGACACCTGTCTTCTCACATGCTCCGCAACTTTTAGCACGAGGTCTCCTTGCTTGAAGGCGTGAGGCTTGACTGTCCTGTTATAGGCTTGAGCTACGGTTCTGTGGTACAATGCTGTCTTCTTCTCGGCTACCGCTCTTTTTTCATCCAAAGCTTCAAGGTCCAACAGGCGCCATTCCGAGCATGATTTTGAATCCCATTCGAGGTCGTTAACAGCTGCTATTCTGGCAGTGGGGATGGTAATCTCTACTGGTGAAATGGAATCGGACCCGTACACAAGCGAATAGGGCGAGAAACCTGTGGCACTTCTTGAAGAGGTGCGGTAAGCCCATAAAGCATCCGGCAGGTGAACACTCCAACCTCCTTCATACTCATAAACCATTTTGCTTAGGATCCTCAATAAAGTCTTGTTTGTGGCTTCCGCTTGACCATTTCCTTGTGGATAATAGGGCGTGGAGCGACGATGCTTGATACCATAACCACTAAGTGTCGAGCTTACTTGCTTATTGACAAACGGGGTGCCATTGTCGGTGACAATCTTGTATGGGATCCCAAATCTACATACAATATTCTCACGGATGAAATTGGCAACGGCAGCTCCCGTGGCCTTTCGCAAGGGAACCGCTTCTACACACTTTGTGAAATATTCGGTGGCCGTGAGGATCCATATGTAGCTGTCGGATGGTGGATGGATAGTCCCGATCAAATCAAGCCCCCAAGTATGGAAGGGCCAAGGAGTGCGCATGTCTTGCAGCAGCGTGGGAGGCTTATGACTTAAATTGGCATGAACTTGACATGTGTGACACCTCTTCACAAAGTCGTATGCATCATTCTTCATTGTAGGCCAATAATACCCAACACTCAACAGCTGCCGGTAAAGCTTCTTCATTCCTTGGTGTTCACCACATTCTCCAGCATGAATCTCTTGCATGACTTGTTGTGCCTCTGACTTTCCCAAGCATTTTAATGGCTCACCATTAAACCCCTTACGGTAAAGAGTTGACCCATCTATGAAGTATCTTTTCATTGTCCTTTTGAGCTTGCGTGCATGCTTGGGATTGGTTGGTAAGACTCCATTGATGAAGGATGCCAAGTATGGAGCCCTCCAATCCTCCGCAAACGAGACGGTGAATGATTCCTCGGTGGAAGGTATCTTTGCACACTTGGGACAATTGGCTTGTATTTCAGCTGCTTGTTTCCTCATTTCTGGCCAGTAATAACCCTTGCGCTGTAGGCGCCGGTACAAGCTAATTATTGGCTCCAAATTGCAAGTAACCTCATGTACCTCTTGAAGCTTCTCCTGTGCTTCTGTTATCCCTATGCAGCGGGTCAAAATACCTCCCGGAAGGCGTCTGTACAGTTCCCCAAAGATGATCGCATAATCCTTCAATTCTTTGATGTCGCTTCCTTTGCCTATTTTTTCTTTCACAAGCTTCCTCCAGTCATCCTCTTCCAGCTGCTCCTCTTGAGCCATTGCTTCAACAACTGGCGTGTCCTTCTTGATTACTGCAATATTGGGCTGTTCTTCAATAAATGAGAGCCTCGACCCCAAAGTGGCCAACGCATCAGCATATCTATTAGTGACTCCCGGGATATGTTCCAACACAACCTGTTTGAACGAACGAACAAGCCTTTCAGCAGCTGTACGATATGGTGCCAATGCTGGTTCCTTCACGGCGAAATTTCCTTGTAATTGACTCAGCACCAAGTTTGAATCCCCAATAATTTTAATTCTTTCGACACCCATTTCCCTTGCTGTAGACATTCCTGCAATAAAAGCTTTGTACTCTGCCGTATTATTTGTGCATGGGAAATTTAGCTTAAACGAGAGGGCCGTGGTTTGCCCCTCGGGATTGACAAGCACCACACCTGCCCCTCCACCCTTCGATGTAGAAGACCCATTGAAGTAGAGGGTCCATGGTTCTACCTCTGTGACAACAGCAACCGTTTCCGGCAGCTCTCCCAGAACTTCCTTAGAGATTGTTGATTCTTCAACTTCGGGAAATAGAGCCAACATGTCAATCACGGCCTGCCCTTTAATAGCTTTTGGGGTGGTGCAGGTGATATCAAACTCGGACAGTTGTAGCAACCAACGTGCAAGGCGTCTGGATAATACCAGCCTTGTAAGCAAATATCTTACGGGATCGGACTTCACCATGAGATGTAGCTTGTGAGCAAGGAAGTAATGCCGCAAGCGCTGTGCAGCATAAACAAGAGCAAGGCACAAGAGTTTAGTTTTTGGATATCTTACTTCAGATCCCCTTAGTTGCCTACTTACGTAATAAATAGGACTTTCTTCCCCACTGTGATCATCTTGAGCAAGTAAGGCACCAACCGCTGTGTTTGTTGCAGCCAAATAAAGCTTGAGAGGAAGCCCCGGAATAGGTGCTTTCATAGTGGGCAGCTTGGTGATTATTTGTTGCACCTTCTTGTAAGCTTTTTGGCACTTCTCACTCCATTCATACGGCTTGCCTTTCTTGAATGGAGTAAAAGCACTCATGGTGGCAGCAAGACCTGGGATAAAGCGCCGAATATACGATAATCTTCCCATAAAGCTTTTCAATTCTTTTGGGTTTTTAGGCGGTGCAAGAGAATTTATGGCTTTAGTCTTTTCAGGATCCACGTCTATGCCACGCTGGTGTACTTGAAACCCCAAGAATTTACCGGATGAAACCCCGAACGCACACTTCTTTGGATTCATCTTCAAACCGTACAGCCGACACCTTTCCAGCACTCTTCTTAAAACTTCTTGATGGCCTTCTCTGGTTTTGGACTTCACCACAAGGTCATCCACATAATCTTCGACTTCTTTTCCCATCATGTCGTGAAACACCGCTGTCATGGCTCTTTGGTAGGTGGCGCCAGCATTTTTGAGGCCGAATGGCATGACCGTATAATAAAAATTCCCATACGGTGTTCGAAAGGCTGTCTTCTCGGCATCCTTGGGAGACATCTTGATCTGATTGTAGCCACTAAACCCATCCATGAATGACAACAAGCCTTGACCCGAGGTCGAATCAATTAAGATATCCATGTTAGGCAGCGGGAACTCGTCCTTTGGGCAAGCTCGGTTGAGGTCTCGATAATCCGTGCATATTCTGATCACACCGGTTTTCTTTTTCACAGGGACAATATTTGCTAGCCACGTAGGATGCTTGATTGGCTTAATAAATCCGGCAGCTAACAACTTCTCAATTTCCACCTTGATTTGCTTCTCAACTTCAGGATGAAAATTCCTTCTTGCCTGCACGATAGGTTTTGTACCAAGCTCAATATTCAGAGTATGACTTACTAAGCTTGGGTTTAAGCCAGGCATCTCCTCATAGCTCCAAGCGAACACATCTCGAAATTCCTTTAGCAAAGATACCAAGGCCACCCTCTCCTCACTTGTTAAATGAACACTTATGAGAATGGGCCTCGGGGCAGAGGGATCCTCACTCAAATCAATTGTTTCCAGCTGCTTAGCTACTGCTGCCGACCCATCTTGCATGTGTCTGGGTGCTGCCATCGGTTCTTGGAAAGCACAAGGCATGGGTGCCTTGTTGTGGAACTCCCACAACTATTTGTTTGCATTACTTTTCCTCCATACTCGGGGCTTTCCCGTAAGACACAGTCAAGCCCCCAACCCCGTCATAAGCGGTACACGATACGTCCATCGGGCAGCGTCACCTTTGAGCATTGGGGATGATCATAGGCATGGTTGTTGACTTCCGAGTGCCTCTTTCTCTCTCGATCAACAATGGTGATGAGCTCCTCATTGCTTAAATCACGAATTTCAGTCCACGAAGGAAGGTAGGTCCCGAAATCTTTGGATGGATTGCTTCCAGCACCTGTGCATTCAGTGTAGAATTCCGCCTCAGAGTAGTGAGCTTCATCTTTGTTGAAAGGTGCTTGGTTTCCAGGTATGCGTAGCGGCCTCAGCCCAATCCTTCCTTTTACGCATTGGTGATAGGTAGAGACCACAAGCTTATGCTTGTTGAGCCATGGCCTTCCAAGCAAAGCATGGTAAGCCATATCCACATCCACAACATAGAACTTAGTAAGTGACCGAATTGGCCCAACCTTCAAATGTACTTGTAGATGCCCGACTGTGACCTCACTCTTATTCCCGAAACCATTGATGTTTGTTTGTGATTGGACAATTTTGGACAATGGGATACCAGCTGCCGTAAGCACAGACAGAGGTAATATGTTGACAGAGGAACCCGTGTCCACCAACGCTCTCCTTATGAACACATCATTGATTTGTCCCTCCAAGTAAAGCGGCCTCCTATGGTCCGGGTATGGAACTTCCATGTCTTCGTCCGTAAAGACAATAGCATTGTCATTTCCCAAGAATGACCCTTGTGGTTGAGTTGTAAAGCATTGAGAATTAGACTCCTCAAAGATATTCATCAGGGCTACAGCAGCTGCTTCTCTTGCTTGAGGCCCGAAGCCAAGTTGGTCAAAGAGTGATTTGAACTTTGGGTTTCTTTGAAGGACCTGTGAAGCTGTGGGCCCCTGTTTCATGCTTAAATAACGTTCCATCACACTTGTTTCAGCTTCCGTGATATTGTGAAATGTCACGGCAGCTGCTTCCTGCTGCTCCGATAAAGCCCCCGAGTAGCGTTCTTCCGGCATGTCCAAAACAAAAATTTCGCTGCCTGAGTTGTCACCCCATCCATCAGCGAGTGGCCATGGTGTGTTGTAACTTGAAGGCCTCGAATATTTACACCAATATGCTTTTTCCATGTTTCCGCAAGGTTCCCATACGGCTTCCGGCGGCTTTGGGTCATTCCTCCAAGGGTGGCACAATTCATCATCATCAAGCAAATCATCAGAACATGTAATGACAGCGGCTACCTCATTTCCCCTTCGTTTTGGCAAGGGGTCTTCATCAATCGTTTGCTTCCTAAAGGGAAGTTCAAGGACTCCCTCATGTATTTTGGCGTGTAAAATCCTCCTCAGACTCTGACAGGCAGTGGTTGGATGCCCCACAAATTGATGATAACGGCAGTACCTAGGATCGTTCTTTTCCTCTCGAGTAGGAACCTTGTAGGGTCTGACAGGTTTGATTACGCCATCAGCAATCATTGTGTCAAGGATAGCATGAAATTCTTCATCTTTGCATGGTAGTGGTGGATACGTCTCTCTATCCTTCCGTTTGCGTGAATTGTAGTCGTTGGATGGCTTGTCATCTATTGCTAATGCCTGATGCGCTTCCTTCTTCTCATTCCTCCAAGTCCTTTGTCCTGGTGGCTTGACGGACATGCTCGTCTTCCTCACAGCTTCCAGCAGCCGAGAAAATTGACTAATGCCAATATTCTCCAAATACACTCTATAATCTGCCACGATATTGCTGATGCAAATTTCAACAAGCGCCTCCTCGTCTTTCTCATCATAGCAATCCAATGCCAGGTCCCGGAACCTGCGTACAAAGTCCACAGGATCCTCACCATGCTTTTGGCGAGTGTTGTTGAGTTGAGTGGTGGTGACTCGTTCTTCATGCTGGAAATACTTCTTACAGAACCTGCTTGCCAGACTTTCCCAGGAATGAATAGAGCCTGGTGCCAACGTTGTATACCATGTGTAAGCACGATCGGTGAGACTCTTTGAAAATTCTCTAAGTCGAAGATTATGATCACCAGCATACGGTCCCAAGGCATCGATGAAGCGATTGACATGCTCCTTCGGGCTCCCCTTTCGTCCATCAAAAAGGACAAAGGTCGGTGCTTCATAGCCTTTAGGATATGGCTGCTGGAGTAAGCTTGACGGATACGGCGGCTTAGGAAGATACTTCCAATCTTCCTGACTTCGGCTCAGCTCCTTTTCCAGCATGGCAACAACGTCCTCCTGAGTGACAAAAGATGGTCCCTTCTGCTCAGACTCCTTTCCGGCAGCAGCAGATTCCTCCTGTGGGTGCTTCTCATTCACTTCACTTGGCTTTGGAGCCGAATTTTTGAGTTCTTTTATCATCTCTGCCATCTCCCTCTGGGTCTCACCCATAGCACGAATGGCTGCAACAAGATCTGTGAGGGTAAAAGTTCCCTCACTTGCACGTTCTTCCTCTCTAGAAGAGGCATGTTGCCTTGACTCTGAGTCAGCATGGCTTGGCCCATCCTGGGAAGTTATGTTGTTGCTTCTGTTCTTCTTTCTTGGAGGCATTGATGAAGATAATGGCTTAATCCCCAGCAGAGTCGCCAATTTATGTAGGGGACCTTTTCTTCCTGCAGCTAACGGGCTGGGCTGCTGCAAAAGGCGGACTGAGGAGATTGCCCCCTTTCGTTTAGGTTCGAAAATTAAGCCCCAAAATACCTCGAAAGGGCAGCGAAACCTTAGGAGATATTTTGGATAATCTTCACCAATGAGAATAATAGAGACTTGCAGGTAATTTTGGCATGCTTACAGATGGTCTTTCAGCTCAGCATGAGTGGCATGAGGCATGGGGAGCAAAACCAACATGGGTTTAGCACTAAGAGAGAAATTAGGCTTGGTTTATGAGGAATGAAAGTGTTTAAGTAAGGGATGAGGCGTTTTGTGGGGAATTTTGACTAGAGAAAGAGAAAAAAAAAGGCAGGGTTCTTCCGGCAGCTGCCAGAAAAACAAATTGGAGAAGAAGATGAACAGTGCACGAGTCTGAGTTTAAGATAGAGAGAAAAGCTTGCTCTCTGCAGGTTGTGAGTTGAGTTTGTTGGGTAGGGGAAGGCTCAATTTATAGCTGCCGGAAATCACCATTTTTCAAGAAACCCTAATGGCTCCTACTTACTTTGGCTAAGCTTTTCTTCCTTTCTCCTCCCCTTCTCTGACTTCCCTTTCTTGGCAAAGATTGCTTCTGTCTATTTTCATGAATTCAGGGGATTTGGGGGCTCAACATCCTCCTTTCCCGCGGCTGTGCAATGAGAGCTTCCACTCTTGGTTTGCTGTTTTTTCTTCTTTTCTTTCCTCTTCCTTGGCTGAATCTGATGAAGGAAAAGAGGTGCAAATGTATGCTGGTCCAAGGGACGCTTCTGACAGCATGCGGGATGGTATTCATCGATTCTTTGGATGTCTCTGGCTTGGGACTAGTTTCCAGCAGCTTTGCTTAAGGAGCCTGCCATCTACTCCTTCACGTGTTCTCTGTTTTTCAAAAGGGTTGAAGCTCTTGTGGGCTATTTTGGGTTTTTCTAAGGGCCAAGATGGCTTTCTAAGCAAATGGGCTTGTTGGGCTTCTTGATTTGGGCTTATTATTTTTTTGGTTGGGTTACCTCTTGGCTAGGTTATTTTGCTTGGGCTTTTGGGCTATTTTTTCTCTCTCGTGCTTACCCACATGTTTGGGCCTAAGAAATGGGCTTGAGTCTCGAGGCTCCCAAGCAACCCGAGACTTTCCATTTCTTGGTCCATCAATGGGTCTCATGTTGATTTATCACCATCCATGCCACAACCCACTCAAGCAAGCCCCGGGTTTTTTGAGTGGCTTGGGCCCACCTAGGCTTGTAGCGTGGTTGGGTGCGAGATAACGGCATGGCATGTTGCTTGGCATATTTTAATTTATCGCCCTTGGGAAGAATTGTTTTAATCTTAGCATGAGTTAATCATATATATTTTTTTATCGCAAATCATAGCATGATAATTTGTTTATTTAGCACGGCATGTGGATTATAACTTGCATGTGATAGACCCTTTTTCCTTTCTTTTTCCTTATGGAATATTGTATCGGGCTGATAATTGCTTGGGCCCAATCCATGGATTTTTTGGGCCTCAACAAATATCAAAATGAAAATTATTACTGGAATCAAAAGTTTCTTTCAAAGGTTTCAATTCTGGTTTTCTCTTGTTGACCTACACAGCATAGCTTCTAGCCGGCACTGAGGCATTTTCTTCTGTATCTTTTGCAATGCAATTGAAGTTGGACAGAGCTCCAGTCTTATTTCCCTGTCTTGTTTCCAAACTGTTCCTGCTATTCCCCTTCATCTTCCCCTTATTCCCAACCATAATCCCAAGCCCTAAAGAACCAAAACAAAAAAAAAACAAAAAAAAAAACACTACGGCAAATAGGATCGATGGGTGACAACAATAGCACCACTCTTAAAATCCCTTTACCAATTGGTTTTTGTAATGAAACCCTACAATAGATAGGTGATTTGTGGACTACAATAATATTCAACAAATTTACATGCATGCAACTCAATTTTTATTTGTGAACACAATCTTTGTCAACAATTGCTAAATACATGAACTATTCTTAAAGAATTTTAGTTACACAATATTCCTTTTTCCAACTACACATGAGCCTCATCCCTTACTCTGCAGCCAAATTCGAAATTCATTCGACAAAATAACCAAGTGTTGGCCATTTCAGAGAGTGTAGATATGTCCAGATGCCCAAATGGGCAAAATGTTGCCTCACCATTTATTCGCATACAAAATCAGAGTAAAAAGCCAGGACAGTCCTCCTTCGGCAGTTTTGAATGCTTAGCAGTTCCACATCAAACACTTCGAACTGTTTGGAGCTGAAAAATGTAGAAGGTCCTACCTGTAAAACAGATCGCATGTTATCAATCAAGTTAATTCGACACCAACAATATGGAAGTTTAATACAAACGCACATGATTCCCAAAAAGAGAAGAAAAAATAAAGCACAACAATCCAATTTCTTGATCAAAGAATGTGCTTAGGTTATGACAGCTTTGCATCTCAGGACCCAAGCTGCCTGCAATGTAAAAACAATGACATTTTGTTGAAACTTGAATCTTCCAATTCTTAAGTCCTGAGATGTCAAACAACAGATCAACGCCATAGGGTTGAATAACCATAGACTGAAAGTTGGCTTCAGGGGCTCAGATTTTGCAATATATCAAATCAGGTGGTCAAATAAAAATAAGATAATTAAGAATTCAAGGCATTTGTTAGAACCTTAATAACTAATCACTGTACAGAAGAATGCCTCCAAATCAAAGCAAATGGAAAGGATCACAATCACAACAGAAACTTGCAATTGCAAGTCTACTAATGTTTTGCCTCCTCGACCATGCCAAAAATATCTTATTTCTTAAGTGAGGTGAATTACGTAGGAAGAAAAGTGAGAGAAGTACACAAAGTACTAGCAGAACATTTTGTATAACTGTGGAGTCTTTCTTAGAGCAACCATACTTAGTCTTTATAGTAACTTAGTAAGGGAATCAGAGAGATGAGTAACTGACCGGGGGTCCAAGTTCTGGTGGAATGATTATTCTTCTTTTCCCCCCCAGGTTTCATGTCACGAATTCCTTCCTCAAATCCTGTAGTACTTCCTAGTTTAGCAACTTCAACTACTAGTTATCTTTCCTCCTCCCCCTTCTCCCTTCCTTTTAGGGAGTGGGGTAGAGGAGACAGGGCAAAGGAGAAAGTAAACAAGATTTTATGAACTCTAGAATTGATTTCACTTTTAACCTGGGACCAATGCATTAGTGCCCATGCGGATTCTGGCAGGAGAACCCTGAGTGTAGCTGCTGTCAATACGACGGCCCGACTCATTGTAGCCAACATAGTGGAACATCACCTGCAAAGTATCTTGAATCAGAGTAGGTCATGGTTGGAAGAAGAGTTTTATCAAAAGTTTCACTGATTCACATAAATTTAATGTCAAATTTTTTTATTTATAAAAAAAAATTAAAAATTAAAAACCAAAGTTAAAAGTTGGAGGGACTTTCTTTTTCCGAGTAAATTTTTCAAAGATGCCTCGCAGATGACATGGCATAATCCCCTCCCCAAATTTTGATATTGCTTCAACCGTAAATGTCAAACTGTGATATATTTTGGAAAAGAAAATGAAAGAAAAACCTGCTGACCAGCCTGTGGGAAATCACCTTCACCAACCACAAAATCACGATATATAAGCCCTGAGTCACATTTTATGTAGTTCTCTGGCGTTACTACCTGAACCTGAAAACCTGACACACACACATGTTGGATCCACCGGGATGTTTTGAAAAGCAACAACAATGATTATGACATAGCTGGTGAGAGGTTCTCTAATTGAGGCTTTAAATTTTTTCATAGTAACAGATGACCAGGAAATGCAGTTATTGAGCAGATGATTTATGGAAAACAACATGTCAGTCTTTGTATTTGCAAATGTAACAGTGGCACAAACCTTCTCTAATGAAACTTGGAAAGTCTTCAGGTGCATTATTTTCTTTCTGTATCCGCTTGTTTTGTTCAAGTAAGCGTCTTTCGTCAAATTGGCTTTTACTCTTTGTCTTTCCAGAAGAAGATAAAGTCGGAAACAAGCTAGTTGTGACAGAAAAAATAGGAGAAGCCTACGATTCACATTCTCTTCATAACGAGACATGCCGCCACTCTTGGCCCCAGACCTGCAAATCAAAGATTTGTATAAGTGACATAAATTTGTTTTAAGGTAGGTAAACACTAATCAAAATTTGTTAACCAATTAATCAAAACCTAACCTGCCATGTCTTAAGTCGTGACTTGAGCAGCATTGTATTATTTGCTTATTGTGATTAAAATGAATCCTTAGTAGGGAAGCTGGAAGAATTCTGTTTGTTAGTATGTAGATATTGACAAGAAAGATAAGTAAAACATAATTATGCTCATGGTTTGGCTGCTGATAAAAGAAGAAAGAAAAACTTCATAATCTCAACACATTATGTTAAAATAGTAAGAATCTGCTCATAATTTCATTCATTCTGTATGGAAAGCAAATGGAGTAACACGGGTTTCTTCTGCAATAATTTGAAAACAGCAGAGGAAGTGTTGGCATGTTAACCAAGATGAAGAATAAATTTCTTTTAAAAAACATGTATATACGTAAATATAAACAGGGCTCACATCCATCGTGTGTAGTTACGGATACGCTACATTGCACAACACAATCGGATGTGTTTATTGCATGATGCAGCTATGTGTTAATTTTCTGCAGTGCAAGATGTTCGGCATATGTGTGTGTGTGTGTGTGTGTGTGTGTGTGTGTGTGTGTGTGTGTTCTCTCCACAAGCCAGATTGGGCTGCACATGAGAGAGTGTTTGTTTGATACACATTGTTAGCTCATTCCCTAATACGTTAAGCTTTTGGGGCACAATAGTAGTCTACCGTGGTATATCAGAGCTTTGGTTTCAAGAGGTAATGAGTTCAAAACCTCTCACCACACCAATTTTCAGTTATCTATTATTGTTCAGGACAGGGTTGGACGCGAGGAGAGCGCTAACTTGATATAGATTGTGGATTCATTACCTAATATCTAGTGTTTGCAGTGTGAAGCTAACAATAACAATGCGATTGAATAGTCCTGAGACTCATTAAGAACTACAAAATTTCTATAATCTAGAGACCCAATTTTACCATGAGAACATGAAACAGAACTAATATAAAGCAGAACAACTTCTTATGTCATGGAATGGCTGTGAATTTATTTGTAAACAAGAAGGTGAGAATTTTGCAGTTCTTCATGTTATCATGGAAACTGAAACCTACATTCTTGAAGTATTTTTCCCATATAGGTTAGAAAAGCTCATTTAGTAATTGACAAAGACATTAGCTTTGTCTATGCTGCAAACAAATAAGTAGAGGCAATTTTTCATAACCAATTTCTGGGTCTTCTCATACACTAAAAGCTGCAACACCAAAAGAAAAAAGCACACTCAAAAAACCACAGTTTCGAGAAATCTATACTTCTGGGTCAAAGTGTAAAGAAAGCTGAAATTCAAATTTTGAGCAATTAACAGTATCCTATTCCAAATGCACCCATGTGTATATGCACACACATACATATATACTATAAATATTATAAATATACAGAGAGAGAGAGAGAGAGAGAGAGAGAGAGAGAGATTACAGGGTTTAAAAGAGAGAGATGAGGGAATCATCAGCATGACGTCTCTTGGGTTTTAAGCTTCCGGCATAAATGGAGTTAGACAACGAGCTAAAGACACCCAACACACAAACACACACACACAGAGAAAAAAACCGTTTGCTGTTATTTTGCTGATGTTATCTGTTCAGTTTTCTGGAAAGAGGCAAACAAATATCATTCCACTCCCATTGGTTCTTGTAATATCATTTACTGCCCAAAAGGTTCTTCAATATTGCTAGGGGGAACTATAAATATCATTTACTGCCTAAATGATCTTACTTTTGTTTGGGTCCAATACGATCCAAATGTATTTATGGGTTGAGAAGAACCGAAGGAAAATAGTAAGTTCAATCAAGGCTATGTTTGGTCCAATGGGCCGAATAAATTTGTTTGGTTCTAAAAAATATAGAATATGATAAATTTATTGCCAAAAAAAAAAAAAAAAAATTTTAGATGATTATAATACCGATTTTTTATTTATTGGGGAAGGGAATTCGAACACACGACATTAGATGCATATGTAACTACTGTTAATCACTTCAACTACAAACTCTCGCCTCAAAATACCAATTTTACTCTCCATTAAAATAAAATAACTGAAAAAGAAAAACACCCCGCCCCAACAACCTTAATTCTACCTTAACCCAAGTACAAGAAATGATCTTATTGTGCGGGTAAGAACCCGATCACATGCCTTGCTTTGCACAATTTTTAGCTTATAAGGCTGATTTGCAAGCTCAAGCCTAATTGGCGCCAAAAATACCCGACTAACTAATTGATAACCCTTACTTAGTTAACAACCCAGCTAATTGAACAATGACAGCTCAGCAATTCTTGACACATCACAGGTGACCTGGACCAATCGCAAGTCCAAATCATGCTGACTACGCAGCTGACATGGCATTATCCTAACATTACCCCTCCCTCACAAAATTAACCTTGTCCTCAAGGTTGAAAACCCTGGAAACCTGCTAAGCTAACAATATCCTGCCTCAGCACCTTCTCAACAATTTAGGCTGCAACTTTCTGCTGGGTGCACCCATTAGAGTATTGAAGGTGGCAGGCAGCTGTGCCTTTTGATTTCATCTCAGCAAAGAGACCTTCAGCTTCTTCAACTTGGTTGGAAATACAAAAAACACCTGTTAAAGTATTATACACAATGGCATTGGATGAGATTCCTTTCTTCGCTCTTGAGCACCCAAAACTTCTTTTGATTCCATTTGTCGCATGTTCTGCTTGTGTCGCCATATGATAGTATTCTTTACTTTGAACTTTTGAACTTGTTGCCTGTTTCTTCTTCTTTGGAGAACTCTGTTTTATAGAGCCTTGAATGTGGCTATCGCTGATCTTTTGATCTCTATATGATTATATACCATGAGAACCATGAGGCAATCAAGTTACTGTTGCAGATTATCCAGCCCATATTCAAAGTTATTGTTGCCGTTAAAGTAATAAAACAGAAAGTGAAATTCTAGTCGGAATAGTATTTTTAGTGGTGATTTTGAGATAGAGGAGGGGAGAAGGGGGTCGCTGGGGAAAGGGGAGTCGCCGGAATGGGCCCATGTGGCCATGCACAACAGAGGTGATCGGGTGGGTGCTTGGCTGTTGGGTGTTTTTCTTTGGAGGGAGAGGTGGGTGTGGTTTGAACAGATTGAGGGTGTCAATAAAATTCCCCTTAAAATATTTATAACTTCTCTACTAAAGAAAAATGGATCATGGCATTTGGAGAAACGTGTTTCCAAAATGCGACAGAAACTATAGGAAAATAGTAGAGTGATTGAAAATGCTTTCTAAACATCTACCTGGTCTTGTACAGCAGAAACAAGAAATGCCCATCAAATGAATAAAGTGTAAATAAATAGATAAACACTTTAAGCTAGAACAGGATGAATGATCCATCTTCCCACAACTCTATTGAGCATTATTAGTATTTTATATATGATCACCTAAAGCAATTACCACTGGTGCCTAGCCCTCTTGATCTGTCAAGTGATGCCACTTTTTGAAGCCTTATCTGCTCTCGAAATTTGGCTATAAACTCACCGGCCTTCTTATCAACCTCAGAGTCTGGTCCTGCAACATTGACAGAGTTACATGTAGCAGCAGCAGCAGCAGGAGGATCAGCATCTTCATCTTCTGAACTTACTAGAAAGTTTTCGGCCTCACTTTCTGAGTCGTCTTCAGACTCTTCGGCAACAACATTGCCATGAAATTCTTGCATCTCTTTCTTCTGATACTTGGGAATTGTTGGCTTCGGCATGTGCAAGGAATTGCCAAGATCAAGCTTACCAGTTACATTGTCAAAAAACTTCTTGTCGGTTCCTCCATTTTGAATTATATCTTTCCTCATAGATATAGCTCCACCATTATCACACATCTTTTCAACCTTGTCATCAGTGGTCAGTCTACTTGGTCTGATTGTTCTAACTGATCTTCCCCTTAATGAAGCTTTAGCGAGGCTTGCAGGTTTCACATCTGATCTCAAAGAAGCTGGCCCCAACTCTTTGTTACCCAATTGATCCTCTTCACTTCCACTTCCACTCAAGTCCTTGAAGTAATTTTCTGAGCTTCTCCTCAAGTCCTCCTCATGGAAAGAACCAATGCTATAGCCCCGAGAATGCAGTGTACTCATTGAAACTTTTTCAGTTATTGGTTTTGGTGGTGATGAGGTAAGCCTGAAGGAGAAGAAGACCCTTGAGAACTCTTCCTTTTCTTCAAATTATTCACTTTTGAGTTCAGAGCCTCTGAAGATATAGAGCGCGCAAAAGACTCCTCTTTTGGAGAAGAAGACATGGAACTAGTTTGAGAAGACTCGGAAGAGAAAGACAACGTGGACCGTAAGGACCCGGGTTTTCATTGATTCAAACTGAGTTTCATCAACTGACAGTGGCCTTAAATGTGAAGGACGACCACTACTACCTACTCTTTTCCCCCTTTCCATCCTTCCAGAACTCGAACCCCGATGAGCTGGGAAAGGTGCTGCAGTAGCTTCATTGAATTCCTCTTCCAAATTTAGAGGACCCAAATCACCAAATTCCCCATTTCTACTCTTATCAGAACTATTAGGTGAAAAATTAGAACTTGAACCAACTCACTCCTAGTAACAAATTCAGAACTATCCTGGTCTCTTACCCTTGATTTCAAGCTCCGAATAGGCAACCCTAATGGCTCAGAATCAACTATTGATCTGGGTTTACCCCATTCATTAAGACCATAATTTGGTTGAGCTACAAACACCATTGGTTCACCCTGAAAGTACTGAGAACTCCAAGCTTGAGTTAGATTATTCTCTTTGTACCCATATGAATTTTCAGAACCATGTTCATGAACTGGCAAACTGGGTTTGCACTGGGCATCAAAACCAGTGCTTTCATGAGAAGATACAGTAACAGGGTTACCTACAAAATACTGAGAATTCCAAGTCCCAAGCCCAACCACTCTTTTCTCATCAGACCCACATGGGTTTTCATATCCATCATCAAAATTCGATGAAACAGGAAAAATTCTAGGCATATAAGACTCTGAACTACCAAGATTTGAGGGATTCTCAAATCCCCTTTCAACATTTCTTCTGCTAAACAAGCCATAGGACACAGCAATGCCAATGAAAACAAGGTGAATTAGCTCCCAGAACTTGGTGAGTATGGTGTGGTTGATAAAGTCAGGAGCTTGTGAAGGAAATAGTGGAAGAACCATAATAACAAGGGCAAAGAAGAGAGCTTTAAAGAGAAAGTGCATCATGTAGGACTTACCTTGTTTAATGGGGTTTGGATGAATTGCTGAGTTTAGCTCTGAATATGGGAAATGGGGTTTTCTGTAAGGGCTTGGGTCCTCCATTGATGAACAGGTGAGCCTCTGAGGAGCTTTTTGCTTCTGTATGAAATGGAGATGGTGAAGAAAGGAAGACTTTGAAGCCAAGGAAGAGAGAGACAGAGAGACAAAGAGACAGAGAGAGAGTGGAAAAAAGTGTGAGGAGGGGAAGAAGAATTCAAAAAGTGCGGTGTCAATCATTATGACCGTTTAGTTCAAATGACGATAATGCCCCTACATTTTGTTTGATTTTACAACCTTTCATAGAACGTGGCCACCTTATCTCTTAGGTCTTGGAAGTCATTTGATCGAGACAAAAGCAATTTACCAAACGGTGCAAAACGACAGCGTTGATTATAATACTTTAATTATAGCCCTGGCCCAAATTGCACGAAAATACTTCATGATCGACATCAAAACGACACAGTTTTAGTCGCCTGGCGCGTCACTTTCTCGGGAAAATGTTTCCCCAGGTCTTTTCCGATCGGCAGATGAGAAAATCACAGTGAAAGAGAAAAAGAGAGAGAGTGTGTGAAAAATGGCTGGAACAGAGGAATTTGTGGAAGCAGATAATGCAGAAGCCATAATCACCAGAATCGAACAAAAATCTCGAAAGATCGAAAGCTTACTCAAACAGTAACACTCAAATTCTATTCTTCTTTTTGTGTGTGTAATTTTCTCTAAAACCGCTTAATTCTTTTAACTGTTAAATTCGTTCTCCATTTAGATACAAACCAGTCGAAGCTCTAAAAACTGCTCTTGAAGGCTCACCTCCCAACACCCGAGACGAACGCTGCAAGGTTTGTCTTTCTCTTTTTCCCATCTTCTGTTTGGCTGCCGAGAAAATCTAACAGGAATAGAAAATTGAATTGCAAGTTTAGAACTTTAGTTTCCTTTTTGTAGCGTTTTCCTCTGATTCTCTTGGGGAGCAACCAGAAATGTCTCCCTGTGTTTAATTTTACTGCTGTTGGTCTGTCTGGTGTAGAAATGATGAGAAAATGATGAGAATTTTTGGCGTTTTGCAGTCTGCAAATTGGATAATGGTGCATAGAGCTATTATGGCTATAAAAGATGTTGATGGAATGTTTTCTTCTTTGGATCCTGAGTACTACGACATTCTCATGAAGTGAGTGCTCCCCAATTTCTTTTTTCTAAACTATCATTATTTTCTACTTCCAGTAGATCATATTTCATACCTTAAAAATTCTCATCTGATAATGCTTCTGAGTCTTTTCTTTAATTTATTGAATTGAAATTTGTGTTGATGATAAATTGTGTTCTTACGGACTGTTATAGCACAGATAGTTGGTATTAGTTTTATGCACAGACTGCCTAATGTTAGTGCATGTTCAATTAGCATTTAGCCATTTGAAGTTCTTTCACCAAATATAGAAGTACACACAATGAGAGTATACTGCATTAGTTTCAGTTAGGCTGGTCAAGAATTTTCCCGTACGGAGAAACAAAGTATCTTGAGCTATAGAAATGAACTTGAATTTGATTTGGTACGTAGGTCTGAAATTCTGGATCATGGGGTTGGCCCTTTTTTGCGTGCGCTATCGATATTTTTTAGACAGTGTCTTTTACAGGCAAGTTACCTTTATTTGTGTTTGTTAGGCAATGAAAAAACAGGGACCTTCACTATCCGTCATTCAAGCCTTAGAGAGATTAATTTGAATCAAGTAGGGCAGTTAAGTATCTTATATCTCCGAAGGATTCTAAATTGTGTAACTAGTAAATGAGATTTGGGGAAAATAAAGAACAAGGCCCCTTGTAAGTCTGTGACAGCATTGCATTTTATCCGTATGCTCTTTCCTGGCATTTAACAAACACATTTGTCTGTCTACATTTCACAGCATTTTAATCTTGAGAGTGGCATTTTTTGTAAAACAAATGGTCAGGTTCTCGGGTGATCAAAGTATTGGGTCCAAAAATGTCTACAAGAGAATAAAATATCTGAAGCTGCTTCAAAGTAAAAATTGGGATGTATATCTTTTTTGTTTCTTGTTTTTGTTTTTTCTGTTTCTAGAAGTCAGGTTATAGTCATTAGGGCATTTCTCATATGTATGGCTTTGTGTTAGCATCATATAGGCAAGTATTTTTCCCCAAAGTTTTAGAAAATTTTTGGTATATATTATTTCTACATGCGTTTCTGATTTCTTGCTGTTGTTCTCAGTAGTTTTCTTTATTATTATTATTTCTCCTGATTTTCCTTTCCCTTCTTCATATATAGTGATCTTTGGGATATTTTACAAGTTGCGGGTTTTCATCTTTGAAGGTACTTGTATAGAGGCTTGTCTACTGGAGATCGGCCCACATGCGACCAGTGCCTTCGGATTCATGAAAAACTGACAGAGAGAGCTGGTTTGGGATGCATACTGCGGTCCCTTGCAGACACTGTCAATACAGTTTGATCTCAAGACAATGTTAATATCCTCACTTTGCAAACTACAACACGCAGTGCCCTCTTGTTGATTATTGAAACTTCACAGAAAGTTCTTGTCCGGAATCTTTTGTATGTTATTGATTTCTCTTCTTCAGACAGTTTTGTGACACAATATCAAATCCCTCAATGCATTTGTCCTTGCAGGTGCACATGATTTCCCAGGACCCTGTGGTCTTTCTTGTGTCTCCCCTTTTCCCCCCCATAACCTTTTCCCTTGTTTTTGTTTGTGTTGGCGTCAGAGGATTCGTAACCATTAATATGACAGATATTTCTACAACCTCCATAGAAAAAGAAACGTATTTTATCTTTATTTCTATTTTAATGCAGAGAAAGTGAGGTGGCCAACTTATTGGTGAACCAAATGCTAAAGACGTCGTTAATCTTTAGCTTATTGGTTGATGGTGGAGACTAATGTAGATATTTAAATATATTTAAGTTGAAAATGCGTTCAACTGTTTTGGTAAAATAGACTAAAACCCCTTTCCATTTTCATTAGTTGAGATTGAAGTTTGGTTAGGTAGCTAATTACTCTCCAATGTTTGGCATCTTCTAACCATCATTATATTGGTTGCTATTTTCATAGCCATTCAAGAAAGGGAGAGATTAGCATGGATTGTCGACAATTAAGTCAAAATCTAATGGAATAGGTTACAACAATCGACATTCAAAGGCCAACTTTTCCACTAAAATTATCATTAAAAAATCCAGGTTCTCCTGTTACCGCTGAAATTTTCCTACTAACACTTCCCATATATAAACATGACTTTTTTTTTCACTTGGTCACCAACTTTTTAACCCTCATCTCCATCTCACTTTCATTAACTTTTGCTACAATAATTGGTAAAAGCCCAAAATTTGAAGAAACAAGGGGTGGCTTCAATTGACAAAACCTTGTCCACTACCATTACCACATCTTTTCCCTTCTCCTTCCATACACATTCTCACCCATTTTCCTCCTAATAACCAAACTATGCTTCTGTCTAAGTCATCCGCTTTCCCATTACACTTCCAACCAGAAGTTACTACTTGGGTGCGGATGCATCGAGTGGTCTGCGTTGGATCGGCAATGTGGCCCATGGGCTGATCGGGATGGGCCGCTGGACGTTGGGCGGACCACTTTGGCAGGTTTGGCCATTTACAGGAGCTGTGGAGGAAGCAGCGGCAGCAGCAGAAGATGACAAGGACGAGACGGCCACACGCTCGCATGAAGGGCACATGGTGAGGGTTGTGGGAGGGCTCATTTGCATGTAGAGCTGTGGTGAAAGCTTGAGTGCTCTAAGCTCTTGCACTTCCTTCTGCAACCTCCTGTTGTCTTCCGTTAGCTTCTCACAGCACCTCTTTAGCAACTCACAATCCACCTCTGTTTGCTTTAACTTAGTCCTGCATTTTATTTAACAGATTAACAATGAATGCAAATAGCAAGGAGTTATTTTGAAAGAAATGATTGGTTAGTTGGAACCCGGTTTAGATTTTACCAAAAACCAAACAAATAATCTTCCAAATTCTAAAATGGAACAGGCACCTAGGAAAACCCAAAAGAGCAATGAAGTTGGTAGACATGATCACCAATGTCTCATTTAATTACAGGCAACATGTTTGGGGAATATTATTTATGGGAACCAACCAGATTTGGCCTCATCTCATTCAATGCAAACACATGAGAATTGTGAAAGCAATTGGTATGTTACCAAAAACAAAACAAAAACTAGTTTAAATGACAATTCTACCCCTGGTTTCCCTTTGATTCCCAACAATGCCCTTGAACTCAGTGAATAATTTTTCTCACCTTGCCCTCCTGTTCTGAAACCAAACCTCCACTTGTCTTGGTCTTAGGTTCAGCTGCTTTGCCAACGCCTGCTTTTGCCTCTGAACACAAAAAGATACAGAGGGTGAACAAAAACCGCCCTTGTTTTACCATCAAAACTACACAATTGCCACTGAAGAAGAGTGAAGAACATAAACCCAAGTCGAAAAGACCAAAATGCCCTTGTGAAATCATCAAAATAACCCCAAGAAAAAATAGCGACTGACCGGATTCAGAGTGTTGTGCTCCTTGAACGTGTCCTCAAGCAGCAAAGACTGCTCCTTTGTTAGCCTGAGCTTCTTCCTCGACAGGTCGCCACCATTGCCATCTTCATCGTCACTTCCGTGGGAGCACGAGGTCCTCTCAGCCTCATTCTCATCGCCAATGGGCTCTCTCTCGCTCCTCTTCCCGCTCAGGCTCGACACCGTGCTGTTAGGCGACGATACCCCGTTTTCTTCTTCAAATTCCGCAGCTCGGTTCACGTCGATTCCTCTCAGACACGACCTGGCATCTGGGTTTCGATCTGTCAAGCGATTGAAAAATGTAAAACACCATTACAAATAGCAAGGCTGTAAATAAGTATATCTTTGTGGTGATTTCAGAAGTTAAAAGTTGTGAGCTTTTTCATAAAAATACACAGAAAATCTTAAACAAAACAGATCTGACAGCCCAAAAATTACCCCTTTGATTTCAGATTGTGTTTTGAGGAGGAAAAAAGAAAACCCAGAAGAAGATTCAAGGAAAATGGGAATAAAATAGACACAGGAACAAAAATTACCAGGAAATTGAAAGATTTCATTCCAGGAAGTTCTGTGTTGATGATTTTGCATGGACAATGAAGGCTTCTCCATGAGATTCAAGTGCAAAGAAGACTCATTCTCATTGGGTTTACATCCCAAGCTCAAACTCAACCCTAACCCCAACCCATCATCTTTCTCACCCATTTTTTTTCTTCTCTCTCCTTTACCAAAAGAGCCAAACAGGGCAAGAAAGCCAGCTGCCAGAAAACAGAGAGAAGCAAAACAAAGACTCTTCCTTTCCTTGTTCAGATATCTGGGTTTGGGTCTGATTCTCTACTGTTTGGATTCCAGGAAAGCAAAATGGAAAGAAGGGGTAGAAAATGGCTGGGCTTTGCAGCAGAAGGTGTGGCTCAGAGTTTTTTCTTTTGCTTTTTGCAGTACAGTAAAAGGAAGATGGGACTATTTGTTTATATACAACAATAGATACAGAGAGAAAGACATGGGAAGAGTATAGAGTTAATCATGACATGTATCAGAGAGACAGAGAGGGCTATTGCCTATTGCCCATTGGCTCTATCAATGATGTGATGTGATGCCTCCAATAGCTCTCTCTAGCTTGCCCTGCTAGACTCATTTACCAACAATTTTAACCATGATTAGGTGTGTGTTTAACTGTGGTTAAAATGAGAGTAAGTTTCCTTTTTCTGGGATGAGAGAGTTTAAACGTTAAAGTTTTTCTCTTTTTTTCCCTTAAATAATGAATTAGTAAATTAAAGTTGCTTTTAAAACTGTAACTGAGTTCTAATTCTAAATGGAAATTACTGAAATATTTAATGTATTTTAAAGAACCCTATTTTTAAAAAATATAAGTAATAATAATAATAATTTGACAATTTTAAGGATTTTAAGGATTTTTTTTTCAATTAATTCCCATTTTTAAAAGTAAACAAAGTATAGAATTTTTGACAAATTTATATTTCATGGGTATTTTCTGAATTCTCTGTATATTGTATTTACAAGAAGTTATTTTTGTATAATTTTATTTTTTTATATATAAATGGTAATTTAAATTATTTTAAATTAACAAAAGAAGAATCGAACTCGAATGCAAAGAGCGACGCATTTGTCATAACCAAAAAAATAAAATTAGATGTAAATGATTTTCATGGCCAGGCTTTATAATAAGCTTCGGTTAAGAAAGCAACTTTGTCGCTAGTTGACCTTTGACTAGAAGATTATATGCATTCTTTAAATACCCACGCGCCTCTCGTGCAATGTGACTGATAATCTGTTTATCCCCAGATACAGATGGGACCCCCGAATTGAATGCAGCGCGTGAGGAGCGTGGTGTATTAGGTGGAGAGAAATTAATTACAAGGGTGGTTTTTGATTTGGTTGGGTCAGAGAGAAACGATGTTGAAAATGTAGGTTACATAGAGAGATGGGGTTGGGGCATTTGTTGGCATTCAGTTAGGTTTTTGGGGAAAACTGCATCCTATTCATGGGGATGGGGGGAAGTAGGAACATGGAAATGGTTTCCAAATTGAAAGCAGAATTAAATGTGAATTGAAGTCAAAGACTCAACCAAGACAATTGGTCAATTGATGTTTCACATTTATGAATTCCATCTAAGAAATTATGCAACATTAAAAAAAACAAAACAAAAAAAAACCCCTTATTGGATATTATAGAAACTCTTATAAATCTACAATGTAATACAATGTTGAAATTCTTTTGAACAACCTCCTATAAATCTACATCAAGTGATGAGGTGTACGCCGTGTGTCTTTCCCCAATCCACAAAGGAACCAACATCTCCACGTTTACAATTTGAAGGCAAGCTTAAATTATTAAATAGAACATACATACTCATGCAACATTGTACGAGGCTTCTATGTTTCCAATGTACTAATACATCACCGGTGCCGATTTGCACTTTTCACCGGTGCCGCTTAAGGAGCCGGCGTGGAGTGGGTTGTAGGTGGATTTCAGGTGGTTCAGTCCGTACAACGAAAGGGTGAACGGTCGAATCGCAATTCTAGGGTTAACAATCAAGAACCTCATGACTGTTGAGTTGTTGACGAAGAGAGGGGGAGAGAAAGGGCGGAGGCATGTGGGAGCCAGTGCATACAGTTATGATTTTTAAGATTTAATGGAACCCAATTTCCTCTAAACTGGGGGTGTATTGAATTGAGATTTTAATGGATTATTTTGAACCTTAAAAGTACAGCGGTATTCAATTATGATTTTTAAGTAATCAATAAAAGTCTTGTGGTATTCAATTAGGATTTTTAAATAATCAATGCAAGTTCGATGGTATTATTTTTTGAAAAGGTTGATTTCATTCCATTAGAAGGGGGGAATAATAGGCATGTAAAGTTAAAACCTTCCCGGAGAAAACCACAAGGGAAAAACCCCGGGGTAGGAAAGAGTACCACATATGCCAATAACGTATAGAACAAGGAAAATTACATAACATCAGAAAACAAAACATCCTGTAGGAAAACTGGGGGATCAGTAACCCATTATGCTGCTTCCTGGGAGTGTAGAGCATAGTGTGCCAGGCGAGTTGCAACCCCATTAGCCTTCCTCTCTGTAAACCTCAAATAGACACGCTCTTGTTTGGCCAAAAGTGTTTTACAATCCTCAATTAGGCAACCAAGGTGGGACAGATCAGTTTGGCCCTGTTGTACTGAGTGTAGAGCGCCTTGAGCATCCCCTTCTATATGACAGTCCAAGTTGGACCATTTGGCAGCATAGATTAAGCCTTCTCTTAATGCAACTAGCTTGGCATGCATGGGATTTGATACTCCACGTAGCACAACCAACTTGCATGCAAGAAAAGCACCTGTATAATTTCGGACCACCAAACCAACCCCACCAAAGCTGGATTCAACATGAAACATTCCACTCACATTTATTTTAATAGCTCCAATCGGTGGCCGTAGCCATTTGGCTTTGGCACGTGAAATATGGTTCTTGGGAGGGGGGTGTAACTCCTGAAACTCCTGCAGACAGTATATTGCTCCACTCACAACTTCTGTTGAACTCCGATGACGTCCTGTCCAGATCATTTGATTCCGCTCAAACCACAACATCCACATGCACACCATGACTTTCTCTAACTCATGAATGGGGTGATCCGCAGCAAATCCATGGAACCACATCTTGAACTCCTCTGTGGAATCAGTATTAAAATGAGCCCAGGCTAGAAATAGAGACCAAGAAGCAATAGCCATGGGGCATTGGAGAAGCACATGGACCACCGTTTCATCAGCTCCACAAAACACGCATCCTCCCAATTCATAGATGCCACGGTGACCCAAATTATCCTTGGTAGGTAAAATATTCAAGAGAGCGCGCCAGATGAAAATACGGACCTTTGGTGGCACCCAGACTTTCCAGATCTTCTTCCAGACATGGTCAAAAGCTACAAGTGGTCCCCCATTCGTGGTAGTGTCGTCCCCGTCTTGCTGGGTATTGTGTGAAAAAGTACCGTGGTATTCAAAAACTTATTGATTTTAATGTATTTCATTAAATTGTGTATTGTGTGAGATTTTTGAGTGTGTAATACAAACAACAAATTGATTTTAATGGTAGTTTTGCATTTGTAGTTGAGTGCTCATGTGAGTGGTGTTCTTGCATGTTATGTCTAGGCTCTCATTATCTTTAATGTATTCATTCTGGTCATGTATGGTTATGTTGGGAGCACATATTTCGGGTAAGATATTTTCGTTCAATTTGCAGCTTTATATGGACATAATATCGCGACTTGAACTTTCAAAAATTAAACAATTTAAACTCAGCGCACACAGTGGGGTTCAAACCCTTCCCAACTCCGAATTTTTGTAGCCATTTAACCACCACGCCAGTCATCACTTTGTGATAATAAGTTATGGAATATGTATTTATAATACATGCGAGCTGTTTCTCAAAATAGAAATTAACATAATTACTTATTGTTTTATATTGTTGATCAGTTACTTAATTACTTAATATAATTTATTTCTTTTCTATTTAATCCATTTAATGTTATTGATTATTTTATTATTCATTATAAGTACTTACATTACTAAACTCCCCTTCAAATTGTTGCTTAATTACTTAAATCTCTATAATTATTTTCTTTGTTTACTACTTAATTCTTTCTTTGATAAATTTATTTATGTTCTTAGTTAATTTTAAATCTTCACTATTATTTTTGAAGTATGGTAAAGTGCCTAATTTTCATGAAAAGTCAAGTTGGTTGAATTATTTTTCAATTTTTGATAAATAATAAATATAAGAACGTGTACCATGTCCAATAAATAATGTGAAATAAGGTTACACATGTATCTTACCATGCAATTTATAAAGTGTAAAATATTGTACTAAAAAATGATAAATAAATTACTATGGGATGTTTAATTCTCTTCATTAATTACTCCATATTTTCTAAGTTACAAAGTTTGTCAGCTCGCAATATAATCAACTTAAATCACTCAAACCCACTATGCAATGCATTTCCTTCCAATTTTTTGTGTCAAAATAATAGATGATTGACTAAATAAACTTCTTCTAAAGTTTCATTAAAAATTTCCATGTATTTATCACAATTTTCGTGGTTTTTATCCAATTTTTATCGATATCGATATTTTCCCGATATTTCCATGTTTTTCAACCACCGATATTTCCAAAACTATCGATATTTAAGACCTTGGTTGGGAGTTACATTGTTGATGCCAGTGTACTTCCTTTGGACTAACATTTGATGGTTATTGTGCCACTATCTTTGTATTAACCCTAAAAATTGAGCATATGTATCCTAAAAATTGGGCAAATTCCTTCAAGTTATGTATAGGTGAATGATGATGAGTGATAGAGTTGAAGCTTGTATAAAAATATAAGTAAAATCATATAATTGCAATCTATCAAAATCATAAGTAAAATCCTAAGTGAATTAAAATCATAAGTAAAATCATGTAATTGCAATCTATTAAAATCATGAGTAAAATCATATAATTACAAATCCGGCTAAAATCCATTACATTAAAATCATGTAATTACAATTTGTTAAAATCTCAATTGAATACACCCTCCTAAAAGTCATTTACTATGTGGATCATACCTAACAGCCCAAAATACTATGCAGCCAAAACTACATTACCACACGGGCCTACTAGCCAGCCAAATTTCCTACAACATATGCTACCCATTCCCAAAAG